TTCAAAACAATATCTTAGAAGACTTTCGAGGTTATACTTCACGTTACATGTGCTATAGATTTTCAGTACTGGCAGTGAATATCGGAACGCAGCCAATATAAGCATTATGGATACATGTCACGCATGCGCTTTCGAACAAACTGAACAGTGATAAAAGCTGCGTCCCGTTTCACGCATATGCGCGCATTTGTCTATACTATACGTGACGTGTACTATAGATAAATGCGCGCATATGCGTGAAACGGAACGAACTCTCAGGGTACGTTCACTTTGGGCGTTTACGCGCTTTGAGCGTCAGTCTATCTTTGTTCTATATTTAAACAACAATAAAGACAGACTGACGCTTAAAGCGCGTAAGCGTCCAAAGTGAACGCACCCTCAGTCTTCTCTCTGGTACTACAGTTTCGTCATTTGCCTTATTTCGCGCATGTGCGTATCATTTCTGCATGATTTTGAGAGTTGCGCTACTGTGTGAATATCGTGCTGTGTTATTAGTATATTGTCGCCTTGGAGCACTTTGGAGTAAAGAAAGATGGCAACGGTTAGTAACGTGCGATTGCTGCTCCTTGGAATTCTCTGTATTTTTGTCGTAAAATTATGCAATGGCGCGGCGACGGACATCGAATTGGACGCTAAGGCACAGCTGCTGCATCGTCTCGACAGTCTGAATCTTTTGCTCTACACTTTCCTATTGATTTTAACAGTTTTAACGATATGGATGTTCAAGCATCGCCGCTTGAGGTTTCTCCACGAAACTGGCCTGGCTGTCATCTATGGTAAAGTCGTCGTCTGCTATCTGTAAATTTCTCAGTAATTTCTCGTTCTGTTTGTATGCAAGTCAGGCTGATGCCACCAGTGAATTAGTTTTGAATAATATCGCATCGATCAATGTATTTTATATCTTTTTGTACGCACTTTTTTCTTAAGTGCAATTTGCAACTTTGCTATGTTTAACCTTCAAAACATTGTATATATGCGTATATTATTTTAATTCTATAATCTTGTTGAAAATTGCGTTTTATAATTTTTGTTCGCGTAATTTCATGAATGAAGGTAAATATAATTTTATAAATTTATTTTTAGTATATTTCGCTCAGAGAGATGTATGTAATATATGTATATTTACAATTCTTATTGTATTTTGTTATAGTATTTTTTAGAATTTTATAGACTTATAGAATCAATTTATGTACATAGTCTCTTTAATTAGTTCTAAAAATATCTTATTTGTATCTTGAAAAGAGTTCTGATAAGATACTGATAAACACAATTATAAATAATTTTGTTTTTGCTAAGTATATTTTATCTATTGTTAATAAAGTAATTTTATTTATCTGAGATTACATTAAGGTTATTTCTTGTTGCAGGCTTAATTATAGGAGCAATAATTCGCTATGGTTTTGCCACAAGCAGCACTATTCTGCACATGCCTGTAGTTCCAGATAATTCTAGCAAATACAATCAATCAGTACCACCTGACACATTATGGTTACGCTTTCCAGAAGACAAAGGTGGTGGCATTGTGAAGAATAAAACATTTGCATATTCATTCCGTGGTGAAATCTACAAGGAAGATAATGAAATTGATTTAAAGGTAATGAGATCAACAATGACTCATACAACAATGATGACTCATTTTTCTTTTGTGTAAAGACAAGATTGGTCTTTTAAGTATTTATTTATTAAAAGTTTTAGAGTTGCAATTTTGAATTATATGTGTTATTATACAATAATAATTAACTTCAATTACAGGCAACTTTTGATCCTGAAATATTTTTCAACATTATTCTACCTCCTATTATCTTCCATGCAGGATATAGTTTGAAACGTGTAAGTACATTAATTTGTTTCTTTGTATGTTTGTTAAAACATGTGATAATGAAAATTTTCAGTCAATAAATTCTTGCAGAGATACTTCTTCAGAAATCTGGGTGCCATTCTTATGTATGCTCTGATAGGAACTTCCATATCAGCTTTTGTAATTGGGTAAGTTTACTCTCTAATTTCTTTATTGTTTTTCTTATTTAATTTTTTTAAATTAATTTTTTACCTTAAATATTGTTTTGTTGAATACATTTTTATATCTATATATATTGTTTTACTATAATTCGTTACAACTTTTTTATATATTATTATTAGAAATTATATATTTTTATTAGAAATGAATATTTTTATTAGAAATGTTTAATAATTAATTCAGCAAAATGCGCAAAATATTATGTTTATAGCAAATGCGTATCTTTTGTAATGTGCATAGGTCATGCTTTTAATTGAGCTTATCAGTTTCTTCTTCTGTTGTAAACAGATATGTCTTTTTAATGACTCATTATGTTTTTTTCTCTTAATACATGAAATATTGTTATTTTTTAATAGTGCTTTAATGTACGGCTTTGTACAATTGATACCGCATCTTTCCACATCGTTCACGTTTCTGGATACTCTGTATTTTGGCGCTCTGATATCTCCTACGGATCCTTTGACAATAATATCCATCTTTAATGACTTACATGTGGATGTTAATCTGTATGCTTTGGTTTTCGGCGAAAGTGTGTTGAACGATGCAGTCGCTATCGTTCTTAGCGGGTGAGTGTTCTTACTATTTAATAGTAGAAAAGTTTAATTCAAACAAAACGATGCTTATTATACTAGAATAAATATTTTTGTATCTCAGCTCGATACAAAACTATGCAGAGCGGTATCAGTTGGGATCCGGCGGTTTCGAGACAGTAGCATTCTTCCAAGCATTTGGAGACTTTGTAGGGATTTTCAGTCTGTCTCTCTTTATCGGTGCCACTATGGGTTGCATTACTGCGATGTTGACCAAATTTACCAGAGTGCGAGACTTCCCTCTCTTAGAGTCGGCATTGTTCGTCTTGATGTCCTATAGTACGTTTTTGATTGCCGAAGCTGCCGACCTTACAGGTACAATTCAACAACTGATCATTCTCTTTCTTTCTCTCCCTCAAAGAAAAATATTTTGAATGAAAAAACTAACGATCTTATTTCTAAGTTCTTTATTGGTGAATTTCAGGTGTGGTTGCTGTTTTATTTTGTGGAATATGTCAGGCACATTACACATACAACAATCTAAGTCCAGACTCGCGTCAACGCACGAAGCAGCTGTTTGAACTTCTGAATTTCTTAGCTGAAAACTTTATATTCAGCTATATCGGAGTGTCAATGTTTACTTTCCCAAAGCATCATTTTGATCCTGGTTTTATTTTTGCAGGATTTGTATCCTTATATATTCTCATGAGATGATATTTGCTTATAAAGGAGAATATTGTCAGCTAAAATTTAGAACGGTAGATTCTGTTTCCTTAACATCTGTTTACAGCTATGTGCGTTGATAGGTCGCGCGGCCAATGTTTATCCGCTATCATTCATTTTGAATCTGGCACGAAAACCAAAGATTTCGTTGAATTATCAACACATGTTGTTCTTCGCGGGATTGCGCGGCGCCATGAGCTTTGCACTTGCCATTAGAAATACCGTGTCGGATGCTAGACAGGCTATGTTGACCACAACGAGTCTTATCGTTATACTGACGGTCATTCTGCAAGGTGGCGCGACAACACAATTCTTAAGCTGGTTTAACATTCCGTGAGTAAACTTATTTTATTATATTTTTATAAATATCTTTCATTTTCACGCCCCCTTCATTTTTTGCCTTTCAATCAAACATCAGATTATGTATTCAAAACATTTGTTTATGAGAAAATACATATTTTTATTAATATATAACACTATTGTTGTTTTTTTTAGCTAATTGTTTACATATGATTTACTTAATTGGTCTAATATTTTTATGTGCAGAGTTGGGGTAGACGAGGAAATAGAAGGACTTTCTCACAACGGAACGCGTAACGTAAGTATAACAATTTTGTCCTGATAAGTTCTCTGTATTAGAGCTAGTATCATGTAAGTATGTAAGTATCATGTAGCTCTCTGATAGACAGTTTATATTCTTACTCTATAATTTACAATTTTTATAATTCCGCACATCATCTCTATTTTTCAATTTTCACATTATATGCACTGAGATAATTGATACAGTATAATAAATTGTGTTTATATAAATAACTAGAAAAATTAATACTAGGATCATATCTAAACCTTAAAGTAAACAAATTCTGAAATCTAATGATGTACAAGAAATTAATTAAAAAAAGTTAACAAACTATCGATAACAGACATAATAAATCTGTATTCGTGTATTGTATAATATACTTAAACTCCAGTTGAACTTTTGCAAAAAATGTTGCAGTGTTTTTAATCACTCGTGATTACTCTATGTCAAAAGAAAAACTAAATCATATTCCACCGAAATCGCACAGGTTGCTTATTTTTGCATCCAAAGAATTTATTGCATGCTAGCATGATTATTATTTTGCTCGTGCAACTCTTGTCAGTGAAATGTAAATATTCGCGGTTAAAGAGAACACCACAATCCACAAAACCATTTAATTTTATAATGTTAATAGTCTGGCGGCGATGGTGGCTACGCTGATTTGGACACAAGTAGGGAGAGAAGTGTGCCGGTACGTTATTACAATATCAAACATTCACTAATAATCGCTCTCTTGAGTTTGAAAATTTGAAAGTTTAGACGAATTTACAACAACTCTTTTGTGTATTTTTCTATATAGCTCACATACGTTATTTACATGTTAATTTATTATTTACGCAATATTAAACATCAACACACACGCGACATATATACAGGATGTTCCGTAATTGCTGTACAATCTCTCGTAGGCAGGAAAAAGGAGTAAAACTGAGTCGAAAAGTTGTGAAATCAGTTTTTCTATTACTTATAATAAAGGAGTTATTATTGAGTAAATCAGGCTAATCAGCGCCGACCTTTAGCCGGGCGCGCGTAATGAGGTGTGCGTTCCGCGCGGCTCACTGACGCGCGCCCGGCTAAAGGTCGGCGCTGATTAGCCTGATTTACTCAATAATAACTCCCTTATTATAAGAAAAAATGGTTCAGAACTTTTTGTCTCAGTTTTACTTCTTTTACCTGCCTACGAGAGATTGTGCGGCAATTACGAAACATCCTGTATATATATATATGTATATATATACATATACAGGGTGTCCCAGAATTGCCGTACAATCTCTCGTATGCAGGTAGGAGTAAAACTGAGTCGGAAAGTCCTGAACCATTTTTTTCTATTATTTATAATAAAGGAGTAATTATTGAGTAAATCAGGCCAATCAGCGCAGACCTTTAGCCAGGCGCACGTCAGTGAGCCGCGCGCCTGGTGTGTGTGAGTGCTCACTGACGTGTGCCTGGCTAAAGATCTGCGCTGATTGGCCTGATTTACTCAATAATTACTCCTTTATTATAAATAATAGAAAAAAATGGTTTAGGACTTTTCGACTCAGTTTTACTCCTTCTATCTGCCTACGAGAAATTGTACGGCAATTCTGGGACACTCTGTATATATATATATATATATATTATTATTAATATATACAAATATATTATAATAATATAATAATATCTACACAGATAATTATACATCCAGTGCATAATTATTGTATATTATTTTTTAAGTAAAAACTGATAAGATTAATTTTATGTGTGTGTATAACACATGTGCATTCACATAGTGCACACGCGCGCGCGACAGTGACAATTTTTCTAAAAACAGTTAGATACACGAGATGTTGCTTTATTAAAACAAACGCAATTTTTTGTTTTTTTTTTTTTTTTGTTTTTGTTTTTGCTATGGCATGCGAATGTAAATTTATAATTTAAGTTAAATTTCTTAATTGCTGCAGCTTTACATTTCATCAAAGCTTTTGGTTGAATTTTGTCTTATTGACTGCATGTGTCTTTTTGGTTTTTTCAGTATGATTTTTGTTATCCATTCTGTATGTTGAAGAGTAGCTGGAGAACACAGATAATTTATAATTTATTAACAGTATATGAACTCACACAAACATGCTTAATTCGAGCCATGAGAATAATGACGAATAAGAAAAGCATGTATTTTGTTAACTAATAACAAAGATAACTTTCTAAATGCAAGTTGCAAAGAGAGTGTTATTAATTGATCGTGGTATAAAAATGTTGTTACTGACTTTTATATATTTGCACATATGTATATAATGTAACAATGCTCAAGAAAATACTTCTAAAATATTTAAAAAAAAAACTTTAATATTTTATTTAATTTTGTATAAGAAACATTTATTTGTGTGTAAATGTTAGAAAACTTTGCGCGTATTGCTTTTTTAATTAAAGAAAAAAACATCGCGCAGGACCATACAGGATGGATAACTGATAAGTTGTTCACATTTCACAGTATAATTCTATGCAGGATGGATCATTGCCAGGCAGTAGCAGCGGCGGCTCAAAGCCGAACGAGAAAGCATTGCTCGCTCGAATCTGGGGCGATTTTGATACCAAATACATGAAGCCTCTATTGACACATTCCAGGCCTACATTGTTAGAAACATTGCCGGTCTGTTGCAATCCATTAGCAAGAATTCTTACTACCACACAACAAATGACGCAGGTACGTAATGTTCGCTACACTCATTCTTATTACTCTGTCTCTGTGAAATATTTATTTATTTCTATTATTGTATAGACGGAATACTCTTTTTCATAGATTACTTCAGTATTTTATTAAATTGCGCGAGCGAATAAAAAAGATACATAAAAGATTTTTTGAAATTGTGTGTAATGTTTTGTTTTTTTTTTTTTTTTTTTTTTTTTCTTACATTGCCAGGATGATGTTGCAAGGAAAGCCGATTCGGATTCCGACTTCTGTCTGGAAGATCGCGAGCTGGAACGGCGCCGGACTAGCGTACAGCCGGTGAGTTTTCATCAACCTAATCTCAATTGTACTGTTAACCCATGCTATCAGCCTAACAACAGCACCAATCTGGACGAGCCCTATGTAATTCTCAATTTACACAGAAGGTAGAATTAATAAGAAGCCTAAAAATTTCTAACTACTTCCTGTGTATCTAAACTCTTTTTAGGAGAAAAAAAAACAAAGTCGTACGTGTACATATCCGTATGGATAAATTTATACGAAAGAAGTGTTCGAATTTAAATTTATAATTTGATAAGAACAGAGAAAAGAAATGAAACTCGCTGATGTAGATCACGTATAATTTTTCTCGATGTATTATTTTTACAATGAATTATTCTCGTTGTGTGCAGTCTGCTTTGCATTTTTTATCTTTGTCACACTCTGACTTTAGTTTTTTGCAAATCTTCGAAGATTTTATTCTTTTTTCTTTAGTGAAACACTTGATTTTACTTACTTGTTTTTCGCTTGGATAAAACTTTTGTTTCGCTCGTATCCGTCACTTCTATCGTATCATGTATATGTAACGCTTTGATGGCTGGTTCAAAGTCGTACATATTCCAGATCAATTATTAATCGAAAGTTAAGCATCTTTATTGCATATTTGGATTTAATTATGATTTAAATTTGAACACTTCGTAATTTATTTAATTAATTTTTATATAAATTATATGCTTTCCATGTGCATCTAACTGTTATATTCGAGTTTGCGAAGTTACACTCTTTTTGTTCTATAATATATAATATATTACTATCTCTTTTTTTTATATTTAAATTTTTTTCTTTTACATTATTCTCATTTTGAAGTGTAAACAGTATTAGCCGACGGCTATGAATACACTATGTAAATAGTTTTATATACGTTCTGCACGATGAATTCTATATAAAATAACAATCTTTCTTCCGGATGTGTAAAGATAAAAAACTGCATATGAAATAAAAAAAGAAAGGATATCAAATAACACAAAGATAACAAATGTATTCTCCGTATTGTCACATATTGTCCGTATTTTCAAATTCAGGAAGAACATTTGTTTCGTGTTTTCCGTAGGATTCATCTTGTACGTACGAACGACAATATGTAAAGAAAATATAGTTTCGCGCGATAGAATGTTTATCAAGGAGTACTTTACAGTGATATCACAATGGCCTCTGTATTCTTTTGTTTTGTTTTGTTTTTTTTTATTTTTTTTTTATACAAGACAGAATGTTGACAGAATGTTTATGTTGTATTATATAAAGCTAACTTTATCGAAATGTGTAATTTCTTTTGTTTTCGATTTTGTCAACAATGACAAAGGCCGAGAATTTAAATGCAATAACAGTGTAAATCGTAAACAAATTTATTCAATCTTTATGAACCTTATTATATTTTTTTCCATGGCATAACGATAAAATCTTTTCAACAAGATTACCTACATATTTTTATTCTTTGTTATATTAATTGCCTTCTAATAACCTTTGTGTTATACAATATTATCTTAAACTCATTCTCGAGAACAAAACCTCGCACGAAAATATTTTATTTCGCATTTTTGATTTATTTTTGCACGAAGAATTTTTCCTGATTGTATGTATTATCATTTCAATCACATTCTGTATATTAAACTATTCTGTTATTGCATTCGATACTTCAATAAAGACCGACAACATTGCAAATTGTAAATACATTTTAATCAGTCCGTTTGAACAAGGCAAATGTATGTATCGCTGTTTATTAACACAAACTAACATTTCTTTGCCGTGATCTCACATTATCATAATGCGTAAATAATGTGTAACAAACTAACCGCTGTTGTGTAAAACAGGAAGACACTGCGTGTCTTTAATTGTCACGGTGATTTGCAGCTACTTAGAAAATTAACACTGCTCTAGTCTAGTCTCAGGATTTGTTTAATAAATACGCAATTAGTAAATTAATGAATGAATATTTAACGGTAAAGGAAAACCGTAGCGTGTGATATTTGTATTAAAACAATATAATGAATTTTTCTCATGTAAAGTAACTTAAAATTAAATGTTTAATATATTTATCTTCTGAGAAAGAATAAACTTTCGATCTACTTTTGTATATGTTGACTTTTATATATAGTTATTGTTTTGTTTCAGCGTTTAAATCATACAAAAAATTCTATTATAAGATCATCATTCTATTATAAACCTAACTTGAAAATTATGTTTAATGTAAATAAAAGCCACGAACGTTTTTTTCTTAGTTTATTGTTTATTCTTTAGCTAAAATCATTGTAAATTATTTGCTGAGCTCTTGTTTCATCACCACGGATTGTTTTTACTGGTTTTCTTTTTAGAGAGAGAGAAACAATCACAGTGATGATGATGAGTATTTTTATTTTGATTCTGATTTCGATGACAAAGGAATGAGAAGTGGAAGAATGGTGGAATATACTCCGTTGCGCATATTGCAGCTGGAAAATCGATCGACGAACGATACATCTATATAAAAAAAGACAAACTTTTCTCTTCGAATTATTGTGATTTAGGTATAAAAAGATATAAAAAGTGACGTGGTGATTTTTCTGAAAGTAATACAACATGTACACAAATAATGTTTCGACATATATGTGTACATGTATTTCTATATATTTTGATGAATATATATAGGATAATAAAAAAGAAGAAAAGATTTGGAGTTTGAGAAGCACGTAGTACGAACTAAATAAAGTTTGCGGCATATAATGCCATTTTTTTTTTCAATTGCACGCGATCAATCGTGATCTGCAATCAAAGAATTGTCAAATCGTCGGTATCTAACTTAAAACATCAAGCCGCAAGTTTGAAGCTTCGATTCTTTTTACTATGTTTAGTGATTTCGTGCGAGTAAATCTTTTCTTTCTTGAATAGTGAAAAAATCACTTGTCAAATCTTGTGCAACATTCGACTGTAACATTAAACATAATTTTCAATATTTTCATTAATTTTCACATCCTTAAAACAAAGATGTTAAGGATAGGCTCAAGTTATTATTTTTGGTTATCCTTTTTTTTTTGCTAAACTTTTCGATACTTTCTATATAAATTTATTTGTAAAGGTGATAATCTACAGTGAGTGAAAACGACATTTTCACGCATGTAATGTAATGAAATGTAAAAAAAAGGAAAATCATTTTGAGGATTATTTTTTCTAGTAAATGATTGATAACAGATATAAAATAATGCAATCACGTTTGTCAATCATCTGTGCGCGAGCGTACAAATTTACATAATAATTTATGTAAATTTTTAATTTTGAAAGTGATAGAGCATCAAATTTCTTTAGTTTCCTTTATTCACTGTACTTTCTTAGTTATTATTTTGCATGGAACCAAAAGATCTCTGGCACATTAGTCATTTATTTTAATATACCTGCATGTACTACTTTACGCGTAGTATTTATCTACGTACTTTTAATTGGTTTTTGTTTAGTTGCATATTTTTATTTTATTTATTCGCAGACAAATGTCAGGAGCCTCTGCACGTAGATCGCAGTTGTGAACATGACGTTTTAGATTTATTCTACCGCTCCTATGTACATACATTTGTTGTAAGTGATTTACGTTTAAGTAATTAATTATCAAGCGTTTATAGTTTAAGATATATTTTTAAGAATAAGTTATATTGTTTCCTAAATCGTCATGTCGACATCTCACTTGTTGTACGTTTAAATGCTGCATTGACGTGCATTCTTGTTGAGAGATACCTCTACCAGTGATATTAAGAACTTACATATTTACGTTTGTATACTAACACGATTACACATTATTACGATTCGATAAGAAAGTCAATGCTGCAGTTGCAGGTTTTAGCTTTTAAGTATGAACCTTTCAAGCGGGCCTGTACAAGTTACAACGTAGAGAGCCTCGTATCCACTTATGGACGCGATTCTTTTTGCTACCTCTCTGCCGCGCTTGCATACCACATGTATGCACGCTCATATTGAAATATGCCTTATTCTGTTTGTTGCCGTCTCAGTGAGATAATATAAATAAAGAAACAAGTTTGTAAACTTTCGTTTGCACTTGAACAGGCTTGTTTTAGACAATAAAATCACGATGTTTTTAAATGGTTGATTTAATTTAGTTGGTTTTTAATTAATTGCTAACTTTTCCAAATCACATTCAGTATTGTAAAGAACAATCTGTTAAACAGAAAACAAAAATCGAATGGAAATAAAATCTTGAAGTACGATTTGTTATATCTCTCTGCTGAGAAATCAACATTCGAGTCGAAATATTTTATTTCCAGTTTATTTACTTGATTTGTAATTTGAGAAACACTTGAGAGATATGTCTTGAAAGCAAATTTATTATTATTCTTTCTTTTCTACAAATGACGGTAATATCAGCCCGTACGCGTATACAGATACGATAAGAAAATTCGTCGATGTACAAGCCGGAGGAGCGATTTGGAATTGAGTCTTGATATATTTTTAATACTTTTGTGGGACAGTTGGGGACAGTGATGATGATGAGAGAAGTTAGTCCGGGACCACTACCGCTACATACACGAGTCGCCCTGCCAGGTCTGGTTGGTAGACACTTATAAAACTATATTTCCATAACTATGTCATTTCATTGTTTTATTTTGCCGCTCATTATATATCTTGTACGAGGTTTTGTACTTTCTATGATTAGTTAAAAACGTACGGTAATTGTGGAACAGTAAACAATTAATGTCGATGCTGTTTCCTTTTTTTTTCTTTTTTTTAATACGATAAGAGTTTATAAAGCGTACATATAAATGTTGATATAAAATTTTCTATAAAAAAAAGTTATGTCACTGGATGTAATAAGTATTTAGAACTAAGTAAATTTATCGTTAATTAAATTAAAAATTAATAATCTCTTTTTTTTAAATATATTTCATCCGTCAAAAAAAATTCTATGTATAATCATCGATTAAGTACAACGAACAAATAAAAACAAAATCTTGTATTGTAAAACATTATAATGGAAAAAATGTTTAATAGTTTTTTCTTTAAATGTTTTTATTGTCTATATATTTTAAAAGTAATGTATTATAGTTTATAATTTATAAAATAGTTTATAAATTATATGTACAATTTACAGTGTGACTTCACACAAATTAAAATTGTAAACTAAATTGTGATTATTTTGAAAATTCACTATATAACTAAAGTGATAAATGTATCGTAAAATGTATACTCCAACCAATATATTCACATACACGTATATATTCATATTCATACAAATAATAACGCTGCCGATTGTGACGATAAATTTCTCCAGACGATTATATATTTGTATGAAACTAATGATCATGTATATGTTCGAAGTAAGCATGCAAAGTAAAGAAGATCATTCTCATTAAACATCACAAAATTTTTAAGGGGCACTTTAACATACGTTGTACATTGGCAAACGGAGTATGCACGTGTACTTTTAGTTAGAAGAAATGTTTTTTATATTTATCGATTTTGCTAGATCTGTATAGATATTACTCTGGCGACGAAGGGAAAGTATAAAATATATACACAGTAGAGCCGCCGACTGTGAAAATCACGCAACTATAAAGTCGTACAAAATAACAATATATATAAAAATCGGCTCTTATTAATTGATGTGCTTTATCATATGGTCACAGCAAGAGACGGCCAAACGTTTTTAAATCACGCGTTGCTTGTATTCAAATATTTTGTTACATACATTTATGACAACGTATACGATGATAAACAAAGAATATTTAAATATTTCGATTTGTATCTTTGATTTATTCTTTTTTTCTTATTGAAACTTAGACGAGTAAACAAAGCAGAGACATTTGTACTTTTCCCTCTCTTCCGACATTAATCTAAACACCTTTAGTATATAGTTTATCAGAATAAATAAGAAGACAAACACAAGACACAAGTGGATTGAATCTTAATTTAATCGTTGGCTGTGAAGATTTGATAAAAATTGTTTGCGGGAATATACAGATAGATATTAGAAGAATAAAGAGTGAATCCTTTAGATAGAAGAATTTCTAAATATAAATCTTATACATCTAAATATATAAAATAATATTTAGAATAGCAGACGTTTAAAGATTCCTGTTTGTTCAACGCAACCATATTGAATTACAATACCAGTAGTGAGAAATATACAACGTTGATAGAAAAGTTTATATTAAAACTTCCTTATCATTGTGCATTCATAAAAAAAAGTCATATAGTTCAGTTTACGTCATAATTCAATATAGTTGTAGCGAGACAAACAAGAGCCTTAATTTTTGCAAGTAAATCATTGTGAAAAACTTTGGTTTGGGACAAGTCGTATTAATTTGATAGTCGTTGTAGTTAACAAAGTCGTAATACAAGAATGAGCACATTGCTCTTTCATATAAATATATATATATATATATAAATAATGTTTGTGAATCTGGCGTAACGTGTAATAATATATTGCAATATTATACTTATGATGGGTATGTAATAATGTTGTGATACCATGTACTAAACCATGTAGTGTTTAATAAAAGATATTTGTAAAAATATATTTACATATATATATTCTATATTCGTTGATGGTTTAAGGAAACAGGATGCGAGTAATCAGAGCTCGATGCTGGCGTGATAACGTTAGGCCGACCGCGATATTGGGTTCGAATCTCGCTGTCTTACATTTCAGTATCTTAGAACTTATTTTACCAAAAGTAAATATACACATAAACCAAAGAAAGAAACCAAAGGCGACGTTATTAATTATTAATTATCTCCTACGATATTCTTCTTGTTTCGTACGTACCTGCTATTTGGACTCTTTTTTTTATTGTGCATCCTCTATCATTCTCTATCACTTTTTGACGATCAAGCTCCCGTTCCCAGTTTTGATCGGAAGTCCCAAGTAGCAGAGCATAATTCAAGGCGAATGAATCGCTCTCGTCAAGTTCTCTTTTGTCGAAGAATTGTGAAAATAGGAAAAACTTGATTTATGCGAGTTAATCGATCCCGACTTGAATTATGAAACTTTGCTGTAATAGATCATGTGGTAACATAGAAAATTTTCAATTTAAAGTAAATAAACCAATTTTTTAGAATTGTCATCAAAATTATATTTAAAACGTAATAAACATCGGTCTCACAATACATAATTTCTTTAAACAAAATTAGGAACTTTTTAAATTATTTAGAAAACGCGCGCGCGCACACGTGAGAGAGAGAAAGATTGAAAAAAAAAGAATAAATGTAAAAAGAACATATACAATACAATATCTACTAATATTTATACTAATAAATTATTGTTTTGTTTAAAGTACATAATACTTGTAATTTTAAAATATTATGATATATTTTTTTTGTCAAATCCTGTTTCTTTTAAGCATTGTTTTAAAATCTATACATCATATACTTTCAAGCCATCTATGTACATATTGTACCTGTATCAGGTACTGCAGACAGAATAAGGACGGTGAACATTTTCGAGCAAGATATTTCAGAAAATATCTTTTACATAAATGTCAACTTGTTTTAGGGATTTACATATCAAGAAAATAAAACTTATTTATAATAAACAAAATCTCTCCCTAATATATACATATACAGTAGTCACAGCTTGCCGTAAATCAGTGAATTTACTTCTACTACATCACAAAAACGAAAACAATCCGATTCTTGTTTTTATAATATTGAACGACTAGCTCAGTCTTAAAATTAGTGCGCTCTGTTCTCGTACCCGATAGAACACTCTCTAATCACCGATCTACAAGCGATCACTACTGTAGGTATGAATATATGTGTGTGTGTGTGTGTATATATATGTACATATATACACACATTAAAAACTGCATACACTTATACACAGTATATCAAAAATTTAGATTGTGAGAATTTCTTTCTATGCTTTTATGCAAAATTACAATTTTTTTACGTTTCCCTGAACGAACTCCTTTGAACAGAATCTTCCTTAGAATTTTCATTAAAGCTTTTTTTTCTATAAAGTTCTAAACATCTTTTCTTACACTCTAAGTTTCTAGCAAAAATGTTAGAAATTTGTTTATATTATTAGACATTCATTAATTTTGTTGAAGAGTAAGCACATGTAAACACTTTATGTAATAAGTTTATGTTCGATTCATAATTGAGTTAAATATTTTAGCGCAAACTCTATAAAATTTTATAAAATTTATAATTTATCTATAATTTCTTACTTGTGAACGGTTTTCTAAATGATTAGTTTAATAAATCTTTGATCCAAACAAAATAAGAACAAATTGTAACATTTATATAGGTAAATTGTTATATTTATTATAATTTTTATTGTTTTTAGAATAAAAAAATTATTGCCTCTTGAAAACATACATAATCATGCTGTAAAATATTTTTTTCTCATAAATTAAAAAAATCGCCAATTATACCATTGTTCTTTACAATTTTGGAAGTTTCTTTTGAAGAGTTTTTTACTATTAGACGTAGATTCTTCATTATATATTTAAAATATATATGTTATATACACATATTTGTACCGTATAACTAAAAAATATTCTATATATATATTTACATATACACATATCACGACTTAATAAAAAAAGCGAAGTTTGTGCGGTACACATGTACATGTCCTGAATTGTCCGTAAGACAATAAAACTCTATTCACCCATCATACTCATTATCATAAGTGCAGTAGTAATTATGTAAAACATAACAGATATAGATTAGACATATTATGATATATATGTATATATTATGATCAAAGTATAAAAATACAATTTTGATGATTAATGTGTACTTTGTTCACATAAAACATAGACAATACATTAATTTGCTGCCAGTATGTGTTAAAATCTGCAATATGAGTCGTTTCTCGCGCGAATTATATATATAAGATGTAATTAAATATTACATGAAAATACGTATGTACATTAGAAAAAAATATATAGTAAATTAATGTCAAAATAATGCAAGATATGACGAATACGCGATCTAAATTAGAAAGGAATTTAAAGTTGTTATATTTAAGAAATAAAAAACTTAAATAAGACCGAGAAAAGCTAACGTGGTTATAAGGTAGGATACTAAAAGAAGATAGAATATTATGGCGTTCTATGCTGAAGCTCTAAAGTGCAAAAATACACCACCTTCGATTTAGGTAATAATAAGATTAGATATTTAGTTGTACATTGGTAACCACGTTGACTTTTATTGATCTTATCTAAATTTTCGATTTTATAAAATCTAAAATTGTAAAAAAAGACTAATAATTACAAGTATCACTTCTTCAATATCATACTGATAAACGTTGTATGTCAGGATAATGTAGACGATCCTGTTCAAAGGTCGGATTTAAGAGAATAATATCTTTTGCTCCACTTATGTGTGATTTTTCTTATAATACAAACATTAAGCTTTGTCGATAGAAGCATCTTTCATAATGTCATCTTTAGTAATATTTTGGTTCATTTGGTCATTTTCGTACTCCACGAAGTCGTCGAATAAACTTGGCCATGCTTCTGCGTCATCATATGCGCCTAGATCATCCCCGATACTTTCGGCAAAGTTTAGAAACATATTCCAAGTGTCTCTAGGTATTCCTCGGATGTGATGACATTCTAAAAACTTGAGCCATCTCATCAAAAGCGGAGGCTCGCGTATCGTGAATACCAGTTTCCACAAGACAATCGCCATGTCAACTGGTAAAATTCTCTGACCAGACGTCACGTCAAGGCCAAATCGGAATGTGAATCTATAGAGATCCTTGAATAAATCACTATTGACCATTAATTCCTGAACGATCTCAGGTAACCGAGCTTGTATACTACGTAGACTGTCGACCTTCATTGCCTTTAATCCAGTGACAAATTCGTGACGTGTAAATTGGCACATCTGTTCCGCATTTAGCTTCCATGCAAGCACAAGAACTTTGAATTCATCTGGTGATAGTTGTAAGTCATTACAGAGTTTTTCTATGCCTTCAGCTAATATTACATCGTCTTGATCCTTGAAAATAAATATTAGTTATATTACAATCAAAAAGATGTATATAAAACTTAATATATAAAATTTTTTCTTGTGAACCTTGTACCTTATATTGATCAAAAAGCGCATTTAGTTTGCTTTCCGATGGTTCTTTTTGTTGTTTAGGATCACTTGTTGCATTAAGACCCGATGACGTACCAGAACGTCCTAATGGTTGTAGTCGTGCATAAAATCCTCGAGATAAACGCATGTTATTTTGTACACTAGGCATAGATCCATAATTATCGGAACCTACATTAAATGTAGACAGTGTACTTATAGACTTTCTGTTTCCATTCACTTGTGTTTCATGCATAAAAGAACCAGATTGTTGGCAAGAATTTGGATATAAACCTCTGAGTTCCATCAGTTCTATGAAAAGCAATAAGATTGCATAAATATCTTTATTTTTTTCATGAATATATAGCCAATAAGATAAAGTAATAAGTTTAAGCTAAAATCAACTATTTGTGTATATAAGCGATTACTTAAAAACAACTGTTAACACTTGTATAGAAATAAACTTTCTTGGAGAAGCAGAAAACATTTTCTGAATGAACTGATAACACTTGGAATCTTTTTCCAGGTAATCTCCAGAATTCTGAGGCACATTTTATACAGTGCAAATTCTCTATACATATGTTAACATGTTTTTTAAGAATCCTGTATGTAATCAGTTCTGTTAATTTATACATTATCATTATATTTACCGTCTTTATGCTCTACTATAACAACAGGTTGATCAGTATTGATTGATGGTGGAAGTGGCACTTTAAAGCACGAGAAACAGTTTCCCATTGATGCTGACCGTACTTGACATCAAAGACAATTATCCCATGCATCAGTGATTCAGTCTTACATGGCAGTCTTGATAGAAAGGTGGAACCTAACAATAAGTTTTATTGTTTAGTATTATTATTGTTCAAAATATATATATTTGTTGTTCAAAATATATATTAAGTTTGATTTAATTTTTACTGTATATCATGTATAATTAACATTTAATAGATATCAACTTTTTGATAAATAAACAAATTATGTGCCATGAGCTTCATGTGTGAAATGCAATGCAAAACAAAATATAAATGTAGAAAGATTGGTGCATTGCACTCAAATCAAAGACAAAGCTGTAGTTTAGTTTGGTAAATCATACACAAAATTCAGTAATTGGAGATTGCTTTGTGTGGCTAGCTGTAGCATAATTTTAGAGATCAAACTTCCCAACAATTTGATATACAATAGCACTTGTTAAAGCAAGAACAAAATTTACATAAGCAATATTTTAACACATAATTACAAAAAGATAATAACGAGAAGATAATAAAATTCTGTCGACAGTATGAGTCATGCGTAAAAAATCGTAAACAAAGAGAAGTCAGCGAACGTGAAATAACTTCGACCAGTGGTACCTTGATAAGGCGATCTTTCGGTTGATCCCGGGTGTCGATAGTAGTCTCAACCAAGACTTGCCGCAAAATGATATCTCTCCTGAGCCGCATTCATTAATCTTCAAGCAGCAAATGAAAGGGAGAGGGATGCTTCCGGACGTGTCGTGTGCGGTAACGCGTGTGCGTGCGTTATCTACAAACTTTCCCAGATCAACAGAAAGACGCCGCGCTACTTCTCATATCCCTGAACATTTTTCCTGTATGAAGACGAGTCCCCCGACAGTGGGATTCGACCTAGCAGCTCAGTCTGCGTCATTTGTAACGACGCTGTAACCTCACGCGATCATCAAACGTCAGTGACAATGACAGCAACGACGATGGCGATCTCATTCCAAGCATACAACGTTCATTCGTGATTACTGCCCACACCAGCTGTAGCGGTCACAGCCGTAGCGGTCGACGAAACTGGCACATCACGTTTACCACTCTTTATCACCACACAGAGCAATCGGTCCCGAGAAAACACCGCGACAAAGATCTTCCGTGAGCATTATATCAGAGAGAAGACTGAGAGCGGCCAGGCCTATAAAAGAACGTGTAATCGCTTTTCCGCCCTATAAGTCAGCGCAATGTTCATGGGTGGTGCACATTAGCAACTACGTAGCCATGTCCGCAAACAAACTTGTCGGTACATACGTTATGTTCACACATGGATATGGTTCTATTCCACGTGCTATGTGTCCACAGCATGCAGTTCTATACCGCGTTCAATTTGAGAAGAAAAATCGGATAATTAAGATAATCCAGATAATTAAAATGTATGTACGCGGAAGCAATAGGAAAGACCTTCTGAAACTGAACCATTTTATGACATTGAAAACATTTTATTCAGTCAGTAAGAAGCACTCTACATGATGATAATAATAATCATAGTATAATTATTCGTGACAATAATAATAAATTAATAATTATATAATTATAATAATCCGTTTGTCATAGTAACCACAATTTGTAAATACACAATGCAATGCATTAAGGTCTTCCGTAGGTTTTTCTCTACCACGCGTTACTTCCGCTCCGAAAGGCATTAATGCATCCCAGTGTACAAGATAAACTCACTAAACTCACTTTTTCTCTCTTCTTCGATTCTCTTGCGCTCTTCTTTCTCGCGGTCTCTTTCGCTCACATGTTGAGAATTCTGATTTTTTTTTTTTATTTATTTTTTTTTTTTTTATGTAGTATACATAAAATTACAGAGAAAGAGAAAAAGTCTCTTATATACATATATGTGTGTATAATTTATATATTTATATATGAATCTCTTTCTCTCTCCCCTCTCTTGTCTTTGTGTGTATGTGTGTGCGTGTATGTGTGTGTGTGTGTATGTGTACATTTATATAGAAATTATGGACTTATAAACCAAATATACTATATATTTTGAAAGACTATAAATGTCAATAAATCATTCCTATTATCAACTTTGTCTCTCTGCTGCAAAGATACTTCTTGAGACTTCTTTCTTTCTTTCAGTTTAGCATTCGGCAGCATTGTTGAATTTGAAGGACTACGCATTTAAAAATTTACAGACGGTAGCTCTCTCGCTTTTGTAATATATATTTATATGTACATTTGTAGAGATGCGGTTTTTAATCATAAAAAAAAAAAAAAGAAGTCATAGCAAAACGATGTGTTATTGATTGTACTAACGACAGATGCAAATCTCAATTCTCTCTAAATCGACAATTCGCAAAAATTCTTGTTTGTACAAAACTTTTGCTTACACGTTTCTTAAAATGAATGGGTAAGCAATCTACTTTTTTTTTTTAACAAATTCCGTAAGATTATATTTCATAAAGAAATATCGGTGATCAAACAGGAAACATTACAAAAACTGCTGCAGCAAGTGAGAGCGACCGCTGCAAAGTTTTTTTTCCCATTATTGTAAATTCATATTTCTATTGTAATTTGAGGTAGTGTATTCAATGTAATCCTATTATCTCTTGCTGCTATATGTTGCGTGTGGATATGTTTTTTATCATATGAATACTTCTTCCGGTTATCTACTTGTACTGCGACCGCGAGCCCGAACTAGTAATAAGGAGATCGTAGGACAAATTTCTCTTACGCATGATAATTGGAATGTTATCGACGATGTAATCGAGATTTGTATTCTGTTGCGGCCCAAATCCGTCTTAAGATCCACATAATTTCAAATCAAAGTTTGTTACAATAACTTATCATACAATAATGTGTATATACTATATATAAATATAATAAACATTAAAAATATACTCTCTATATACAAGACACAGCATTAATATTATTAAATATATAACGAAACGATTTGTACAAGTTGTACTTCTATTAAAAAGAAAAATTAACTATATATAAATTATATATTTATATATATATGATATATAACTTGTTTTCTGAACGCAACAGAGAGTATCATGTAAATCTCTGTTCTAGCGCGCATGAGTCAAATTTTGTTTCACAATCTCCCATTACTAGTTTAGACACGTATTATTGCACAAAAAGTGCATAATCTGGCAACAGAAAGTTGCGATAATTCAGATTGGAATAAGTAAAACTTTGCGAGACAATCAGACCGGATCGTCTAAAAAGACCTATATATGCGAATAAACCAGTCGTATAGCGAGCTCATGCTTCATTCCGAAACTCACCAAAAAGGCGTAAGACTCTCATTTTGTATATGCGTACTGTCAACTATTGATTCGATATGTGTCGTTGCACGTTAGTAAACTCTATACTATGAGTACAGTAACCTTAAATATATTTCGGTTCTGTATAAGAGAGAAAGGAGCTTCCATTTTTATCCCAGCATATTAATCACGCCGATAGGAAGGAAGCGCCACAACAAAATATATGTTAAAAGAACTTTTATAAGAAGGCACTCTTGCTCCCAAAAGTTTTGCTCGGGAGCAAAGAAATTGAGACACTTTTTAATTTGGTGAGTCTTGGAATGGATCAAACTCGCTCGGTTCATCTGCTTATTAAAAACAATCTGAATAAGAATGCAAATACTGTAGGCCTCGAAACATGTATAATTATGTATAATTCGTATAATTGTGTGATAAAATATCATCACGTATCAACGCGCACATCCACGCGCGCACGTATATGTGTGACGATACTTGATTCTTTTTGCAGCGCAAAAAAGTCACGGAATATTGCACAAATTCGTTTCGTTGCAAGATTACAGAACAAAAAAAAAAAAAAACAATTCACAATTAACCGTTTAAAAAGATCGCGATGTAAGTCGTAGCGAGAATATATACGACCGCACTGACGTATGTAAGATACTTATGTAACAATAAATCGTTTTTATATTCACTCAAGATTTGATTTTTGATATACTTGATATCTATAATTGAATATCTAACCTCCGGTTATTTATAATCGATAAATAAATCTACGATTTTGAAGACTCTATGTTTTGCTTTTAATTCTACTTGACGCAACGTAAGAAACTTGCAACTCCACGTATCTGCAATATAACTAAAAGTTTTTGTTGTACAAAAACTGTGTGAACCGGAAGTCTCTGGGGCTCGCAGCTCGCGCCGGTCGTAGATGTGCTTCAAAGAATTATCGTCTAATCGTGCAAATGGAGTATGAGGAAGCCGAACGTCGGACAAATTCTGTTAAGATTTCGTTTCGCGCACGCAAGAATCAATTATAATACCTATTGTTCTCATCAGGAAAATTGTGCTTCGCGAAAAATCCGTCCGTAATTCGGCACTTTTCAACTTCATTTTTTATTTAATACCAAATACGACAAGGCTGCTGACATTAGGCTTGCTAGCACTTTGTAAATAATGCCCAGCGGTTGTGCTATTTTGTTAAGTTTTCTCTTTAACTATTACTTCATGAATAATCATTATCACATTTTTTCTTTTTTTTCTGTTTTAATTAAATTGTCCCTACAGATAGTCGAGAAAAAAGGGGAAAGGGTGAGTCGTGTATCTCGTCGGTGCCGCGCCAAGTTGGCTCAATCTATGAACACTTCTGTAAAAAATATAATATCTATGGATGGTTGAGCCCTTGGCCAGCATAACGCACTGAATCGAAGTTAAATCACCTCTCTCGTAGGAAGGAAGTGAGGGGGGGAGGGAAGGGTAGGAACGGGGCGGAGGTAAAAAATGCAAGAAAGATCACTTCTGCACGGAATGTGAGCAATGCGGCTCTATAATACACACATCTACCACAGAATAACGTATTTCGCATCTTCTCCCGACTCTTTTACATCGAAAAGAAACATCTCACTCGGACGTCATCACAAAGCGCGGAGATCCGAGCAACAATAGTAAAAAAAAAAAAAAAAAAAAAATGCATGTATTCAGGGAAAGATCAATAATTCCTACTTTTGCGCGCAGTTTGATTGTACGCGCGAGTTCGTACTTTATATAAATGGCTTGCAGAAGTGATTTTTACTCGAAGTCTTCGTCGTTTGTTCGTTTCGTCAGTTTTCTATGTCTCGTGTGTGTGTGTGTGTGTGTGATTCGACCAGACTTGCCCCTTCTTTCTCTCTCTGCAGAAATCAAATAGTCAATTGAAACGAAATCTGAGAACATGACGACAATTTTGAATTTTGACACTCGTGTTATCCTTATATTACGTTAATATAAGTTTAACAACTTAGAACACCAACGCAAGAACAACAAATGTACAATGTACAATACACAAGCACATTGTATAATAATAAAATTAAAATAGAAATGAGACTTAACGTAAAAACATGACTCACATCCAAAATGTTTACAGTAGCCTCAACTGTTTCACCAGGGGAAAAACACAAACGAAAAACATACATATAATATAGTAAAACTAGTACCTACTTGACTACACTAAGACAGCGAGAAAATCCTAAGACATGCAATATCGACGAAACATCATTTCTGCTTTTTCCTCTTTTTTTTTTTTTTTTTTTTTTTTTTTTAAATCATTTTTTCCTCTTTTAGAAGTAGTGCCGAGTGCGTGCAGTTCTCCTAGAGATCAATGTCTTTTTGTTTTAATTTTGAATTTCCTAACTTTTGCATTCTGCTGAATGTCTTGTGATTTTTACGCTTGCGTTAACAATTAATTCAATATCGTCTCTCCTGCTAGTCACTGATTTACACCCGTCTTTCTCTCTTTTTTTCCTTTCTTTTTCTATATAGCTGGAGAATATCTCAAAATAAAGCAGAATGTTCTGCCTTTAACTTTTACATGTAATTCACAATTTTCAATCTTTGGAGCCATTTCAAATTCACTATTCAATCCAACATAACGTTACAATATTACGCTATTGTGACACATTATTTTTTCACTAAGCTCGTATGTGCCATTTCGTGTTTTCTGACTCCCACCTCCCTCCCCTCCTCTGCGCTCATGCATTACTCGCGTAAATCACTGTTTTCATCGACAGATTTCGTCTTAACTCCACAGATCAAAATTGATCTCTCTTGGACAACAGTTAAAGATTAAAATCATTATTAACTAGAATTATCAATTACACGATCATTAATATGTCTTATCTTATATAATAACCATTGTGCTATTTTTACTCCGTCATTGAGACACACGTTGCCTTAACTTTTTCTCTTTTATTACTAGATGTTACGATGGTATTTTTAGCTTAATTTAGTAACGAGTATATATTTAATGGCATCTGCTTTTTGTTTCAAAGAAAAAGTCGAATAAATTTATTTTTCCTTTTTTTCTTACTGTTTACCTTAATCGTTAGTGCTCAAAACTCCGAGTTTTTTCCAGTTTCAAAGTAGCCTTTTAATGATGTCGTTTTTTCTTGAAACCTGTAACAGAGCGTAACTTCAGTATCAGTCAAGATAACACGTCTGCAAGAATTATCGCGAATGATATCTTACTCTTTTTAGCTTTTCCTTTTCTCTGAGCTTTCCTCTTCTTGGCGGACTTAGTACCTGACTCGCCAAATGTAGTAATCTCATCGCCAAGAGTGCCCAGAGTCGTCATCTGACGACGCCTGTGTTTTTCTTGCTTAGTTACAGGCAAGCGCGTCATGTAGTTCTCCTCGTACTCGATCTTCTGCTTGTCCTCACGCATTAAAATAGCTCGTTTTCCACCCGTACCTTGAGTATCTTCTACGGGAGCATCCAAATATTCTTCTTTTAATTCTTGCAGCACTGTATTTGATATAGCACGCCTACGAATTCGTTCACCAGCTTTGCGGACTTTTTCAGCCTTTGTTTCATCGCCATCTGAAAACAATTACAATATTTAAAATTGAATTAATATTCAGTCTATCTCATCCAAGAATATTTATTTATTTTCTAAGTATTGGCCTCAAATTTTTTTTTCATTTTATGACTTTGAAATGATCGGTTTCACATTATCGTTAATTAATTTTTAATGCAAAAATAAAACTGTTTTAGAATCAGATACAAACCATAAGGTACTGCAGCAAGTTTTGGTGGGACATATATATTTGACTTTCTGAGCTGCTGTGTTATTGGCTTGAAACTATCCTCCTCTTGATCACTATCCTCAAAATCTTCATTGTCCAATTTAGCAACCAGTGCATTAGGATTAGCTTTAAAGTTGCAAGGATTGTCACTGTTAATGGTGCCAGTAACAGCAGTCTTGACGAGCTTATCTATCTGGTACTTAAGTTTGTAATCAATTGGTCGGATTTTCTCCAGGACAGTCCTGATTTCGATCAGACGATCAATCGATGGATCACCTTCAATTCTCTCACCGGAGCATTTTCTCAGCACAACATAGGTCAAATTGATAAGATAAGACAATAACATATGATACTTCATTTCTAAGAAGCTGAGACCCTTATCAGTGGAGATTTCGCCATTTTTTACACGAACCAGCATATTGTCCACAAGCTGGTTTACTTGCAGAACATTGGCGTTCATCTCCCCCAGCAGACGAAATGCCTGTGGGAGATCTCTCTGCTCCATTTCATCAATAGCCTGCAAATAAAAATTATTATTAGCATGTTCTCATTAATACCAGAAGTAACAAGAACCAATATCAAATCTTACAATCATTGTCACTAAATTCTTGCACGATTATATAGAGAAAAACAAAGAATCAGAACGTATTGTATCGTTTATTTTCGTTGGCGGATATTTTTGTGTGAATAGGTTAAGCAGATCGGAAGGCGCGGAAATGTTTTTCCGCAAAAATATTTTTACAAATTACGAGTTTCATCTAGGACATATTCAGGCCGGGTAGAAAAGTGCGGCGCAAATCGCGTACTTCACGGTAACAGCGGTGTTTCATTCAAAAAACAGAAAACGCGGCAAATTTTATGCGTGAAAACGCGCTCAATAAGTAAATTCGGTGAGGTTTTCAGCCAAGACCGCCCGGCCGTTCACAGTTTCACAGAAAAATGTCCGCCGGGGTGAGCAGCACGGGAAAAAAGCGCAATAATCTGCTGCCATCTTTCCTATTTACTAATGGATGACAGTGGAAAAAAAAACAATCAAAAATTTCCGATAGGGAGCTGGGCAGAAAAAAGCGGCGATTTTTGCGCGCCGCGGCCGAGAACGATCACAAAAACACGCACATGACACGCCACTCACCTGAACCATGCTTAGGCACGAGGAATTAACCCAATAGACACATTTCCAAACAACGTAACTTGTAATTAAACGAGTCCCCACGTGGGACGATATTTTCCTTCACGGAGAGGGGGGATATTTTTTCGCTCGGAAAAGTTTGGTCAATGCAGCGACTGTCGCAGGAATCACTAGGGTCCGGATTTTTCATTAATTTATTGCTGAATCACACAGAGTACTGTTATTTTATTTTTCAAACTCCGCAAAATAAAAATTGGTGCATGTGTTGTATGAAATAGTTGCGATTTACTTCTACACGATGTGAAACTTCCGTTCGAGCAAGGCAAAAGCGGCGCCATCATCGAAATAGTTATCCACCTTTGAGGTAACCAGCAGATAGAAATATAAAATATTTTATGTGTATAAGGTGCACATATGTGTACGTACAGTCGCGAATAGTTTAAATATTAAGTTGCATTAACTTTTGTTTTATCTTTAAAACATAAAGTTCCATATAGTTTTGAAATATATTCATCTATATATAGATATATTTATGAATTATGAATACTTGAGAGGTATAACAATAAACGTTCCTAAATAACGTATCCAAAAAATTTTATTAATATTTAGATTAAAAAATAGCAAAATTTATTGAATAAAAACACCAATTATATTGAAAAATGCAAGAATATCCTATATTGTCAGCATCAATTTTTATTGGTCAAATAGATTTCTATTTTAATTTTGTAGCACCATTCTCATCTTCATGTATATGGACATATAATTTACAAAATAAAAAAATAATTGTACATTATTACAGGTCTATACATATATTGTCTTACAAAACTACATCATATACAATCAGACCATATTTGTTAAGTGGATTCATTAATTATGTGATACTATTTCTCATTAATAAGAGTCAAACAATAAATCAACATTTTTTGCGATATATTAATTATTACGAAGTCCAGTCATTTTTATTATTTTAACCACCCATTTTACTGTCAACAAGTAAAAACTATCTTGTCATGAACAAATCATATGTAACAAAAATTACGTTTGCACGGCAACGATAATTTAGTAACATTAGTTTTTACAAAGAACGCGTTCGACTGATCAATTCCGTATTTTTTATCTCATCAAAGCAATTTATCAATTTCTCGCGAAGTGATGTTTCCAGATCGTTGTCGTGTAGACGTAGAAAAAGTTAACACGTTAAATTTCTGTAATTATTTTTACAAACAACTCGCATCGTTAATAATTTCCGCTGTCATTTGCTTGTCTTGCAAGACTGCATCCAATTCTTCCTGATCCCACTGCAGATTTACTTTGCGCAAACGTGCCTCTTTCTTACCAACAACTTTTAAAATGCCTCTGGTCTCTACCAATGAGCATAAATTTACGAATTCGGAAGCATCGACAGCATTTATATTGCGCTTTTTGCAAACCTTTTTATATACCTCGTGCAACTGAAAAATAAAGTATTACTTGAAAAACAAATTTTCACTTATAATTTTAAAACAAATTATTGTAAGTTTAATCAACTTACACTTCCAACAGTAACGTCTTTGTTTCTTCCTTTATTTAGGATAAGTAACAGCGAGCAAAGCAACAATTTCTGTTGAATAGGGAATGTATCCTGTTCTTTATTTAGATTTTGTGTACTGCCATAGACTCCGTTTAAAAGTGTAGCTACTGTTTTTAAATCAACCTGCTTCTCAGCTTCGATCTTCTTTTTTGAAAAGTCTGTGTTTACATCTGAATAAAAGAAAATATTAAATTATTTATATACATTCTAGAACATTTTTTTGGCTTCATACATTAAATCTCTTTATATTTTTTATTAATATATATCAAAAATGAATTTTTATATACTATGCATGTAAAACATTGATTTCTTTTGTGCATATAACTTATATTTATTGATCTCTTAATTTTTTAAACGAAAAAAATTCACTTACCATTATCATTCGTCGGACAGAGTACTTGTGCTATTTGATGTGACTCTACCAATTCCACGACCCTTCTGCTTATATCTAGAGCTTTCCTGATATCCCCAGATATAGCTGCTACTTTGCCTGCGAGCAGCTGTATTGCAGATGGTGCAAAAACATTGGAGGCATTTGCTTGATTTAGCCTCGCCAAAATTATGTCGCTTATTTGCTGTTTTGTATATGGCTTAAAGTGCATTAACGTTGGCTTTAATTCGCATTTTGCCTGCAATCTAGGTAATATCCTGTCTGTAAGATCCAGGGCGTTAGCGATTCCAACAAGAATGAGTTTGGAATTTGGTATAGACGGCCATTCGAATATAGAATATAAAACTGACTGCTTTCTGCTCTCCAACTGGTCTATTTCATCAAGTACTAATAGCAGCATTTTATGCTCGGATGTTAGATATTTCTCTACAGAGGCCTTGCTGTTCTTCTTAGACGTTGCATTTTTTATAGACAACTCCTGAATGATTTTTCCATAAATGGCAGCTGCGGATTTCATGGTAGTGCAATTCACATATACCATCTTGAGTTTGGATCTCAGTTCAGTTTGTTGCATAATCTTCAAAAGACTAGCAGTTTTTCCAGTGCCAGGAGGACCCGAAATATACAAACAACCTGACGTCCTTTGCTTGCAATGTGTCTGAAGAAATTCTTGCAGTTCAGCTAACTCCTTTTCTCTTCCGTACAACTCCTCAGTCTCACAACTATGCAAAGCTCTACGTGCATTTTGATATCTGTCAGATCCAAGTGGCTTGGAAAGAAGTTTATCCTCCTCTTCACAGGAATGAGATATAAATAATTGCTTGGGAGGTAATCTACCTTTCTTTTCAGATGATAAATCCAATTTATCCAAAAGAGTAGATGGTGTTAAAGAGGATTGCGACTTAGCTCTTCTTTGCTTGGGTGGAGTAGGAGTATGTTGATCTAAAATAATATCAAAGTTGTATAAATATAATTACTTCTAAAATATATTTTCAAATTTATTTATACTTCTCTTTCTCTTTTTTCTTAAACGACTTACCATCTGATTTATCACATTTCCGTCGTCTTGGTGAATTGGCTTTGCTATCTATTTTTCCTTTGGTTACACTTTCCTGCTTCTTTAATATATTCTCAGAATCTGAATCTGATTCACTACTGCTTAGAGTAACAATCTTTTTTACCACTGGTGTATATTTCAATGGTGTGCATCTTGCCCTTGCATCAGAGAAATTTTCTTTTACAACATTATCCTTACCATAGAAATTACATTTTTTTCGTATAGGAAACTGAATAGTGTTCTGCATGTTTGACATCAAATACTTCTAGTCAAAATTAGAAATGAATATAAAATGTATAACTGAAACATAAGAGATTAATATCAATAAAGACATTGTTACTCAAAGAAACAAGAAATTTAATAAATATAAAATTTTTTTATATACAATTTTCTAAAATTTCTTCTTTAAACTTTTCTGCAATGTTTCCGCGTGTTGGAACTGTTTTTCTTGCGTTGTTAAGGCGTTATATCTCTTATTATTCTTACCTTTAGGTGTTTCCTGGAAAAGTTGTTACTCCAAGTTTTATGAAATCACAATCTTCTATAATAAAGAAATTTCCCAAATTCTAGAAAGGCACTTAACTTATCACACATCACGCGATCGTATCTACCCTATTACGTACATTTGATTAGTCAGCTGTAAAAATGCAGTTTTGGCGGGATTATACATTTTCCGGAGATGCGCAGTATTAACCAATCAGAATTTTGCTTTAAAGCCTTGTATACACGATACTATAATCAGAGAGAAACCTGAGAGCGGCCATCCTAATGTAATTTTTTACGACGGTTTCAGCCGCCGGTTTTAGCCGTATTTCCACAAAAGTGGAACTCAAAGGCCGTTCTACATTAAACGCAAGTAGCAGATCTCGTGGAATTGACCAATTGCAGAGTCAAATCAGCCAATCGACCAACGTGATTGATCAGTTCCACGAGATCTGCGACTTGCGTTTAATGTAGAACGGCCTTTGAGTTCCACTTTTGTGGAAATACGGCTAAAACCAGCGGCTGAAACCGTCGTAAAAAATTACAATAGGATGGCCGCTCTCAGGTTTCTCTCTGCTATAATAGAAATCGATCTGAGATTTCGAACAAAAAAAGAATTATTGACCAATCACAATCGAAGCATTGCGTTACTCGATCAATGCGATTGGTCAAAACCGCGACTACGAATTGACCATTATTTTAATTCGAAGAAACAACACCAGGCGGCGTTGAAAAACGTCGACATTTTCGTAAAAAATTTCTCGTTCCTTTCCCGTTTTCTCGGCAAACAGTTGAGGTGTTCTGGCATATTCGATTTGAAATCCAACGTGAACGAGTCATTTGAGACAGAATTAAAATTTTTTCATCTCTGTGATGAGAGCAAAGGTAAATTATTTATTAATTGTTACTAATATTTATTTGTAATTTTTGAATACACGCGCAAACATTTTGCTCACAAAATGCGAGTTGGAATCTTTGTAGTGTCACGAGGTGCTGGCACGTACAAAGAAAGTTTTTGCATTGTTTTCGAGATAAATTTGAAAGATAAATCGTAGTTGGTTATTGTGTAGCGCGCACATTATTTTAAACAATTTGACTTAAATTTTATTTCTCCATCATTCCGTTATTTAACATAACCTCTATCTTGAAGATTATAAATCAATACACGGATGTGAGTGTTAGAAACAATTTAAAGACCGATAACAATAAACGCAGTGTAAATAAATTATAAATTATGTATATTAGATTAATATTTATGCATGTGTAAAACTGAAATCACTTATTTTGATTTATAGTGGCGAAAGAAGAGAATGCGCAGGCTAAAGCGCAAGAGGAGGAAGATGCGTGCGAGGTCTAAATAAACGACTTTCACATATATTCTCTGTAAGCAGCAATTAATTTTGTGTATAAAAAAAAAAAAAATTTATAACATAATGTAACTGACACTCTCATTCTCATTTCTTTAAAATATTTCAGCTGTAGGAACAACATATTCAATCACTATGTTTCAATGTTGGACAATTAGCTGAACAAGATTGCAGCTGAATAAAATTCCCAAGACACACACATAAATGCATTGGAGAAGTTTTTCAAACGGAGAGAAATTTATACATGTACGATCTTGTATAATTAAATACACTTCGATACAACATTCTTGTAATATTTCTAGTTCTTTACCTGAATTCCTTTTCCTTTGGCTATGATAATTTTTAATTTTCTGACAAATTATAAAGTATCAACGTATACATATATGTTCTATGTACGTGTGTTTATAAGATTTTTTTATCAGCATGATTCATGTTCGCGTAATAAATAAAGAAAATGTTTAAAAAATATGTATAATACGCAAAATTCTTCTACAGATAAGAAGAAAGTGTACAGCGCTGTAGAAAGAATTGCGCTTTTTACACTGTGTGTATTTTAAACCTGCTTTATCTCAAGTGACATCGTATATCACTCATCATGCGTATATTGAAAAACTTACCTTGCATATCGCGGTTATTATGTAAATTTTGTAGTAATAATCATACGCAGACAGTAACATATTCGAAATTTTCGGAAAACAAAAAAGGAAATTGCTCCAACGAGAATGAAACGGAAAAGAACATTAATCATAACCTCACTGCAACAATAAATAAGTATGAGATTTTTCACGATGAAGCAGATGTTATCTTAGATGTTACCGAAGAGCAACGGAAGATAAATCTTGAAGATTTGGAAAAACAACAAGTTTATGATCCTTACGCAGATATAAATTCGACTCGTGAGTATAAACTGAATATTAGAGTTCAGAAATAGTAAACAAATGTGTCAATATACACGTATGTGTGTATATATACATATGTAAATATAATATTTATTATAATTTTTTTTCCAGATATTTCTATTTTTTATAAGAACTTAGAAATAATAATAATAGATATTACTTGTATGCAAATTTTAGGTGGTACTACTGGTGTAATTGAAATTGAGGAGCTTGTTACTCTATTAGAACGAGACAAGGCTAAGGATATTTTTGTTGCTTCAGTGCCAAAGGACTATTCTTATGTAGACTATATTGTTGTAGTGACAGCAAAATCACAAAAACATATGAGCGCACTGGCCACCTTTGTGCGCAAAGTTTACAAACTAAAAAAACACCCAACTGATTTAATACCAAAACTTGAAGGAAAACATTCTAATGATTGGGTGGCGATAGATTTGGGTAATAAATCTTAATTTTTTTTAAATTTAATATTTTGTCAAAATTCTAAGCATTAAGTTAAATCAAGTTACATTACTAAAGTAGACAGAAAGGTAGATTATTATATATAAAATATTTATAGCTATATTACATGTAAACTGTTTATATTGCAGGAAACATTGCTCTGCATATTTTCTCTCAGTCTGCCAGACAGCATTATGATTTAGAAACTTTGTGGACAGTTGGTTCTCAATTTGATGATAAAACTAATGAATCTGAAGACCTAAGTATAATGGATCAGTACAATGCTATTTTGGCTGATTTTCAACCAGCTGATAATGTTCAGTAATTATGTATTATGCATATAGTTTAATAATAAGCTGTAAGAGAACAAAGGAGAATTACGACGATAAGAAGATAATAAAAAGTGAGTTCGCGTGTAAAACACAGTGTTTTGAATTGCAAACGATAAAAACGTTTATACACAATAATTCCTCCTGTTTTATCATAGAGGCGCTGTAAACACAGCACTTTATAGATACGTAAACAGCAAGGACTTTCTAACCTTAAGAAATGTTAAGTTTTGTATCTTAACATTTAATAACATTTTTAATATGGAGCAGTAACTTTAATCTTTCTATTATAGACGGTGTGTATGTCTTCAATATTAGCCTTTTGCATATAATTGATAGATTATCTTCAATTTTGGTCAATCAAGAATTAATCACACTAATATTGAAAAATTTACTTTGAGATACACAAAAGTTTAGACATTTTTATTGTTATTTTATGTATTTCCAAAACTTGACAAAAAACTTTATATAAACTTTATGTAAGTTTTGACAGTCACTTTCGTAGATGCGAATTTATTTTAGTGCTTTTGTCTTTTTACAGATTAATTATAATATAAATAAATCGAGATTCTGATAAAAAATTTGTAGAAAATAATTATCAAGATCCCATCATGGATGTAAGTGCGTTGTTCAAAGCCAGTGTGAAGACTGTGAATCTGTGTAACAAGGAACTCGGTGTGTTGACAAACAACAAATTAAAAAAGCCAAAAACAAAAAGTGCTTTTAGCATGAAAGTGCAGTCAGTGGTCACACAGATTTTCAAATTACGTGAATTCCTACTCGAAAATCGCAAAGCCTATCTGAACTTTTCCAACTATTTGTCCAGTACACCGCACATGACTGACACAGAGCGTGATGAAATTGACATTGGCGCGCAACAGATAATGACCACTTGCTCGCAGCTCGTGAAGGATTTAAAAAGAGAGATCGGGACGTCTATGGAAGTCTCACAGCAGAACATCGAACATCGTGAGATCATGCTGTTGTTGATAGAAGATTATCTGAAGAACGTATGCAAGATCTACTCGGAGCAGAAAGCGATGCGCGTAAAACGTACGATTGAGATGCGGCGAATTGCCAAATTGCAGGCAGATACAAAGTCTGTGAATAAACTGTCAACAATGACAACAAAGAAGACAGATTCAAACGAAGAAAAATCGACAAACGATTATTACGGTAAAAACGATTCGAACGGGTCCAATTTGATGAAGATTGAAGAAGTCAATGGAGACGTTAGCACGTTGGCGTATGAAGAAGAACTGTCGACCGAAGACATTCAAATGTTTGAATCAGAGAACGAGCAATTGTATAATGAGCTAAGTTCTGTGGCAGAGGAAGTCAGACAAATTGAAAGCAAGGTGGTACACATCGCCGAGTTGCAGGAAATCTTCACGGAAAAAGTTCTAGATCAGGATAAAGACTTAGACAAACTAATGACTACTGTAGTTGGTTCAACGGAGAATGTAAAGGAAGCGAACGAACAGATTCGGCAAGCGATGAGACGAAACGCCGGGTTTAGAGCATGGACCCTCTTCTTTGTTGTTGTGATGGCGTTCTCGCTCTTGTTCCTTGATTGGTATAATCCCTAAAAAATTTTTTAGTTTGTTTTTGAAAAACAAAAAATAGGATATCTATTATGTATCTTTTCGAGTTTTTGATCATGATTTCGTTCAAATCTCTTTGATCTATTGTGAATTTTATATAAATGGATGTATGTATAATTTATATATATACATTATAATTAAATATATGTATATATATAATTTAGATACTATCTTTGTTATATAAATGTATATTTGTATATTCACTACTGTGCATTACTGTCTTCCTTTTTGTGAAAAAAATAGGAGGTTCTCTCTGTCTGGTAACAATGCGCGTAGAAAAAGAAGCTCTCTACATCTTTTTTTACTTTTTTTTTATTATTTCGATCAAAATCGACATTTTAATTGCTTTGAAAGTGTCGAAAAGAATCCGATAGTGTTTTGGATTATTTCCGACATGATTGTCACATTTTTCCGATGTTACTATAGGTATGTAGATAAAGCAGTAAAAAACAAAACGAAATCATTTTGATTGGATATGAGTCCGACAAGGTATATAATAGCGATCCTCAGAGATGTATATTTATAAAACAATGTTTATAAAGAATTTTAGTCTTTAACTATTATTGATAAGATTCATGATATACTGCAATTGTTGTTAGTTTTGTCGAAAGAAAATAAATTGTGATCAAAAGGAAAGAAAAAAGAGAAAGAAGAACACGTTTGCCAAAATATTTCACTTTATATTTTACTCCCACAGAAACATCATTTATAGTATATTTATAATTTACAATCAAGTCCCCGGCTATTTGCGTTTTTCATAAAGTCTTTTTTTTTTTTTCTTATACATTATCCCACTGTTTTGCATTTACTGACGTTGAAACTATATGAAAGATGGAAAAAACGTCACGTCATATTTATATACTGTGGACTTATGATTTTCACTCTAATATATTTATGTATAATATGGAAAAAGCAGACGAAAAAGAAAAACGCAAAACCAAACGGACACTTGATTGCAATTAAATTTGTATTACATATATATAAAACTTATTCTATCACCATTTATACACACACAGTTATGTACACGCGTCGTCTTCTACGTGATTAACTTATTGGTTTTTATATTTTTTATATCTTGCCAATTTTATTCTTGTATTATTTTGCACTTTTAGATTCGTTAATATGACTACTTTTGAAAAGTATTTTTATATTTTCACCGGAAAAGAAAACATTCCGAACATCGCTACATTAACCGAGTGGCAGGCAATTGTATACATTATATAATTGTATTATTGCACAATTGTATAATTATATAATTTGCACAGTCGATGTGTAGGAATTTATTATTGTCTGCGTTCAACAGAAGTTAGCGCTTCAGTAAGTGATTATCTGCAAAGGGATTTTTTTTTTTTTTTTGTTAATTTTTTGCAAATCTACACATATCTCATTCATAAGTAACAAGCACTAAAATAAGCAGCTATCTAAAATAACACTTAACTTTTTGAATTTTCAGAATTATCCTGTGCATCTCATGGCAGGATAACAAAGTTCAAAAGGTTAATAAATGCAGAGCATTATGTAACTGTAGAGCATATCTTTAAAAAAACTGAATGTTTAGCGGAACGGCAATTTGAAGCGCTTACCGAACGCTATTCTGCTCAACGCAGCCATTACAAAATTTTAACGGTCTGTTATCTCTTTAATTGTGAAAAGAAGATACTCATGTGGCATGCGCGCGCGCGAGTGAGATATTTCTTACAAACATACGTTCTTATATAGTGAAACTATATGACTTGTAGTTCACGCGCGTGCATCGCGATTTCTCATTTTTATATAAAATCTTAGAAAAATGTGTATAAGTATGTCGATACATCACTATACATAATTGTGTTTCTTTTCACGTACAATGATACATTGTCATATCAAATGCATAATTATATTTCTATCGAACATATAGAGTAGGTAAAAAAAAAAGGATAAATTAAGATTATTCACAAAAAATGGAATCGAGCGTTATTCAATTAAAATCGATATTATAAGTCGCTGTGCTCAACTAAAACTTGAGCATAGAAATAAATGGAAGTAAGTCTGATACTTACTGATTAATTCAGCAACGAAAAGGTTTAAAATAATATAAAATCACATAATTGCGAGTAAAAAGTTTCAGTCTGATTGCAAAATCACTTTGTTGTCTTTTGTCTTGTGCAAAAAAAAAAAAAAAAAAGAAAGAAAGAAAAGACGACGCGGAAAAGAAGAGACAAAAAAACCTAAAATTAAAGAAAATTTCTCTCAAACACTTGCCTCTAAGACAATATACTAAATGTAAAAATAATGAGCACTTCTTCTAACTGCGAAAAGTGCTTAATTTGGCATATAATTATATTTATAACGTGGGTGCTGGTCATATAGACAGATTTTACCCTCAATCAAACACTGAACTACCCACGTAGTAGATAATATCGGGATTTGCAACTTATTTGCACTGTCCACGGCCCATAACGGACATTTTGGATTGGACACTATCACTACGTTGCTTACCCCGGTTTCCATCGCTTCTAAAAATAAAAACAAAACAATATAAATTTTATTTACATACAAACAGATTTATATACATAATCAATGTATTTGTTAAATATATTTTAATTTAAACAAATAAAATACCTGAATCATCCACAATTAGAACTACCGCTCCTGCATTTTCGCAAACTTGTTGCCAAAATGTGACAAACCAGGTGTCATCCAGACGAGGAATTATTACAAAAGTATTTGATAGCGGTTTTTTCTCCCTTGCTTGGAATGCTTCTACGTAATTTTTTTTCTGCAAACTCCAGCCGATTGGAAGTGCTTCTTCAGCTGCATTCACTGTTTTTCCCTAATAACAAACATAATCGTATGATATAAATGTATTACACTGTGTGTAATACATTATCCAGCAATAAAATGATTTCGCGAGAGAGAAAAGAGGGGCGTTATTCTTATCTAGTCATTGGCGGCTGATTTATATGAAATTGTAACATTAACAAGAAATGTTGACTCACTTCTAAGCAACATCTGATGATCCACCTATGACTATATGCGGGTATACCAGCTGATAAACACCATATATTTTTCGCTGTAGTGTTCGGCACATTAGTAATCAGTTTTGTATTTTTATACTCATTTTTCGGAATTTGATCAAAGTCTTCATAGATTTTACCACCACCCGCTAAAATTTGTTCACGCAATCTGTCGCGCGCGAATGGTCGATCCATCCAGTCACCTTCATACTCAGTTTCGATTTCTGATTCATTTGTCTCTGTTTCTGTGTTATATGCCTGCGCTTTTATGTCGATGAATCTGAAATAAACAAAACAATATATAAATAAATAAAACAATATACATAACATAATTGATGAAAAAACGGAACTTATATATCTGATTATTAAAATTGAAATTGATTTATAAAAAAATAATAACAAAAATTCTGTGAGCATTTCAAATTTTTTTCCAAGTTGTAGATAGAATAAAGTATATAAACAAGTAATACAAAATACTATGAAGAGAAAAATACCTGTCTAATGATTCTACAGATGCGCATGTAAATATAAACGACATGTCTTTGAAAATATTGGATTTTGCAAGAGGAATTGGTCCGAGCGTTGCGATGATATGTTCATCTTCCATTTTCTTCTTGCTGCGTGGTTTACCTTTGATTCTGTTCAGCGGCCCTTTTGTATAAAGTTGATCGCACGGGGTACTGTGTATTTCTTTTTGCACACCTCTCAGAATGTATTCATAATCCATTTGCATTGCTGATTCGTCTTTTACTTCAATGTTTGAGTCGCTCGACATGACTTCGGAATCCAGCCACGCGATCTTTCCTTTTTTTTGTTTTCCAGACATACCGGATACTGAAGGTTCTGCTTTAACTTTGCTAGCTGACTCATCACCGACATTGCTCCTTGATTTAGGTGTCGAGAGGATAGGCGTACCGTTTCCAATTCGCTTCGAGCGCCGCTTGCCTTCTACCAGGTTGTCTAATGTTACCTGATTGAACGCTTTTGGAGTGGATGGTAGAGAGTTCTTGTCCTCCATGTCTTCTTTGAGTAATTGCGCCTGATCAGGCGACAGGAAAATGTTACGCACTTGCACCCGTAACCGTTCCTTATTATCAGTCTCCACTGTATAATAAATATCGTGGACGCTATTGCCACTCTTCGACGCTTGTGCATCGACTATAATACCGCAGGAATAATCGTCATCATCGGATTTGCTTGCATATACAGACAAACCCTCGCGCAGCATCTTTGGTATAGGTATCACAAACTCTGCAATCAACATCTTGCTTTTGCCGTCATAAAAGTTCACTTTGTATTTTGTTTTCAACCGGTCGACTACCGTACCAGGATAATAATTGTTGTCTGACCATTTGGCGAACACATCCTTGCCGATCAAATCATCGTCCAACACGTCACTTGGTGACGAGTTTGCTAAGACATTTATTTTACTGATCAACAATTTATTCTCTGTGTCCTCTATTTTGCTCTTTTTATCTAATCGAGCACCATCATGGTCTTGTAAAGAAGAATCTTTCCACGTACTTAAAACTTCCTTTTTATGCACACCATTAGTCTGTGTAGCACTCGGTTTTGTCGGTTTGCTCCGCGCTCTCTTCAGCGACCTACCTTTCTTCATACTTTTCGGCGTAGAGACTAGTTGTTCATCCTTCGTCGTTACTTCCGGCGTCGATGAGTGCATGTTGCTTTTTTGCAGGTGATCATATAGTCGATCATTACTAACGTTTACATAAGAATCTTGTACTGTACCTGTAGTGGCGGTCACGCTATTATTTATTTCCGTATTTAGCCTGTTTAAGATCACCATGGTAAGCAAACGGTGATTTTTCCACTCCTGTGTAACGCGTTCGTAAGCCTCGTCTATTTGCTTCTCTCCCACTGTCATAACATCTTCAGTGGACTTCTTTGCGTGCTTTGTTGGAACCAACGGCATTGAGAAGTGTGTACCACTCTTCGAGTTAAGTTTTAAGGCCAAAGAAGCGGCGCTAGATGCTGAACTAGATGAGCTAATAGATGACATAATGGACAGTCTTGACGGATTCAAAACGTAGGGCTGAAGATTACTGGTTACCGAACCAGGTGACGATTCTTTGTTATCTGAAATATCCGCTAGCGAGCCTTGGCTATCTTCATTCTTTTGCTTAGTTATCGACACAGACTCTATCGTGGCAGGCTCACAATTCACCATCGTTACTTCTTTACTTAAGAATTCCTTTGTGTTTTCATCTACATGTAAGATACACTTAAGTCTTACACACATACCGATTTCCCGCTCTACCTATAACAATATTTTTTTGTTTGTGATTAATTTGTATGAACCTTTTGAGATCTATTAGAACTTTAAAAAAAAATACTCAAAATGTTTTAAGTTTTTCGAGTAAAAAATTTTTTCGAAATTTCCCAATTTTTCAAAAACTAAGAATTGCACTAAAATTTTCTAATAATTCACATTTTTTCTAAATAACAAACTTATTTTCAATTAACAAGTATTTCAACATATATACTCTAGATATTAAAAAAAATTCATATGTAAGAAATTATCTAAACATTTATCTACTACTATTATTTACCTGCACAGCCTTGGTCAGTGCACTATTGTGCAAATCGGATTTGTTCTTCTCTTCTGTATTTGACATCTCATTATCGCTAATACTAATTACTTCGATGTTATCCAAGTCTTTAGACATAAAAGAGTTTCCTTTGTTTCTTATATTTTGCACATTGCCTTTCAACAGATCAATGTCGTTGAATGTGTCTGACTCCACACTGAGAGTATGATCAGTATCGCTGTGCTTGGACTCAGAGCTACCATTTATCAGCTTCTGATGACTCTGAGTAATCCTCGAGTCTAACGACGATTCTTTTGTGCTCTCTTTATGGCTTAAGTCGCTACAGGTTTTGCTTTCGTGAGAAAGACTCTTGTCGATGGCTCTTGTCGAAGTATGAAGCTCCATACTCTCTCCCAGCGAATCTAGAATTATTTTTTCGCGCGAGTCGTCCACAATTTCGACTATCTCCGGTTTTTCTTTTGAGTTCTTGTGATCGCAAATTATTTCCGACGATGAATCTAATACGATTTCCGTCATTTCTGTCTTCGACACGTTTGCATCATCATAAATTAGCTCCACGCTGGTCCGTGAATTGCTCGTTGTTTGTATCTCACTGGAAGTTTTGGTTTGAAAAGACGAACTTTTATTGCTATTATTAGCAGTCTTCGTGACAAGTTCACCAGGGTCTTGTTCCGCTTTATTGGCTTCTGTATCATCTTTTATTTGTACAAATTTATTAGTCTCATCTAAACTCTCATTCTCAGACTTATCTTTTATCGTTTCGATTGGTTTACTATTATCTTCAATATGCAAATCACTCTCATTCGCAGAATTTACGTTAACGTTAATGCTGTCATTCATACTGTTGTCATTCACTTTCATGGAAACGTTCAGATTTTCATCCTCCTTCATATTCTTCTCTTCGTTTTGGGATTGATTTAACTGTTCCTGAATTTTATCGTCATTCTTTGTTTCTATTATATCTTTAGATAAAGAGTCCTGAATAACTTCCTGATTATTTAAATCTTGAGTTCCTTGAGTTTCCTCAATTATAATATTCTTATCTGAATTCTTGAATAAATCTTGATATGAATCATTAGATTCGCCTGAAGAATTCTCTTCTTCGAAATCTCTCTTAGCCTTTGTTATAGTATCTTCTGTGGATGTTTTTTGAATTTTACCAGGTGGTTCATCAAAAAACTCAGCTTTACGTTTTAGACTTGTTACATCAATATTGCCGCCAATTGATTTTCGAGATGGGGAGTATATCAGAGGAGGTGTTCCCTGAATCACTTCATCATCATCAGAAAGATGAAGTGATTCATTCTCATTCTTTTCTGAACCATGTGTAATGCTAGATAAGTTTTTTTCAGTAACTTCTTTATCTTTGTCTTCACTTGCAGTTATTACATTTTGATCAGTCAACGATTCTGATGCATGTGAGGTTTGTTGAAGACTTATTTGATCAATTGATTTCTTTTGAGAATTATCCTCTTTATTTTCTACTAATGTCATCTTATTTTTCATACTTTCCTCTTCTTCAGAGACAATAAGATGGAAGTCTTGGCTCTCTGTAATGTTTGTTTCTTTTTGTGTTTCACTGGTTAGCCCTTTTTCTATGGAATTTTTATCAGTATCGTCATAATAGGTTTCTTGCGTGTCTGCTACACATCTATTTGTTTCCTCTAGATCTGACATCTTGGGCAAACTTGTGTAGCAGATAATCTAAAAATAAAATTGATAAACATAAATTATAAACTTTTTATTAAAAAAACTGTTATACATGAAAATTTCTATCTTAGAAAAGATATATTTTTTATTTTAAATTACAGTAAATTAAGAAAATTTTAAATATTTAAGATGCAAATACATCTAACAAAAAATCAATGTATATACTACAATGTAAATAATTTTTAAACTTGGCTATGTGTATATGTGTGTATATGTGTATGTTTATATAAGTGTACCATTATGTATAAACATAGGGAAAAAAGCAAAAACATTTTCAACATAAATAAAAAATTATATTAACAATTTTTTAGAATAAGATTCTCCATAAAATTAAATTAATTTAGTTTAAAGATTAAAAATTCTTTTTAATATTTTGTACTGTTTCTTGACCATCTTTTTCAAAGTGATGTGATGTTATTGAATATTTTGTTTATAATTTGGAGGTTACGGCAGCAATCATGCACTTGACAAAATATACACATCAAATAAAACTAACCGATATTTGATATATATATATATATATTTCTGATCTTCCTTTTAAATGATATTACTTCTGTCTCGAAATCAAACTTTCGCATTTGTCTATTGCAGTAAACGAGCAATTAACGTCGCACCGGTTGTTTCAAATCGGATTGTGGTTAATGAGTCTCCAATTACTGAGAACGCGATATGTAATGCACATACATATAAAACAAAACCACTTTCCGTTCAATAGCGCGAAAACCATCGAAGAAATCGAGTCAAAGATCTTGAATTTTAAATACACTAGAAACACAATTTTTTTACTGCTATTCGTTTACTTGCACAAGTTTGCGAAAGCGGTGAATACAGATGAATATTGCAAAGAGTGAGAATCGTCATTTTTTTAAGGAAGGTCGGTTTTTAATGGCTAGAGGACGCCACAATAAAGGTCGGTATTCAATGATCACATCAGAGAGAAGACTGAGGTCCACAAATTCATAGTCGTTTTTCAAATCTTAGATCCCGTCTCCAATCTCAAATTTCAGCTCTCAGGAAGTCGATTCTGTATCACGCAGTGTAGTGAAAATTACAAAAGTGAGCGAATTCACCAAATTATCTATGATCTCATTGGTCAACACCTAATAAATTAGCTCGCTTTTGTAATTTTCACTACATTGCACGGATACAGAATCGACTCCCAGATCTCGAATCTCCAACTTGAAAATTCAGTATAGTTGCTAATCATGATATTCAGTTTTTCATGACTGAGCAAGGGTATAAGGCTGCGTTTGGCTTTTGCTCCTCACGCGCAGAGGCGTGCGCCATATGTATGCAAAGAAGTATAAGGGTACGATCCCATGCACTGTTATTTTTCGCGTAACGCGTAATGCGTAACCAATCAGAGAAATTACGTGTACTAACATACAGCACGTAATCTCTCTGATTGNTTACGCGTTACGCGTTACGCGAAAAATAACAGTGCATGGGATCGTACCCTAAGGCTGCGTTCGGGGAGCACGCTATCAGCGCTATTGCGTAATTCTATCTTTATTGCTCATTAAGCCTGTTCTACATTGATCGCAAGCGCTAACGCAAGGAACAGGTCTGGTAGAATTGACGAATCGTATTGATCAAATCGGCCAATTGACCAGCGTGATTGGTCAATTCTACGAGATCTATACCTTGCGTTTGCGCTTGCGATCAATGTAGAACGGGCTTTAGATGTAAAACAAAGATAGAATAACGCAATAGCGCTGATAGCGTGCTCCCCGAACGCAGCCCTAGTTTGATGATTTGTCGGTGTGTACACACACGTAAGTACACGTCATTTTCTGGTGTGTGTTATAGCCGTGGCTGTTACAGCGTTTTTTTTGCAAATTTTCGTCGATGATACTTCGGCTCTGACGATCATTAACCGAAAAATTTTGAAAGTGTAATAGCAGATATGGAAGCATTGTACCACCAAACGAATAAATTAGTACAGGAGACTCAACACCTTTTCTCGCAGCTGGAGAAAAAGTCCAACGCGGATGTGCAGGATGTGAGAGAGGCAATAGAAAGTAAAATCAACCTTATCAACAGGTAGTTAAATTTAGGACATTACATTATTATAACGTTGTTTGTTGTCATACGTTGTTTCTGTGCGCAGTAAAATCAATAATATTTGGCGATATTTTTTATTTTTCTTTCATAGTAATTGCGAGCGGCTCGATGTGCTATGCCTCAAAGGTCCTGTGTCGCAGAGACAAAACGCCCGGATGAGAGTGGATCAACTGAAATATGACAGTCGTCATCTAACCGCTGCCTTGAATTCGTGGTACAATCGTATGATAAGACAGCAAAGAGAAGAGGCAGAGAGAGAAGCCTTGTTATCCAGGAAGTTTACCACCAACGACCATGTGGATATTATGATCGATCACACTGTGCAACACAATAATAGTTTACACAATGCTGTTCATGGTGTAGACGATTTGTTGAGTCAGGGGAGCAGTGTGTTGGACAATTTAAAATCTCAGAGATTAACGTTGAAAGGAGCACACAAACGTTTAATAGACATTGGTAATACGTTAGGTCTTTCTAACACCACCATGAGACTAATAGAGCGACGAGCTAGACAAGATGGATTTATCTTGGTTGGTGGCATGACTTTCACATGTATAGTCATTATTTTAGTAGTGGTTTATCTTACTTAGAAATATATATTTGACAGATATTATTTGTTATATTTTATAATTTGATATTTATTGTTAAACAAATAATGGTAGGACTTTAGTTGACAGATCGACACTTCAAATTGTGATAAGAAAAGTGCTTATATTTGATATGGTTTTGTGGGAAAGATTTCTAGATTTGAGAAAGCAAGTGTTGCTTGGAACAATACATACATATGTAAATACATGGACATTGTATATATATAATAGATATAAACACTTATAAAATGATATTCTTTTTTGTGTATGTGTAAAATATATATCTTATATCACAAAGTATAACGATATTTCCATTTTATTGGAAACATTGAAAGAAGTCTTTCTAATAATATACATATCTATATTTTATAAATGGAAAAATTTTAATATTGCTATAAAATATATAAAAATGTTTGAATTTCTAAAACTATTGTACTGTTTGTGATTTCATATAAAATTGGCCAATCATATTGATCACTTCAGCTTATCGAGCAACGGGATTGGTTAAATCCATAGACATAGAAGTCTGTCCTATATTAAGCGCAAGACGCAAACGCAATTGGCAGGTCTTGTGGAATTGACTAATCACATTGATCAAAGGTTTGTTCGCGTCGCACGCCCCCCCCCCCCAACATACTCTTACTTGCTCCAACGCGCTTTTTTTTTCACTGAAATTTCAATGAAACTTCAAAACGTTTTCAATGAAAAAAGTCGCATATATACATATATATATTAGATATATATTATATATAGTTCAGTAATTAGATATCTATTTATATAGTTCAGTGATTTTTCTTTTTTCTCTGTCACGTGACATTCCTTTAGTCACGTTTTTAAAGTCACGTTAGTTTAGTCTCTTGGGGCCCGATTCTCTAACTCACTCGTAAGAGAAACGTATGCGCAAACTCAAAGTTACGAGCGCTTAAATATAGAAAACCTATAGGAAAGTGTTCGTAACTTTGAGTTTGCGCATACGTTTCTCTTACAAGTGAGTTAAAGAATCGGGCCCTTNATCCCTGCCGTGCGATACACGGTATATGAGGTTGTGTGCGCATCCCCTCCATGCAACCTTTGTTACCGCGTGCCAGTCCCCTGGACAGTGGACACGCTGGACACTCCATGTGCGCCGTATAATTGTGGCATATCCACTTGCTTATGGTCGTGGCTCGTGGCCGCTCTCATTCTTCTCTCTGTTCGTAATTCGGTCTCAATAACAATGGAGGAAATGCTGAAAGATGCGCGATTTGCACATATCGCAAAAGATCCAAAATATCGTCGGATTCCCAAAGCTGAGAGGAAAGTGAAAATTGATCGTCGATTTAAAGATATGTTTAAAGACAAAAAGTTTACTTTAAAGTATACTGTTGATAAACGCGGTAGACCAGTCAATCAAACCACCACTGAGAATCTCAGGAAATTCTACGATCTGCCTAGCAGTGAAGATGAGGACGATGATGCACCTGAGGCATCCTCAAACGAGAAGAACGATAAAAAGAAGGGAACAGTAGAAAGTACCAAAGAAAAAGTAAGAGAAAATAAAAGTAAAAGGCAGAAAATAAAGAAAGACAAATTAAAATGTGAAAAAGAGTTTTTAAATAAAAAGAGTAAGGATGAGAATGTTGCCAATTGTTTTTTGAATGAAAATGATTTACCTGAGATGGAACTAAAAGAGAAATGTGAGCCACATTCTAATGAAAACTCTGGTGATGAATCCTCTGATGATGCTAAGTCAGCAGATAATAGTGAGGATGAATCTTCTGATAAAGATTTTTCCCAAGTAGACTTGGATGAAAACAATAAACAGCTTTTTAAAAGGAGAAAAGGTGAAACCAGCAAACTTACAAATGAAATTAAGGAAAGACTGAGAGATCTTACTGTGAATTATGCAAGAGGTGAAGGTGTCTTGTTGACTGATAGTTCTTCTGATGAAGAATCATCTGAAAATAGTGGTAATATAGAATTTAGTATATATTGTATTTACAAAATCACACAATATTTACTACAAAACACTTGTGATATAATACTTAATTTTTGTTTTATATATATATTATCTTTTTCAGATGATGAAGAAGAAATTGAACACAATTGGGGTGAACTGGATAAAGAAGCTGAAACAACAGATGAGATTACACATAGATTAGCCATTTGCAATATGGATTGGGATAGAATACGTGCTGTAGATTTAATGATTTTGCTAAATTCATTTTTACCCAGTGGTGGACTCATCCGCTCAATTACAGTAATAAAAATTATAATAATATATATATATGTATATAATGTCAAATTTACATTAAAAATTAAATAGTAAATATTTACAGTATAAATGAGTCATAAAACATTAAAAATTAATAACAGCAAATCCGAATGTAACAATGTATTTCCAATATATAATTATTTTAGATTTATCCATCAGAGTTTGGTCTGCAGAGAATCAAGGAAGAGGAGATCAGTGGACCACAGGAGCTAAAAATCGAAAACATTGATAGTGAAGATGAAGATGAAAATGAAGATGATGTATGAATTAATAATTTTCCTGTAGTGCTAAAAATAGTATTTTTTTGTTCATTGTGTTATCAATTTTTTTTTTATATATAGAATGAAGAGGGTTCGAATTATCATATGGAGAAACTGAGACAATATCAACTGAATCGATTGAAGTATTACTATGCTGTTGCTGAGTTTGATTCTGCAGAAACAGCAAATAAAGTTTACACGGAATGTGACGGTATAGAATATGAATCGACTGCGACTAGATTAGATCTCAGATTTGTACCAGAAGACATGGCATTTGACCAGGTATTTGCTAAGATTACAAAAAATACTAGTTATGTTAAAAGTTTAAGATGCATATAGATTTTTCTCATGTTGCGCTTCTTGAAGGAACCGAAAGAAGTATGTACTGAAATACCTGAGAAATATGAACCGAGACATTTTACAACGACGGCTTTGCAACAAGTTAAAGTCGAGCTAACGTGGGACGAAACAAATTTGGACAGGCAGGAGTTTACTCAGAAGCTTAATTCAGGAAAGCTGCAAGATATTGATGAAAATGATTTGCAAACGTATCTGGCGAGTGGTAGTGACAGTGATTCAGGTATGACGTGTGATAATGACTGCCAATTTTTATTGAATTTATACTGAAGTCTGTATGTACACATTTATATTTTAGACACAGAGGAAAAAGAAGATATAACAGAAGAGAAGAAAACTGTAACTGAAGAAGCTACTGATAATTTAGAATCGGATGCAACTAATGATCCACTCGGAAAGTACAAATCGTTACTAAAAGCTATTGAAGAAGAAGAAGAGGCGAAGAAAAACAAAGACGTCGAATTGGAATTCACGTGGGGTTTAGGCACCAAAGAGAAAGCCGAGAAACTCGTTAAAGAGAGAATGAAGAATAAAGAAGAGCTCACACCTTTTGAGCAATATTTAGAGAAACGAAAAGCAAAACGAAAAGCTAAGAGAGAAGAAAGAAAGAAGCTCGATGAGACAAATAGCGATTCGGAAGATTCTTTGCCGCCTGATGTAGATGTGAACGATTCATACTTTGCAGAAGAATTTAAGAATGGCAAATCTCGCAGAAGAAGAAAAGATGACGAAGCTAGTGACACGGATAGGGAACAGGAAGAAAATCGACGTAAAGCTGAATTGGAGTTACTTTTAATGGATGAAGACGAAGATGGCAAAAAACACTTCAATATGAAAAAGATCGAAGAAAATGCTACCATGTCTAAATCTAAACGGAAACGTCTTAGTAAAAAGAAGAATGTTGAAGAAAAAGTGCAAGAAGATGATTTCGAAGTTAACGTCAAGGATCCGAGATTCGCTGCGTTATACACATCACATCACTTTAATATTGATCCTGCAGATCCACATTACAGAAAGACGAAGGGTACGGAAGCTTTGGTCAGCGAAAAGTTGAAGAGAAGAACTGATAACGAGCTTGTAAATGAAAATGTAAGTAATCAATCTCGATAACAATTGATATATTTTCTTCTTACTTTTGTTTTAAATCTTTCAGGATAAACAATTTAAGAAACCAAAAACGGACGGAAAGCTGTCGACAGAATTACAAGCGCTAGTTAAATCTGTTAAGAAAAAAGCACAAAATATTACACAGCCGATAAAAAGATAATACAATTATAATAAAGCATAATATATCTAGTGTGTGTATCAATTTTGTTAACATTAAAATAATTCTTAATTATACAACATAATTTATAAGAATTATTTTTACATTAAGGTGACATTGATAATACGTACGCTTTGAAGTTTTATAGTAGTAAAATAGTAAAATATATTTTTTGTACATAAAACAATATATAAACATTTAATTACATTATTGAATGTGACATTTTATCACAAGAAAAAGTCAATAAAATATTCGAGTTCTTTTGACACGCTGATGGTTTTATATTTAAACTTCCCCATCTAAAAAACAGCCAGTCAGCGTATCCGAAAGCTCTGTTGTAGATATTTTATTGGTTCGTTGATGTTGCGGCTATTGGCCGATACTCGCTACAGTTTGATTTTCATGTCAGAGATGTTTGCGTGCAGAGACTTTAACGGCTTGGGGAATTTTCAGTACGTACGAGTTTCAGTTGGTATCGGTGAATATTTTACGATTTGACAAAATAAATTTTCAACGAAATGTGAATCGTTTATACAAAGTTGCATATCGATCTCGTCTATCTGAGAAAGTTAAACAGTATAACATTTCGCGCTTCGTTGAATCATATTTGTGCAATACGTGTAACTCATTGCAATTGATTCGCACGCAGATGGAAGGAAAGGTTTTGGTTATGTTTGCACAAAAATAAATAAATGAACAATAAAACGGTAAGTAAAAGCTGAAATTGTTCGCACTTCTTTGATTCGAAAATTAATGACGGCGTGTTTCCAGTGACAAGACACGCTGATTTGTTTGAATTGCGAGAGTTTCACGTACTGCTGGCGAAAGAATCGAATATAAATGTATAGTGGTAGCAAGTGTATCAGCGTCCGCTATAAGGAACGTCAAAACTATGTCGCAGAATTCTGAAATGGGCCTCTTTGGCTCAAAGGACTCGAATCGAGAACAAAAAGAAAAATCTTCGAAGGATAATTCTCCAGCACAATATGCTCCGTATGGCAGTGACAGCGATACTGAAACTTATGACACTGAAGCTCTGAGCATGATGGATATCAATGACATAATTGGTGTGCAATCAGGTGAACAAGTTGGTGACTCGACATTGGAGAGTGAAATTGCTGCACTTACACAGATTATCACAGAAACTAAGGATTTGACTTCTCAGTTAAGGGATCCAAGTACAGAAACAAAACAGATTTCATCTACAGCATCAAGTTCTATTTCTGATTCTGTTTCTATTGAAAATATAGAGAAAACTAGCATTACTGATGTTGATGATTCCAGTGTTAAAACATCTGCTGATAATATCCAAGAAATGCAAACAGAGAGCACATCTGATCATACTGATAAAAATGTGACATGTGAAGATAAAACTTCCAACATAAGTAATAATGGAATACTTGATGATACATCTATAGTTTGTACATCAGAATCGTCTTCCAAGGACTGTAAGTCAAATACTGAAACTACTTCTGTAACTGTTAAGTCAGACATTTCTCAGGAAGTTTCTCAAAGCCAGCTGCAAAAAGATGCCATCAAACATGAGAGAGATATTGAGGAGAAAACTCAGTCTTTTGAAGAAACTGAGATTCAAAATGAATCCACAAACAGTACACAACCTATGATAACAGTTAGCAGCATCAGCAAAAGCTTGCAGTTAATAGGAGAAGCATATAACTCTGAAGATTCTGAGGAAACAGACATAAATGATAATGATTCTCATGTATCTAAAGATACTCCTTCAATTTCTGTCTCTGAAGAATCTTCATTGTTCAGTATTTCTAAGAAGTTACAAGATGAGGAAAATAATTCTAAGGAATCCAATTTATTGGGAGAAACTACAAAATCTTCAGAGACAACAGAAGATGTGAATATTGGAGAAGAATCAAATGTAAAAGTAGAAAACTTTGCTGATAGTAAACTAGTAAGTTCAAGTGTAAAAGTTAAAGAAATAGAAGAATCCAATCAAAATGAAATGTTGAAACAGGAAGAAGAACAAGAATCAGTTTTAAAAGAAGAAGAAAACAAAGATACTCCTGTGCTAAATAAAGTCATAGAAGAATCTATTGATGATGAGAAAACAAGCATATGCGAAGAAGATAAAAACACAGAAATAGATAAAACAGATACAGCTGTAAAAAAATCAGTGCAAGAGCATCAAACTTTTATCAAAAGTAAAGAAACTGCAGATATGTCTGTTTCTTCCGCGTCGTCGGAGGAAATAATAAAAAATACAGAAGAAAGTCAAGATATTAAAACTGAAAATGTATCAGAATTAAATGTGCTAACTACTCCTGAAACAGAGCAAAGTAATTCTTCTAGCGAAAACAAATTACCAGATAAGAAAAGAAAACTAACTGATGATGATTCTCTAGCTGAAGATAATATAAAGGAACTTATACAATATACACCTGAGTGCAAAGATAGGGATACTGTTTTAGAATCTGCAAATAAACAGGATTTTATATCATCTGATACATCTGATAAGAAAGTAAATATGTCAGAAATGATAAGTAAGAGTGATCATTCTGAAGAAGCAAATGGTGCTAGTAAAACCTCTCAGACGACACAGAAGATTTCTCTGGAACATGATAAGACTAGTGGTAAGTTTGATAAAATTTGTCATGAAATTTTTACAGAAATCTCGTCAAAAATTACAGATCGCAAAGAAACAAATGATACTTCTGCTAATTCAGATAATGTGAATTTGAGTAGTATAAAAGAAAAGAAAAAATTGACATTAATGGATGAAAGCGTTGTTTTAACTACATCAGATACAACTAATAAGGTAGTTTTAAAAGAAAATACATCATTGAGTCATCCAAAAAAAGAAATAAGTGAAACAACCAGTGAGCAATCTGCAAGTGATCATTTAGAGGAAGTAAATTTACATGTACACTCTGATTTAGCGACACAGAGTGATGTAAAAAGTCCAGTACCTACTGATAAAGAGTCCATATCTATCGATGTTAATTCTATAAAAACAGCTACTTCCACAGAAGAAAATGTGCTTACAGAAGCAGTTGAAAAATTAGTTCAAATTGTAGAAGACGAATCTGTTTCATCTGTGTCGGAAAAAGCTGAAGTAATAAAAAATCCAGTATCTTATGAACTTGAAGAGTCTTGTCCTGTTCCATCATTAAATCAAGACTCAAATAACACAACTGAAAATATAAATAAGCCATCACATGAAACTGAAGAAATTCAGGAGATAAAATTACCAGTTGAAGTCTTAACTTTGAACATAGATCAGGATAAAATACAACCAACCGAAAATAAAGCAGAAGAACCATTCAATCAATCCGAATCGGAAAAAGATGTCAAAAGTAAAGAAGTTGATTCAGGCGCTATGCAACTAGAAGGTAAAGTAACGTTAAAAATATTACATTGTTAAATATATATCTGTAGAAAACGATATAAACCTATTATTAATTGATATTGATTCGATTTTTTCAGAAGGTGTTGTAGAAAGTACCGCGCGGAATTTAGAAGAAGATAAAATTAAGGAAAATGTTACCGAGATGTCATCAGATGAGACAGAAATCAAAGAAAGCAAAACTCTTGCGTCAAGTTTAGAAGAAGAGAAAAAACCTCAAGAAGAAGAAAAAATTAAAAAATCTGATGAAGACATTGAAGAAAAAGAAAATGATGAAGCAAAATTAAAATTACGCGATAAAAGTACCAAAATACTGGAGAGAGGCTTGGGAGAATCAGTCGAATCAAGTGACGCAACGCCAATAATCGAAGAGAAAAATATGGAATCAATTATAGAGGAATCTTCTAATGTCGATTTAAAGGATGTAAACTCGAGTATCGCTAACATCATTGACATTTCGTTATTACAAGAAGACTTGAACGAAAGAGTGGATTCCGAAAAGTTAACGGAGGGACTGTCTCAAGATGCAGTGGATATGGACACCGAAAATGTCGCACCAACTATTGACTCTTTAGAAGGTCTTCTAGGTTCTTTTATACCAAATAATGAAAATTCATTGAAAGATATGAAATCTGAAGATAAAATTCCGATAGAAGAAACAGTGAGCAAAGATGTTGATATGGATATTTTATTGGGTCAGGCAGATCAGAGTGACGCAACTATCACCCAAGATTCAAGCTACATTACAGACGTGATTGCTGATTGTTTGAGCAGAAATGATGAAATAAATGAAGGTGATGTCAACATACCGGTTAACGATAAAATCACTGAAAACGAAGATAGCGAATTATTAAAAATGAATGAAGATATGAGTGCGGAGTCAGTAAATGAAGCTGCTGAAAAGATGGAGGAACCTCTTATAACAAATAGCGGTTTGCAACAAAACGATTTAGATATAGATTTCGAAAATAATCAGTTGGAATCTGTCGAAGAACTGGAGGAAAGTGAAACCAAGCTGGAATTGCCGCAAGACATTTTGGAGGGCGTGATGCCGAGAAGTAATCGAGAGAACACTGATACCCCGACTGTCATCGAGAATTCACAGTCAAGTTCGGAAATATCCGAGTTGGAATCCGCAGTGAAATTCTTGCAGGAATCCGAGGAACAAATAATGGATTCGCCGCTGGTTCTTTCGCCCAAGATGGTAGACAGCGTCGTTGATGATATAACAAAACAGGCTAATGCGGATCTTTATGCATCCGATGAAACTGATAATTACGCTAACGTCGAATCTGAATTAGCTGATCTGAGAGACGTCTCTGCTGCAGACTCCATCTCTATTTCCGAAGCCGAGATCATCTCGGAGGCTGCGAAGCTGGAGAGCGAACGAAAATTCGCGGAACAGATGCAGAACGCTTCTGATACAGATACGGAAGAGAAAATGCCTGAAGAAATAAACGAAGAATTGAATGAAGATACGGAGAATTGCACATCAAAAACTTCGTCCGAAATTGCTCCCATCGATAATTCTCTGAATGTACAAGCAGCGGAACAATTGCAAGAAAAGAAACCTATACCTGACATCAGACTGTTATCGAGTGAGAGTATTCTGAAGACCGAACTGTTACTTCCAAGAACGTCGATATTGGAAGAACGATTGAGAGAACCACCGAAGATCGAGATACCAGATTCAGCAAAGGTATTGGAATCTTCTATCAGTCCGAATGATAGCCTTCTCATTCCGAAGGATGCGAAAGCAATGGCGAGGATGTTGGAATCACCGAAATCGATCGACAAGATAGAATTGAAGACCACTGACACACCACGTAAAGACTCCGAAAAATACTCGGAATTCGAGAATGTTGGCTCGCCAAGAATAATTCTAAAGATCGCTAAATCCGCGATTACTGATTGCAGCGAGCCACGATCGCCAAAGAGCCCGAAGATCCGATCGGCCACGAATTCACCGAATCCGGAGGATAGTCCGGGTCAGAAGTTAGGGAAGATCAAACTGAAACTATCAAAAGGTGGCCATCCTTCAATAATATCTAATGAGAATGTAGAAGAGACAAGTCAGTGGCATACCACTGACAGTTCGTCAGTATCTCCCCTTGGAATGAAAATCAAGCTGTCAAAATCCGGTGACGCTTCTATCGTGAGTACAGAGAAACATGACAATTCAGAAGATTCGAAGGAGACAAAGTATAAAATCGAAGAACCTAAAAGAACAGATTCGCCAATCGGTATGAAAATAAAATTGTCCAAATCAGGGGATGCTTCGATAATATCTGATTCTAGACAGCAGGATTCGAAGGAAGCTTTCGCAAAACACAAGGAAAAGCTCGAAATACCGCAAGGAAGTCCAAAGAGAACTGAATCTCCAATCGGAATGAAGATTAAACTCTCTAAGACTGGCGATGCTTCTATCATTCAGAATGATAGACAAGATCATCCTTCGGAAGAGCATAAAGAGACCGCACCAAAACGAACTGATTCCCCGATTGGCATGAAAATTAAATTGTCAAAGACTGGCGATGCTTCTATCGTGTCTCCGGATATCTCTGAAGATACAAAAGACTCGTCTTCGAAGAAAGAGAAGCAAGATTATTCGGAACCGAAGAGAACGGAATCTCCGATTGGAATGAAGATAAAATTATGTAAGAACAAAGGTAGCGCGTCTATTATTTCTGTAGATAATATTGAAGATACGAGAGAGAAAATTGAAGCATCCGATTCGTCTAAACGCACTGAATCACCTCTCGGTATGAAGATAAAATTATCTAAAACAGGAGACGCGTCTATTATACATTCTGAAGTTACAGATGATGTCAAAGAAACTAGATACAAAGAAAAGTCTGAAATAACTGAAGATAGAGAAAAGACACCAGACTTTTCTGGAATTAAGATTAAGATGCCGAAGGCGGTGGTGACGTCAACATCGTCAGATGCGTACGAGGAGCAGGACGTTCCTCAAGTTCCCGAATCTTCTCTAACCAACATTTTGAAGATCAAGGTATCTAAATCTGGCGACGCTTCGGTAATATCCGATAAAACGGAGTCAGCAAGTGAAGACTCGAAATCACGGGAGGATCAGACAGAAGCACCACAAAGAACAGAATCTCCGCTTGGCATGAAGATCAAGCTGTCTAAAAGTGGCGACGCTTCGATCATACAAAACGAGGCTGTTACCGAAGATCAAAATAAGACCATGCGTGTGTCCGATGTGGAATATTCCAAAAGTGGCGATTCATCTATCGGAATGAAGATCAAGCTGCTTAAGACAGGCGACGCTTCGGTGGTGGAAACACCGTCTTCTACATCTTCTTGCGAGCGGAAGGATAAACAACAGAAGCGCAGAGACGCTGCTGACTCGCCACTGGAGATGAAGATCAAATTATCGAAGACCGGACATCCCACAATCGTGACTTGTGACAGTCATGAATCTTCCATACACAAAAAGGATTCGGCAACTGTAGATCCTGCTCTGAACTTTCCTCACAGATACATGGATCACGTCGCGGTGCACAAAGAACCTCCATTAAAGATTCTTAAAACCGGCCATCATTCATCTCTTTTGCAAAGCAACCGGTCTGAAGTAACAATTGAACCGGTCCAAATACAGAATAAGAAACAGCAAACAGAAAGTGTTCAGCAGCAACTTGAACTCAAACGTAAGGATATGACGATTTCGCCAGTGGAGAGCAAGAAGTCCAAGCTGGAGCAGCTTTCGCAAATTCTACCGGAAGTTACTATCCAACCGGTGTTATGTCGGGAACAGAAGCAGCAAGAGCAGCAACAACAGCTGTTGTTTGATCCGAAAACAAGTTTGATCAGTCGACAACAAATGAATGTGATCAATCAGGAGATCAGTATCACGCAAGTACGACCGACAACAGCGTCCCCGTCGGACACACCATCAGTAAGTGATAAGCTCAAAGACATTCTGGGCAAAACCACCAACTCGCCAGGCGGATCCTCGGATTGCGAGATTATTGAGCACCGTCCGGAACTGATAATCGTCAACGAGAACTCGAACTCCAGTCAAGACGTCGTCATTATAGAAGAGGTGACGCCTCAAAACAAAGTGACTGATATCAAGGTGCCAAAGAAACGAGGTAGACCGCGAAGAAATCCGCAACAACAGTTGCACGCGCAAATGTTACTGGCCAGAGATCCATTGGCCTTAGACGCGCAACAAGTCCCTCCTCAACCGCTCGAACATAGAGAAAATGAAAGACCTAAAAGAACCTGTAGAAATCAGAAGAGTTACGCTCCACCTAAACGAGGCAGAGGAGGCAGAGGTTTGTTTCTTTTTCACGATTAATATTTTATTTAAGACAGATTTATATATTTTATATAATTTTATTGTATATAAGAGAAAATTAATGTATGTAATTATTGGTAATCTTGCTTTATTGGGAAATATTACTCTTCTTTTATTATTCGTTATGTATACACGTACATATATATAGATATACACATACATATATATGTATAATAAGAAATATGTATACATATACACACATATATATATATAATAGGTCGTGGTAAACGAAAATTGGATAATGTGCAGCCTCATATTGGAAAAAAGTCTCGTATAGAACAAGACTTGTCAGCTATAGAGGCATCGACGATGGCTGTCATTACCATCGATACACCAGTGCAACAAGAACCGCTCGACAAATCGTCGGAATTATACAAGGCACTGAAACAGCCGCCTATAGATCGTAAGAGCATGAATCCCGTGTGTAAGATTGAAAAGCACGTTTTATTAACAAATCGCAAAGAAACGGGAAAGAAGGATGTCTCTTGTAAGGTCGCGGATTCCGATATCGCGCAATTGGATCCTGATAGATCGCCGAGCGCTCAAGAGGATCAATCGAAAATGTCCGCGAATCAAATAAATCCGTTGGGTTCGAAAATCACCGATAAGAAGTCGGTTGTGGAAATCGTATCAGAGAAAACACAAAAGACGACAGCGAAGCAGTATGCCGAGAATAAGAATAAAGTATCGGATGGATCAGGCAGAGGATCCGAGATTAAAGAGATACCTGTACCACCTGGGCATTCAAACTGGTTGACGCCGACGTCAACGAAGAAACAAGCAGACGCAACGATCAGAGGTGAAACGGTATCGACAGTCCAAGTGATCGACGAGGAAACAAGAATGAGTGCTGAATCCGGTTCAAGGTCTCAGACACCGGCTAGAAATATACCAGCACCCGGTATGTTTTGCACATAAATGTTAAAAATACTGAATAGAATATTATATAACATGATAATATGAGACATGATAATATTGCTTTCTCATTATTGTATAAATTACATACAGTGTTATGATACATCGACAGTGTTTCCGTTGACGCACATGACTGTACACTTTTTACGATTGTTTATGTATCGAGCTGTTCTTATCTTTCAAAAATTTTAAAAATTATAACAACTAATAAACAGACTACAGTACTGTTGAAAACGTTTCCGCGAATGAATGTGAATTAAAGAATATTGTTTTTCAAATAATTCAAAAATTGCTCTAAAATCTGATTTCTATAATTATATTTTATTGTTAAAAAAACACAACTTAAACATGTTTTTTTATTAACATTTTATGATGCTTTTATTTTTATTTATTATTACGTTATTATTTCTATATATATTTTAATTTTCACACGTTAGAGAAGTAATGATTAATTTTTCGTCTATATGTTTACTTTTCAAGAATATTTTGCGCATGAGATGCAATATGCTCCTTATTAGCAATAAAAAAAAATAAATTTTTCAATAGCATGAATCTAGAAAAAAAATATTTTTAGTTTAATCATTGAACAGCTGTGTTGGTACACATCCAACTCCAAGCTCGCTAAAAATAGATCTTTTCTTGTGCGGCATAAGATGTCTCTCAAGTAACTAAATATACGAAATTGTAATGATGTGCTCAAGTGCAAGACAGTGTACATCATTTCTTTTATTTGTAATATGTGTTGCAATTATGTTGTGCTTGGCAGCGTTAAAAACGCTCATACTAATTCGCATATCGTCCATTTAAGTATATATATTATGAATATATTTTTATACGTTTATTTGAAAATAAGTGTGTACACGGAGACAGATAATATATCGATATAATGATTTGTGTTCTAATATGCTAACGAATATAAAAACACTATTCATATTTAGTTTTACACGCACGCACTTTAAAAATCACAGAAAAGACTGTTGATACAGACAGAAAATTATGAGAAGTGTGTGATAAAAGTCAGCTAACTTATTAAGTTGTCATCTACTGTGTAAAGTAGATTTTATTATCTTTGTTATTGAGAAATATTCGATATTGGAGATAATATGTAAAAGCGTCAAATATGCAGGTGTAAAACATGTGTCTTTATTTATTCTTGAGTCGTTTAAATTTTTTATCTTATATCGATGATATTTTCGCGAATAAATTTAAGTTTCGCAAACCGATCCATTTGCAGCTTCAGAGACGACAATAAATGAGGAATCGCAAGGTAGTGTTCTGAGCACCGCTACAACAGAATCGGAAAAAGTCAAAGTGAAGAACCGAAGAATGGAAATTAATTTTGATCCCGATGAAGGACCTTTCACTGTTGACAAAATAGCAGAATACGAATGGCCATTGGATCGAAAGGGCGAAACCTTTATGATACAGGAACAGATCTCGCAATATCTCGGAGTGAAGTCTTTTAAACGCAAATATCCCGATCTCAAACGTAGAGTAGTTGATATGGAAGAGAGAAATTATTTGAGAGAAAATGGATTGGTTAGTGAATCAATGTGTGACATGGGTAAGTAAAAAAAAAAAAAAACATTTAAAAGAAGTAGCTGTGCAAATAACGTTAGAAAATATGAACTTTTAAATACGTTCTTATTATCACACAGGATTAACTGCGGTGTGTAGCTCGGAAGTACTGGATATTATGTGCAGCGACTTTCCCGATCAGTACGAGGAATATCGCAAGCATATGCGAGAGAAGCAAGTCAAAGAACATTCCAAGAAGCAGAAAGAACTGACCGCCGCGGCAAACGCGGAAAGAAATAGAATAGATCTTGCGGAAATGGCGGTACAGTCCGCGTTATCGTGGAACATGAGTTTAAATAAAGCCCGTAGGGAGAATCGAAAGTGTTGTTTAGATTTACAGACTTTTACGATCCACGTGCCAAAGAAGCAACAGAAAGTTGATCCGGAACACAAAGTGGGTCATTATCCTGTAGCGCTGATACCTGGTCAATATACCGATTATTATCGGGAGTACACGCCTGCGGAATTGAGATATTATCCGTTAAATACGGTCTTGTACGGACCCACGCGGCCTAACGAACGTAAATTCGATAGTCAGTCCGAAGGTTCTCAAAGTGATAGCGATAGCGAATCGTCCTCTGACGACTCGAGGTTTGTAGACACGTCATAAATTTATATGCTACATATATTTTTTTTAATGTAATTGTCTTATGGTTACTGATATCGAACAATGTATTATATGCAGAATATAATTTGTAAAATAAAATAATAAAGTTTTCTAGCAAATTTTTTTTTTTTTAATTTTATTTAAAAGAGGCTGTAATTTAAAACCTTTTTTGCTGATAATAAATTGATATGTTTATAAAAAAAAAACAATAATCGCAATAATGTGATAATTTTATTTCAAAGTTCGTCCTCCAGCGAAGGTACGCAAGACACAGAAGAATCTCAATCGACCATGGACGACGTAGACATGGAAATCTCAAACTCAAAAGACAATGTAAAGTTCAAATGCAAGATGTGCTTGAAAGTTCTGAACAAACACAACATGTCCGAAATATTAATCCAATGTGGTACTTGCAATGGAAACGGTAAAAATCGCATTACGAAAATTTGAAAAAAAAAAAAAAAAAAAATGTTTTTGAAGATTTTACTACCGAGTTAATTAAGAGAATATTAAATAGTAATTGAATTATGTGGGTTTCAGTCCATCCATCCTGTATAGATTTAACATTGGATATGGTTCCGCACATTCAATCGTATGCATGGCAGTGCACCGATTGCAAAACATGCGCACAATGTCACGATCCTGCGGATGAAGACAAAATGCTTTTCTGTGATATGTGCGATCGTGGGTAAGTTTGTTCGCCGTGCCTTTTGATACATGAGAAAAATATGCTACAAATTTATATATTTACAATTCAGGAATTATTGATGTTGCTTTGATTGCTTTTTTTATTACGAAAAAGAAGATTCTTCGCATAAGTAATGAGTTATAATTCTTTCTTAAGATCAAACAGCATAATAGGGGGTTTGTAAAGTTACTTGTTGTGAAGTTGTTTTATTTGTACAAGTTTTATACCGCACATTTTCTATCTCACACAGGTATCATATTTATTGTGTCGGTTTGCGACGAGTGCCACAAGGCAGGTGGCATTGTCAAGAATGCGCTGTATGCGCGAACTGCGGGTCAAGGGAACCCGGTGGTGCTAATTCAGACAGGAACAGTGTTGCGCAATGGCAGCACGAATATAAAAAAGGTGAAAAAAATACCAGAGTGTATGTTTCAACGCTTTGTGTACCGTGTTCAAAGTAAGTATTGTTTATAAGACGTTACCAGTTCTTTTATAAACTACGCTGGGCTTCAAATGCTTGATGATTTTTCACAGCTCATCCAATAACACTTTTTCAACATATTTTCTTTTCATTACATCGAGTCTGCATAAAATGTTGATTGTTACATTTCAAAATTGAATTGATATTGTCTTTCTTCTTTAACTTGTAACACAAACATAACACTTAACAAAAAATTTGTTTTAAGTGTTAATATCAAGTGCCTTTAAGTAATTACTCAAAAAAATGGATTTTCTACTATTTTAGTCTTTTATCAATGTTTGCATTTCTGAACTATGATTGGGATGGTTTTTTTTTAGTCTCAATTACGACTCAAAATTTACTTTTTGATCTTTTTTGATTATATAACAGAAAAAAACTTTTTTGTGACTTAATTGTGTGAAGGAAAATATTATCACGTAACATACTCGTAATTTTTCCCTTCCTTTTGTGCTGTTGTTTGAGCACCGCTGAAATACATAATAATACCTTACCTGAATTCTTTTCACTAACCACATAATCTTTATTATGCGATAACAAGGCTCTGGCGAAAGGGTCGCTATTGCCCGCACTGCAGTCGCTGTCATACTGCCCAAAGGCTCGACCTGGAAGTGAATCTAGTGCATTGCAGCGCATGTGACAAGTATCTGCACTTAGGTATTGACACCAAGTTTCATACAATTCTGTTAGTTTAACACTGAGCTCCATGCATATGAGAGAATTCATATATCAGAGTGTAGATTACTTAGCTTGTAGATTACTTATGAACACGACTCTCATGACAGACGTGACTGTACAAACTCTTAAGAATCTATTTAGAGTAATGAAATCGCAAAAGGTCACATTTCTATAGAGATCATATTTCATGTATTTCTATGTAATAATTTTTTTAGTATGTTGGTAATTTTACTATTTTATACTACGCACTATTCTAGATTATTTTTAAAAATAAAAAAATATACATATATTTTGTTTACATATCAAATGTAAAAATGTATTACGGATTTGATGAGGTTGAATAGAAAATTTTCTTCTCGTTTCAATAAGTTGTTAATTCTCACTTGGCGCTTACAATGTCAAATTTGTTGCATGCTGGAACACAATAAGGATTTGAGCATTTGCACGTGCTATCAAATTTTGTTTAACTGTTATTTACGCGCCAAGACTCATATTTAAGTTATTTGCGTTTCTATTTTTCATTTTCTTTTGCCAAAACATTATTATAAGATTTGCAGTAAATTTCGTAATTCATAAAAGTGTTGAACCTAAATTTGGTTTTTATTTAAGAACGTATTCATTATGCAATAGTTACTATTGTTATGCTTGCTGGATGCTTGTTGCTTTAGATCATAAAATACTAGATACTTAAAAGCAAGTGGTTGCTTAATCTCGATTCGACAACGAAGGAATTAATATGGACAACTCTGTTCTTATCGCAAAAAAAAACTATATATCGCATGAGATTGTATATGTAATTATTTTAACACATCTTTTCAGAATGCGTGGAGACCAAGGGAGTAGTAATAGACAAGAAAAATTATCAGTGTGATTTCTGTACACCGTCGAGTCGCCATCAAATGACAAAGTCTTTAGTATCGAGAATGCTCAAAACATGAACATTATCATTATAGTAATGTCACACCAAGAAAACAATATCGAGCTATATGGCATGTGTCAATGTGTGCCGGTGCAGTGTAGTGCCCAAAAATTTTAAATGTTTCAACACAGTTCGAATAATTTTCGACTTTTCTTTTTTTAACTACTTGACATTTATGACGAATTATGTTAGGCAAAGAAGAAATATAAGCAACCATTACGAAGTTATTAAAAATAGTTCGAACAGTCGGAAACCGTCCAAGCTAGCCGTTTTAATGGTTCCGCTTTCAAACTGTTCAAATAACTCAAGCGATTTGTTTAAGACTATTGTATAATCCTAATGTAATATATTATGTTAAAATAGCTAAGTTTCTTATGTATGGAATATACAAGAGATTTTTCTCTCGAGTACTTTCGTGACATGTATATATAACGCTTCATAGGATGACTATTCCGTGAATGTTTACTATTTACGATTCAGATTATAGCAAGTTTGCAACAAACACTATCTTAAAAAAAGGTTGTATGTTTATCCCGTTTACGAAAAAAAAACTCTTGTCAAAATTATTAAATATATAGAATGTGTATTAAAAGTCGTGTACTTTTCCTAATTGTAACTTCTTTTAGAAATATTTGATTTTTTACATATCGTGAGTTTTTCAAATCACGCCTTTTTTAACTTTTGCATTTATACGATGTTACAATTTTGTTAGATAAAAATTAATATTTAATAATATAAAAATAAAAGATATTAAAACATTTTATATTTTTATTCCTCAAACCTAATTTGTGTCGAAATTACTTCAGTGGGTAATTCATATAATAAAATATTACATAGAAAAATATGAAAGAAGTACGATTTTTTTTTAAACGTTTTGTACATAAAATTTGTTGTTATATGCAAAGATATTGTTATGCAAATTTTCAAGCATTAAAACTAATATTTTTATGCATGATTTCCAAGTTGGAGCCGTGTTTGTGTTATTTTTATACGTTTTGTGGATTTCAATTTTTTCTGAGTTTAGAGCAATTTGAAACTAGTATAAGGCGATATGAAAATAACACAAACAATATTTCTTTACATTGGAAACAAATATCAGCTTTGATACTTCGAGAGAGTGAGAGAGAGAAACGATCGTTGGTAAGTTATTTTATAAAACATTGTCTCTCATATTATATATTAGACTATATTTGAAAAAATAATAAAATACACGAAACTAAAAACAATTGCGACTTCTTAAAAATATATATCATTCTCTTTATTCTTCTCTTGCGACATAATCAGATTAGTGCTTTGTTGCGAGAGTTAGATTGCAAATAAACACTTCTTTTTTGTATTTTTACATGCTTATCAAACGCATTACTTATCCACATTTTAACAGTGCGCTTTTTCCTCTCTTTCTTCGCGTCTGTTTCTTGGCTCTGTCTCAAGTTACTTACAGTACATTTATATATAAGATTATATGTTAGATTACGCTGTGTGCAGTATGTACACATACAGATAGTAACGATAGTGTAATTGCGACTGTTTAAAAATGAACAAGTTGCAAAATATAAACTTTGGCATGTCGTTGCATCAACGTTGTAATAATAATATTACGTCAGAGCAATCTTATTGTAACTTGTTTTTGTAATACAATCTGTACATATACAAGATACATTCTAAAGCAACAGTGACGTGCGCGGCAAAGAATGCAAAGCTGCTGCGCTGCATCTTGTCTTGAGTTCGTAGATATTCGGATTCCGATTCCTCTTATATCTCTACAAAGCGCAATGTCGCGTTCATATACGACAGAAATAATCAATGATAACACAGTTACCTAATCCATATCGGCAGCATTGTAAACAAAGAACATCGTCGTAGAAGAATACGTACGCGATACGTTTTTTTTTCTTTTCTCTTTTAGAATTTTTAAGTCGTATGTATTCAAGTGTTATTGTAAAATGGCTGTGCACGATTTAATTTGCTTAGAGAAACGTCACACACGTTAGTTAATTAACATTCCGCATATGATTACAACACCATAAAGTATCGTGCACTTTGAGCAAAATAAATGAAATATATCGTAAGCGTAACAACGGCACAAGTGTGTGTACGTATATTACGAGTATTATCATATCTAATACGTGCAATCGCGATTTTAAAGAGCACTTACGCGCTAAACAAAACGGGTTCGCAGTTCAGAATTGCACTTGACCCGTCATTGACTAGTAATCCTCAATATACAAGGTAATAGAGAGTCTGTTCACTTTCAGCTGCATTTTTTAAATTTTTGTTTTTTTACGCTTTTCAAAAGAAACAAGTTTATCTTCGGGATGTGAAAGAAGAGAAACAATCTCGCGAGAAGATACACGAAAATGCAGCTAAACGAAACAGCATGATGCAACTACATCTTCAATAAACGGGAGGGTTTTTTTCTTCCACTTTGGAAACACAGAAAGTATTCGAATATATACTCACTGATTGGCGAAGCAAAATTAGCGTCAATAATTATTTTCGCACGTAAGAAAAACGTAACGGGTGCATACTTTGGTGTCGTAACGTCATTCTATTTTTGTTCTTCCAAGCCATGTTCGATTTGTAATTGTCGAAAGATTGAAGCGATAATTTTTGTAAAAAGAACGCGCACAAGCAAAATTGCGGTTTTGAAATGAAAGACACATACATTTACAGTTTTCCTGATTCCTCTGATACCATTGAATCAATGGAGTTACAATTGTTTCTCACGCGCGAATTATTGTACTAGAATAAAGCGGAAACTTTAAATGTATTTTTTTGTTTCAAAATCGCTTTTTTACTTACGTGCCACTTTGTTTTTTTTTCTTTTTTTTTTTTCGATACAACGGCAACTTGTTTTGATCCTAAATGCACGCTCCAATCCCGACGAGTAATTGACAGTGTAAAAAAAAAAAAATCAATATGAATATTTACTCATGCCTAATACCACATATAGACAACAAAGTACTGAAATTGTGTAAATGAGTAGCCGGTATAATAGTGATTACTAGATTTTGCGCGGAGAATTTTGCGAGAACGTTGTGGAGGAAATTCGGGCCCGGAAAACTGCCGACTTTGTAAAATATCCGCAGATTGCATGTGGGATACGTGCTCTGTGAACCTTTCCTGAGTTTGCACAACAGATACTCGAAAGCCTCCGATAGTTCGTTCGCGCTCAACTCCGTGGACGGCAGGCTCGTCTCCGTTGTCAAATTACCGGTTGAATTGGACGAGCCTGTTCAAATAACAAGTTTTTACGTAGAAAAAGCATTCCAGATAAATATAAACATGTTTAATAAATAAAAAATACTGAACGAAAAAATTGTGAAAGAAAGGAAAACTTACTGGTAGACATGTAACACACAATTGCCGAAACATTATTTTCGTAATTCCACCTACGTCTGATAGCTATCCTAAAATTAGCCACGCATTTTCCCGTTTCTTCGTCTGCAAGAGAACATACGTAACAATTACGTAATTAGTGATTTTTGCGCCCAGATAAATAAGCAATTAATTTATTACAAACTTAATTGCAATGTGAAGTGTACAAAAAATAAATTTCGCTACATAACATTTTATTTCAATTTGAAACATCGAATAAATTTTGCCTTTCACTCACATTCAAATCGATCGTTGTCCTTATGAGCCCAAACACACCATTCCACTTGAGCATTACGAGGCAAGTTCGGTACAACGACATAATCTACAATGGCATTCCTCGTCCTCCTTTCCCATTCCTTCCTCGCATCCGCTATATAGTTAGAATGTGTTAGGAAGCAAATACCTTGTACTATATCTCGAAGTTTCGCGTCCACAGCTTTAACGATGCGATCTATGTGTCGCAAAGTCAAACGACACTGTCGTTTAATATTCATGTCGAGAAGATTCATATTGCCAGGCACCAAGGGTATTTGTCCAGCTACTGATATAACATCACCTACCTGTAAAAAAGAGTAATTTTTATTTTACTATGAGAAGTTATTTTGTACATCAATTAAACTTGTAGAAATATATATAAGCGGCACGGGAAAATTACGCAAGGAAAGACCATTGTTTTAGAGTCCACTTTTTTTTACAAATTCATCGTGACAAAAATGCTTATGTAATTTTTACACCTGTTATAATAAGAACATTTTAGTCGTATTGTTGCACTTACACGAACAGCCTGTGAGTAAGGACCAATATTGGCAGGAGCCCAATGGCTTATACTTTGAACGTGTATCATGTGTCGTTTGCAGATCCACTTGTCGCCACACTCCTGATTTTCTTTATACGCTGTCGCGTCAAGCGCGATATGTACATTTAAAGGACACTGTACGCACACACGTACCGGCGGACTCTTCTTGCCCAACCAAGAAACATACGCTTCATTTATGGCCTTGTAATTCGACATATCCTTTATGTACAACGTCACCGCAACGATGTCGGATGTGACCAGATTTTCGTTTTGAATCAGAGCTGCAATTTTACCGGCATTATATACACAAAAGTCATTTATATAGTCTTCTCGCGCGTTATTAGTCAAACTATTGAAATTTTATTAATAATTGCTAATATTTGAATAATTACTAAGCGAAAAAACATGTGTCTAAGATGTGAATTTTACTGCTTAGTTTCTCTAGAGCCTCTTCTACGGCGGGCGTGACGTCCGGATGTTTTCCTACGATACCGCCAAACCAGAACCATCCCGTTTGATTTCTATTAACAGTCGGCACATCCGGATAATCTTCCTCTTCATAGAGAATTTCCATTGGACTCGGAGGATGAAATTGACCCGAGTTCGAAACCTTTAAATTACTGTTTTCGCACGCATGCTCATCGTTTTCATCTTCCGATAGATTGCAACCGTCGTGTAGCTCCGGGCCGATGATTTCCGCGATGTAATCTTGCGGTGACTTCACCAAAACGGTCTTTAATCTTTCGGACAAACTTAATTTCTCCAATTCTCCGTTCTAAAAACAGAAGCAAATAATAAATTTACAATACCTCGACGTATTTCTTTACAGTGGTGCTCGAGAGGACTTACATCCTTCTCTTGTAAATGGATCTTCGTAAATCTAAGATATCCCACTGGCGCTACATCGTCTCTTGAATTTATAACACTCTCGAAATCATCGCTAAGTCATAAATCAAGATAAAATAAACGACAGTTGTTCAGATTGAACATACAAAATATTTACAAACATGTGTATCTATAACTTACATTACAATACTTTTGGCAAACAACGGGCAATCTAAAGTAAAAGTTTCGTATTCTCCTCCTTCTCCACATATGTTCACGCCATATTTCTCTTTCTGTAAATAAATTTCTCTTCTAGCTATCTCCATTATGCAATACTAAAAACCTCTGAATGATGCAATCTGTTTTTTTCTGCACTGTTTTACAAACACGACTTACTATCTTAACGAGATGAGGTTGCATCTCGGATATAGATTTACCCAAATGCTTGGTTTCGAGACCCAACGCTGCGACTTTGATCAAAATTGCATTAACAGAACTCTGTATCATTTCATTTAATAGCTCCTCCTGGTCCCGTCTCCACAAATATGATAACGAAACAAGACCTAAACGACTGCATCTGAAGAACAAATATTTGAAAATACTAACGACGCCAACAAATTTTTATTGCAGGTTTGATGAGAAGAGGTAAATATAAATGATAATTACACATTTTCCACACGAATTCGTTGATAATCACTGAAAATAGCACCACTTGACACAGCCTCTATATTTTCACTTTCCTGAAAAAAAAAAAAAAAAAAAAAAAAAAAAAAAAAAAAAAAAAAAAAAGAAAAAAGAAAAAGAAAAATTACATCAACATCTTTTACTGAAATATGATCAATAAGATATAGATACTCTGTATTACATAGTGTAAAAGTCAGTTTACCTTCACTGTACTCAAAAGTTTAAAGAGATCCTCAACTTCATCATTTTCCATAGGATAATAACATTTCTCTCGCATACCAGCCTTACCAAATGTTGGAAAACGATATATAGGTAAGCCCATAGCCTGAGCTATGTACTTGATGCCTTGATGTCCTACTGTTTGGAACATAAATGAATCCAGATCATCTGGAAACATTACACCCATTATACCTATGTTACATCTGCATAAATTACAAATTATGTTTATATTAATATATAAAAATATTTATATAATATCTATAATGTATAATATGTGTTCACAGATACAAATATGATATAGTCTTGCACCGCAATGATTTTATGCAACTTGATTTTAATACCTTTCTCAACTGGATACAGATTAGCTAAAGCCACAATCTCATGGCCAGCTGCTATGCACTGCATCATATTAAAGCAGGAATCTTTGCCACCACTGATTAGTGCAACAACCCTCATTTTTTTGCAGATTGTGCTTGAGTCTCTCCTTTAAGGAACAATTGAGATTGAACTTAAGTCTATGATTTATCTGTTTATATAACCATCTGCAATAAAAATAAAAGTAGATAGTAAGTGTGCATGTGGTTTGTATTTCTACATATTTATAAAATAAAAAATGTTTTTATATAAATTTTCTAAGAACACAAAACTTTAAATATAGAAGTATCTAAAATGCACATTATATTATTTAATAAACAGTACATGAATAAATTAAATCTATATATACGAAATTATACATGTATATAAAAATCAAAAACATAAAAAATCATGAAAATATAACATTAATGTAATTTGTGTAAAAAAAAAAAAAAAAAAATCAAATCCAATTTCAAGAATATCTTATCTCTAAGTACACATATATATGTGCTGTGTGTGTACTCAAGTTTGTTATTTATGTAATCTTGTAGAAATATTTCACATATTGACCAAATCTTCTTAAAAAAAAAAAAAAAAAAAAAAAAAAAAAAAAAAAAATCACTCTGTTTTGCCTTCAGTTTGTAGAATGATAACTTAATGACATAACTGTGGTATTTAATAAAGCGTGTGAAATTGTTAAAGTGACATAAAGCACCAGCTAAGTAGGTAAATCGAAAATTACAAGCNAAAAAAAAAAAACAAGAATAACAAAAGCACTTTGTTTTGCCATCAGCATGTAAAATAAGAACTTAATGACATAACTGTGGTATTTAATAAAGCGTGTGAAATTGTTAAAGTGACATAAAGCACCAGCTAAGTAGGTAAATCGAAAATTACAAGCGTAAACAAATATTCAGATGTCACAAAGATAACGTATGTGGAAAGAAAATTATTTATTAAAATATACAAAAAAGTATATAACACAATTGGCTAATGAACAAAAATTTTCTCGCAAATGGCTGGGGGGTTCGAGAAATCGAAGAAACGTCTAGCCACACGTAATATCTTCGCTCTGGTCACCGGACGTTAAATTAGTAAACATCAAGACAATCGCGATAAAAAGACGTGGATTTATCACGAGAAAGAGCCTTACTGCTTGTGCACGGGATGGAATTTTTTTGGTTATCGCAGTAGCGAACGTGCGAAGAGGAAACGAATGACGAAGTGACAACAGGCGGCGAATCGCGCAGCCGAGCGCGATCGCAGTAATTGCGGTGGAGCATGCGGCGAAATCAACGCTAAATTCTCGATAAATGTGAATATTTACGTTAAATAGGTGGCGAAAACCTCTCTCACACAACACAGTCCGGCCGTCCATGAGAGACTGCTTATGTAGTAGGAGTACGACGGTACGGATGACGGAGGAGTGTGTGACAACCGCGACGGTGGCGCCACCGCGGCGAAACAACGATTGCTCAATGCTAGAGCGTCACGATTGAGGTTATAATTGTTACATTTGCAATTGCGTGGATTAAAATGAGCGTAAGTTGCCACAACAGACCTGTTGTTTCCTCGCGAACAAAAAACCGAACGAATTGCACGTGTCGCACGAGTCGCATCTGTTCGGTGTACGAAAATACATTAATGAAATCGAACGTTACGTCAAGAGACTCACAGGCAGAGAACGCGCGACTGTAGTTATCTCCTGACGTCACGAATGAAACGGACCAATCAGACGCGACATCAAGGAGTTACAATTTACAATCCGATTTTTTGCTTCTCCGAACGTGTGTTATTAAATTTTTATTGTTCTCTTTCTTTATATTTTGCCACAATTGCACCTTGAGAAATTTGAATTACTCTTACAATTGTTGGGGCAATTTTTATACACACACATTGAGAACGCGCGTGAGAATCTTCGAACGTGATTTTCTTTCGCACGTGTTCACCTGAACGTGTTATCAGGAAAAGCGAAGAACAGCAAAGAGCGAGGCTCGTTATTTGTTGAAAAATATTATTACGCATCCATCTGAATTTTGACAACGAAAAATTAGCATTAGCGATTGTTAACTCGACGCGCGCATCCGGAGCAATAACATTCGATAATCCTAAGCTTAAAAAAATAAATTTCGCACTCCCACGGTGGTATTCTCGCTTGCAAATTGTGTGCGTTTGCAACAATTTCGATTGCCGACGTAAAAAGAAACTTTTGCGCGAAAAAGAGAAAAATAGGCGATTGTAATCTTTTTTCCGAGTCTTTGATTTTTTTTTTGTTCAAAATCGCGCACAAGAAGCCCGTGGCCCGTGGCGTGTGTTACGCAAGAGAATATTGGCCAAGTCGTTCTAGCGCGTTCCGCCAGCCAATGAGACGACGCGCGGCGAGACGCCATTTTACTTTCGCTACAGTCGCACGAAGCGCAAACGAGGCGCTTCCTTTGGGGTTCGCGTATCATGCGTTTTCGTGGGGAGCCGTAGGTGATCTCGCCGTGCATCCAGTACGTACGCTCCGAGGGATTTCCCACCGCCCGCATTCCACCAGGATCCGCGTCCGTTAACTTGCAGCGCGACTCTTTTGGTTGGGAAATACGCCAGGACACATCACGATGGTTCTCGCGGAGAGGAATTCCGAAAATGTTCGGAACGGCCGTAGATCGCGAGGTCCCAGCCCTAATGCACAGACGGAATCCTCCAGCGAAGAAGACGGAGGTAACACAGATACACTCATCCCGCTGTCGCTGCTGACTTATATATATTGATTATCGCGATGTTTAACTCGCGTGGAGAACATTTGGTGAATTACTCGAGGCTCTTCGAGTCAGTCAGGATAATTTTTCCTCTCTCGATCGAAAGATAAAATTCAAGATGATCTTTAAACAGCGCGCTCCACTTTTCGTCATTCGAAAGATTTTTCGCAATCACAACTTTTGTTTACTAAAATGCTGACAAATACTATTTTGTCTTTGCATAAAAATGCTTGTGAAAAACTTTATGTGATAAATAATATATATTTATTTACAAAATGATTTTTGTATTAATAACACCTGGAGATATATGTTAATGGGAAAAAAGCTATATGAATAATTTTTAATTTAATTTAAATTAAATTACGTACACAAAATTGTCAAAGCAAATATAATACTTTTTATCGACCAATGTAATATAATAGCACGTAGTAAGTTAGATACCAAGTGTGTTAAAGATATAATACTTTTTAAGTTCCAGCTGAAAAAATCAGGGTTGGAAGAGATTATCAAGTTGTTGTTCCAGAATTTATTCCTGTTAACGGTATGTAGAAATTTTCAATTATATATAAACTTCAAAAACAGATAGAAATATATAAGTAATTTGAAATCTCTTTCATGTCGTGATGATTCATCTATTTCAGAACGTCGTGCGGAACAATGTATTGATAAGGCATTGTTGGTTTGGTCACCTACTACGGAAATACCAGATCAAAAATGTAAGCACAAAATTTATACATAAATCACTTACGTACACACAAAAGTATATATGCATTATGCTATGATTTTTTTGTCTTTCCAGTGGATGAATATATTATATTGGCTAAAGAGAAATATGGCTACAATGGAGAACAAGCCTTGGGAATGTTATTTTGGCACAAACATAATTTGGAACGTGCAGTCTTGGATTTGGCAAATTTCACACCATTTCCTGATGAGTGGACAGTTGAAGACAAGGTGTTATTTGAGCAAGCATTCCAATTTCATGGCAAGAGTTTTCATCGAATTCGACAAATGGTATGTTGGGATGTGTATTCTATGATGTCTGCACAAATACATAAAAGAAGTTTTATTTTTTTTATTTTACTTCAGTTATAATTTTAATAATGACTATTTTAATGAAAAGAAAGCGATAAATTACTGATGAGACAAACAATTTACTTGTGATGATTTATGTTTTGTAGCTCCCTGACAAATCCATTGCCAGCCTTGTGAAATACTACTATAGCTGGAAGAAAACACGAACCAGGACATCATTGATGGACAGACAAGCTCGTAAATTAACTGGCAAAGAAGGCGAGAATGGTAGTGAAAACGGGAGTGAGCTTGGTTCCAATACAGATAGCGAGTCTGAGGAAAAAGTAAGAACTTTCTGCAAATAATTAACAACATTTAAGATGCATGTGTTTTGTTTATATATGAAAAAAAATATCATTTTCACTTTGTATTTTCTTGTTTCTTTATACAAAATATTATTTAGATTTAAATGTCAAAGACGAAAATCTGAAAACAAAGAAGAGATTAGCCTAAACTTAAATGCAAATAGCACAGCAAAAGGCTATGCTCCTTCTAGTTTTTCTCTAAACTATTCTTTCCTATTTTAAGTTTCTCTGTTTGCTTTCTTTTATTTTATGAGTATATATTTCTTTGTATGCTCAAATTACATCATCAGCTTGTTGCTCTGGCTGCTCTGCTTGATTAACATTGCGACTAATTTATCGCTATCATGGCACAAATTGGTAATATAAAATTATGTAAAATTCTGCTGTGTGTATAAATGTTTTTAAAAAAAAAATGTATCCACACGATAGTACATTGTACATAATGAAAATAGGAAAAACAGATCTTTTGTATAATAAGGTGGCGAAGAAGTCGAGAAGTCATTGTGTTAGACATTTTCATACATTAGGGCACAAAAATTTCACTACAGATGGAATTCAAAATTTTTATAATACTTCTTTACGTGATTGTTAATACAAAACTGTTTGATCTCTATCTAAGTGTTTTGCACGTAAAAGATAAGTAATAATTTAGTTGGACCTTATGTCTCGATGTATGAACGTAAATGTGGAACGTTCCAGAAATGGACGGTCCACCGCGGAATACGTCGTGGAAAGAACCAAGCTGTGCCAGGAAGCCACGGCACTGACGCTAAGGCCCCGTCCGACTCGGAAAACGCCCCTCAGGTTCAGGTACTCAGCCTAAACCTTACCCACTCGCCTACATAGTGTAGTATGCTTTACTACTGTGTTTTGTTGTCTTCAGTGTATATATATCACGCGGATTACTATTTTATAATTCTGATATATATATATATATATATATATAAATTTTATTATTTTCTCGATCTCGTCAAAATTTCTCGCGACATCGAAATTGATAGGCTGAAACCTTACTGAGGAAATAAAGCAGAAAATTTCGAAATGTGAAGCTATACTCATGTAGTTCACGAAGTTGGTTTGACCTCTTACCGTCGCAATCACAGTCGAACCAACTACGAAACATACGAAACTGCACCTAGTGTTAAAGAGAATGGGACACAAATCACTGATAAATTTTTTCTTTTTTTTTTTTTTTTTAATTTTTCTCTCAGCATTTAAAGATCATAAAACAAATAAACTACAAAGTGGGAGTGGGTGGGAGTTATCAAAATTTTTGTCTTAAAAGGGTGTTATGTGTTGTAGGGCTCATGTAGCAACTGTGGCGTTGCATGCCATAGTGTTCGTGCGACGCCTAAAGGACATGCGTGTCATAGCTGCTATCTACATTGGAGGTCAGTGAATGTAACACGAAATAAATGCCAAGTAACGGAGAGAATCTTATATTCTATACAACTTTTTAGGTGTCTGAGAGAGAGAGAAAGAGAGAGGATATTCATACGATAAATATAGAAATAAGAAATCTTGAAAAGCAGTAAAATTAGTTGTTTTATAAAATAACTAATGTTTACACATACGTTAAAATGACTAAAAAAAAACTTAAATACGTTAAAATGACTAAAAAAAAAACTTATGAATATCCTCAGAAATTCGCTTATTTCGTTTCAGATTATATTCCTATTGTGACACAAACTTAGTTGATTTTAGTGAAATTGAAACAGCAGCGTAGATTAGCTCCCTCTTCCATGTTCTTACAAATTATTCTACGTTTTCTGATGGTTTAGGCGTACCGGTGTAGCGAGACCCTTAACTTCTATGCCAGGTCGTACGAATAAGAGAAAGCCACCCCGAGGTTTGGTTGTGAATCACGATGATTTGGCGGCCTTAGCTGGTCAACCTAACCAGGCCAACAACAGCTTGGCAGCGCTTGAGACTGAAATCGTTAGCCTAAAACGTCAAGTATGTTAATGAATATAGTCTAAACACTTGCAATACACATGTCGTGTGGATACATCCTATATTTCTCTGTTCTCTGTACTTTTAATATTATATACTAATAAGGGGTTATAAAAGCAAGCGCGCGCGATCGCCCTTAAAACTGCTAATTAAAAAAAATGCAAAGAAATATTTTAAAGTAGGATAAGATTTAAATATCAGAAATGCGAATATTTAAATCTTTTTTTTTTTTTACTTTCTCTTTTTTCTTTATTATTTTATGTAACATGTTTTTTAATTATATTTATTTTTTAAAAATATATATATTATGTTAACTCATACCTAATATTAATATATAAAATTTACTTCAAACTACAGATACAAAGTAACAAGCAACAAGTAAGTGCGCTAAAGAGAAAAACAGGTGACGGTATCGATCAGTTACGACCGCCGGAAGTGTCGAGTCGTATAAACGCTCGTTGGACAAACGACGAGTTGTTGTTGGCTGTTCAGGGCATTAGAAAATACGGAAAAGATTTTGCTGCTATTGCTGAAGTTATTGGTACCAAAACTGAGGCCCACTTACGATCGTTCTTCGTCAATTATCGACGGAGATACAACTTGGATGCAGTTCTAAAGGAATACGAAGCTGAAAACGGTCCCATACTGATCGACGATGAAAAAGACGAGAAGGTACAAGATGTTAAGATAATCTTGATAAAGTGAACATAAAATACTTTATGCGTGTGTTCTTGTACATTTGCGAAATATATCTAGAAAGATATATACTCAAAAATCTTTGATTTATATAAAATTATCTGATTGTTTTTTAGTAAAAAAAAAAACGTTTTAGAAAAAATTAAATACATCTTCCAATAAAATTTATATTGATAATTTGATGGATGACCTTTCAGATGGATGTTGATCAGCCAAGTGACACCGCAGAATCATCACAAAAAGGTAAAACTTCTACTGGACCTGGACAAGTTGCTAAATAACAAATGAGTACAACTTCGAGTACAAAACGGGAAAAGAATAACAGACATAGCGATAATCGATAACGACATATGACAGGTATATGCTTTTTCTTTTCTTTTTATTTTACTGTTTACGGAAACACGCTCCTGAAAATCTAAATTTGATAATTTGTATAATAATTTTAAGTAAAACAAAGACTAAAATATTTGTGTTGGCATATATAATCACCTAATGTGTTTCGAATGTATATGTACTCCAAATTAGTCTTTTTTAAGGCTAATTTTCCACCGTCTATTTATGTAAAACGAATAATTATAATAGTATAATTTATTATATATAAAATTCTATAGAGAGATGTATTATAAAATGTGGAGCTCGTTGAGAGTTCATTTTGCAAGAAATGTGTACTCAAGTGAAATAATTCACAAATTGGAGTCGGAGATTACGAATCACGATTTGATATTCATAGAATCGTGCGAAGTTTGCGAAAAGTAAATCTCACGAATCTTACATAATAGCAAGTGCAATTTATATTTGGAGGTATTTCTTGTTCTTGCGAATTATGATTTGTCGAAGATTTATTTTTTATGTTCATATTATTTAAAACATACTATTTTTCATAAATGTTTGAACTTGTATGCGTAATACTTAGGAAAATGTTAAAGATTGATCTCATTGATCTCATTGGTGAGCTACGAGATCAAATGAATTATCACACAAGTATCGTAGAGGTACGTTCACAGAAAAATTATACATAAAATATAATAAATTATACGACAAAATATTACAAAAAAAATTATTTCTTAAATAAATTGTGAAAAATATTTTAATGTTTAGACAATGAACTCTATTCGATGCTGGAATAGTTTCCACTCTTCTGCTTAGAATTTAGTTTCATATCTTGATTCGTGAACGATTCACTAGAGATTCAATAGATTTCGATCCATCGTTAGATCTCGTTTCCAGCGAGTGATATTTTTCTGTGTTGAATCGTTTTCTTACACCATTTTGCTTTGGAGAAATCCAGTATAATATAGAGTTTATTGTGTTTATATAAAGTTTTGTCATATTTTTTGGCTACTGCTGTTTATGTTGATAATGTGAAAATTTTAACGTGCAATGAAAGTGATCATACTTTATATACTTTATATTATCTGTATCTCTTCTTAGATTTTACTTAATACATAATTTTTCTATAGTCCATTGTTTTTTTGTGTTTCTTTTTTCAATTTTCTTTATGATAAAATTTATTCGCAATCTTTTTAAATATTTCAAAGTTGCTCGTAGTAACAATTATACAAAAACAACGATTTTCACGCTTAATATGTTTTTTTTTTTTTTATGGTCAATTTCTGTACACAATTTAAAAAAGTCAATGAAAAATACTTTTAAAAATGTAATACGAGTAAAATTACAAATTTGGTATGCAATTTGCACGTTCTTTTACATTTCTTAAAAGTTTATTATGTATAATAACATCTCAATATCGACAATCTTTCCCTATATTAAGCAATAGACGACAAAAATACAGTCTTGTATTTGGTAACATGTGTTGTGACCTTTAATATTATAAAATACCAAGCAAAAAAAACTCATACAAATACTACCGTCGTAATTTATTGAAATCGTATAAGTAAATATAATAATATGAGATGTTATTGCAAAGAGATATTGCATCTCAGGCAGAAAAAAAAAATACTGTTTTTATAACGCAAATCATAGTGCTGATAATCACGATTGTCATTTTATTATAAAATACGTGACGTTTGTACTATTACTACCTAATGCCTATGTGTATATAAGGGATATGATAGTGATAGAAGATCATTTTCTAACTCGAAAGAGATTCATATGTACACATGTTTGATGAAACGATAATGTGTTCCCTCGTATTTTTTAATCTGAGCTTACTTCTATCGCAAATTTGTTTGTTAATTTATATAGACAAATCGATTCAGCACACAGTGTAAACATTATAGAACGAATAAGAAATGTAAAAGTAATTATACTTATATGTGTACAACATTACAATATATTAAGGATAAAAAGATATATATTTTATACAAATAGTTAAATATTATTTGACTTTTTAAATCTAAAAACATTATTTCTAATATTTTGACGAATTTTTACACTGCTACTTTTTCTCTATTGTAGTTGCATGTAAAACGAGTAAAAATCCGTCACCATTCTTACTATAGACATATTTTTTACGATGAAAACATATATTAATTAACAATTAACAGTAGATTATACATATATTGTATGTAATTTGTAAATTTAATGATAATAGTAGATAGAAACTTTAAACATATATAAGAATAGGTACATACATATACAGAGTCACGCTTCTTACTGCATTTGTTCGTGAATTGACGGGAAGTACGATAGTTTTGCTTAATCTAGATTTAATTTTGATATATAGCTGCTTAAAGTTGCAGCATATTATTCAAATTGTATTGGTAAATGTTAACGTGTCAATATGAAAATATACATGTGCGCAAGTATGAAAATATTTCATAGATAAATGTGTTGCATGTGTAATTTTCTGCATGCCTTGCATCGATCAGTCATGAATGACTGTTTAATTAAAATTTACACAAGCAAAATTGTACTTTCCAAACGCGTTTTTATATCGCGTTTCTTCTAACGTATAATATATATTTATTCAAAAAATAATACGTATACAGGTAGAAAAAAGCCACATTTACGTATAGTGGACATATCAAACGTGATAGATCTGGTCAGATCGTCAAGTGTTACAGCAACACACAAAAGACGCACTGTTGCATTAGAAAGAATTTTATAGTTAGATAAATTATTTATTTTTAGTATACGAGGGTGCGCATTATCACGTACGTGGAGAATTGCGTGATTTCTATGTATGAAATTTGAACGTTGTGCTTCTATCACAGATCTATTTTTCCCGAACTTAGTTTTATCGATATACATTTTTGTGCGAATATTTTATAGAATATCAATCGCGTAATCACACATGCACAGCGTTTTATTTATTTTCACATTAGAATCAACATAATTATTTTAAAAAACTAAGATTTTAATTATATCTGTGCATAATAATCTCCTTTCGAGAATGTGAAAGGGAAACCGTTCGAGCGTATCAATATAACAACAGAGAACGATATTACACTACACTAAAAAGTTTGAATAGCTACATGAGAATGTGTGAGTGTTTATGTGTGTGTTTTGTATACGCAGAAGGTTTTCCTAGATATAAAATTCTTTGATTGTAAGGGAAACACAAGGAATGAGAATTTTATGAAATAAGTGTTGTCTGCATGTAATTGTAATATATTTGTATAATCATCGTTCAAAGTATCGTAATATCATTAATGTAGCAAAATGTAAAAGCCGTCACAATGCGTTTTTAAAAAAATCTAAAATTTTCGAAAAAATTGAGATTAAAAAAAAAAGCATCTACATATAATGTAAATAGCGGCACAGCGATGAAGATTTATCACAGAGGTGGGAGAAAAGATTTATAGAATATAATGTAAATACCGATAAAGCCTGTGTTTATGCACATTCCTGTAAATGTGTATATTGCATATTTGGCTGCTGTAAGTGGTGTGTACACATGTAATTACGCAAAATTAATTAAATATGTTTTACGAATTTTGTGAAAAATTATATTCTTTTTTATTTTTTATATTCTCTCAATGATATATATATATATATATATATATTGTCGGACACCCTGTATATATATATACACAACTCACATGTACTGCTTATTAACTACGTATAAAATACAGCGTATTTATATGCTGACTTATGATAGAATACACATATAAATCTTATACTCGTGTATTTTAAAATTTAAACAAACAAAACACAAGCAACACGATTTTCCACATTTTCTTTGCAGTTTAGAAGAAAAATTTTATTTTTACACAGTAATAAACACATTTATTAGGTATCTGTAAAAACTTGATATATTACGAACTATATTAATTTGTACATTAAAATTTTAACGCAAATGAATGAATGATAACAATCATGCTACTTCCATTGTAGCACGTCTCGTTTTCGTGACAGATAATCCATATCTCTTAACGACAAAATTCCTTGCAGATCGTCGTAGTCTAAGCCAGCTTTTTCCTGAAGAATTCTGAAATATCTCATTTGTATCGCGTGTACAGGATTCAAATTATTTTCGCGAATTCTATAATCGCAACTGGATGGATTATAAAGAAAACACATGTTCAAGAATTTTGATTCTTCTCTAAGAAGCGTACTGTCATCGTGAATGAACGGATTTTCGATTATCGAGTTAGAGTCGACGTCTCTGACGGCGTGTGTAAAATATCTCGTGAAGTTCACGATATCGTCGACGGTCGCGATGTCGAATTGAAGGCGAACGGTGTCTAACAAAAGTTGCTGATACACAATCTCAACGTGTTGCAATTGATCGTTGTTGCCGGCGTACTTTTGCAACAACGTAGACACGACATCGCGTATCTCGTCTACTTCGTCTTTCAACATAATCAAACAACATCGCATAATCGTTAATTTGTTGTAACTGTTCAACTGAGCGAAACGTTGCAAAGCTAGTTCGAGATATTCCGTTGCGATCCATCTTGTGGACTGCTTTGCATCTGTACATATACAAAAAACATGTGACAGTACCTCACTTATGAATATTTCGGATTTAGAAAATGCTAAGATTAGAGAATTTCTCACACGAATCGTGTATGAACTCGCAATCGCGTTACTCTCGTTGAACCTTTCTATTATCTTATCAAATTCAAATCTGATAGACTTCAAACTAGTACGTTTTACCGTGTTCAACGTAAACGTTATTATTTCGTCGAGGAGTAATTGATGACAATTATTCTTTATCGATGTCAAATAATTGAGAATAATACCGAGTATATTGGGACAATACGATAAAGTTCTTAGGAACTCAACGCTCTCCTCGATGCAACTCGAATGTAAAAAATGATGTACTACTTCTGACCAGGAATCATTGTTCCCAAACTGTATCACATCTTCGGATCTAAATTTATGTTTCACGCTGTACGCGTACATTCGTGCCCAGTATCCAATAAATTGAAAAAGTCCTGGCTGTATTTTTTGTGACGGTGTTACGACTTTGATTAACGGCATGTACAGATGATACATTGATTCATAATGACTTGGTACAAATTCTGTTTCTTGAAGAAACAAGATCTCTAACATATAACACGGTGATACGCTCCTTTGATCGTTACATATCTCATTCCAAACTTTTATTATGCGCGCATATCGATTGTCTCTGAACAAACTCTTCTCACAGGAAGCGAATTTAAGTTTGTTCTTTATGTTTTTGTTATAATTATCGGAATTGTGTGAGTCAATCAGTTCAATTGGATCGAATTTATCGCAATCATCGGAATGTAAATCAATCAATTCGCAATATTTTTCTCTTAAGTATTTTCGAGTTAATAAGAATCCGTGTAGCAAATTGATATTAGAGTTTGAAAGAATCTCGATTTTGAGCATGTCCATCTCCGATATAATTTTTTTGAAGGGCGTAAGAGCCGCGTAAGCCTTAGCGGCCAATTGTCTAACGCACATCATCGGATTACCGAGGAAAACGAATAACAATGGTTTGATTTTTGTTGTAAATATTTCTGTGGGATAATCGATCAAATCGCTACCACCCACTGAAAGTTCAGACAACAGTATAAGTATAGGCACGACGCTCGAGTAAGCTCGTAACGTTGCGTTCGAAGTTCCTCGTAGTTTCGAAACGTCTCGCAATTGCGTCCACATGCGACTCGTCACTATCGGGTGATGAGTAACGAAGTGATTAACGGAGTAACCGGTGCCGAAATTCAACGTTTCATCGTCTCTTCCAGAATGTTGACCCACCAGTCTTGGCACCAATGCACCGTACAACTGCAAACTTGCGTTCCTAAAAAGTCAACGAGTCATCATGTATCCGGTGAAGAGAAACATCACAAAAAAAAAAAAAACAAAACAAATATCCAAATGAACGAACTCTATTGTTACTTATAAAAAAGTTAAGTCAACGATAACATACCTTACAGTCCAAACATCGGACTCCATATACTTGAAACACGTTAGACAAATGGTCTCCATATAGGGAACTAGGTGCACGTGAATATCCTTGTCGATTATCAATGTGCGTAAAAAATGCAGACGTTTCGCCCACGGTGAATCTTGTCCGTCTTCAACATTTCTAACGGCGTCCATTGAGAAATTTTCCAATGAGCACAATAACATCTGTATCGCAAGGTGGACCATAGGTCGGTTGCTGCGATTGTCACTGACGACTAATTTATGAAACATGATCGACAATCCGGCACCGCGTCGCGTTAAGTGCAACGATTGTCCCGCATCATCCTTTAGCAAATGCGTCAAGTATTCTTCCGGTAACTTACAATATTCTTTTCTGTTGTATAAACATCTACAATAATTGTATTTAACAAAATTATTGGTCATTAATTAATAATTCGTCATTTATGATAGGAAGTGAATAAAAGCGCTAATTTAAGTAATTATTGTGTATTATTGTAAGTTTCTTTTTTTATTTTGTTTTAAATACATACGTCCCGATAACATTACGTTTGTTACATCAACTTATAAAGAAAAGAGGCCTTGTTAGAATCGTTACCTTGATAAATCCGCAATCGCTACTCCAGCACATTCCATTACACCTTTATGCCGGCACTTTAAAAGTACCGTCGCGATGATATCTATAGAACACTTTACTTGTGTGTCCGACAGCATTGCCATTCCGATTTCGCTAACAGTTTTACATAGTACCTATGTGAAAATTATATAGTATTTAATAGTTGTATTAAAACTGTTAATAATATATTATAGTACATTCATATATTCCACACCTTTAAAGACATCCAGATACACGAGAGAAGCACCTGATGAGCCGGTGATAATAGCAACTCATTGTAATCAGAATCATTCACTTCACTAGATTTGATCTTTTCATCGATTGCTAATCCCATTTCCGCAAACGAGGACGAATAAGCTAAACAATAAAACAAGTAGTATTTAATTTTCAATAAACACACGTACAATAATTTTTTGTTATGTCAGTAACATTATTATAAAAAATCGATTTCGTATTGATTGAGTGATATTAATTATGTTATTAATCAATCAACTACTTTTCTCAATTATAATGACGCTGGTATTTTTTTTAATAATAAATCATTAATAAATCATTTTTGTTGATCAATATTTTGTATCTGCTGCACAGAGTATTCTCTCTCTCTCTCTCTCTCTGCGTATTTAATATTTTATTTACAAATATATATTGACGTACCTGTATTCGATGTTTTTGTAGATAATGCGGATAAAAAAAAGTCAACAGCGTCTCTCGAAAGATTTAGCAATTTTTCCGTAAACTCCGATGTTACAATCCAACTCTCCGGACCAGCTCGAAAAGCAATAGCCAGTAAAGCAGACAACGGACCATAAAATGGTTTTTCTTGGACAACGGCCTTTAAGATATCGCTTTTCATTTCCGCTAATTGATTTGTAGTTTCGTCTAATAAAAGATGTGAGTAACTCTGATAACAAGACCGCATCTCACGTGCATCGTCCGAGAATACTACATCTATTGCATTTACGTTTTCAGGTTCATTCAAGGGCAGCCAATGTGCCATTATTTTCATGAGGGCTGCTCCGCTTTCAATTTCATAGAATTTAAAAGAATTATAATGCTTCCGCCCGCAAATGTAGAGTACCTACAATTACAGAAATATAATTTATTTAAAAAAGGAAAATTTTGTATATATATATATATAATAAGTTAAATATTTATTTTATAATATGTTATAGAGAGATAAGTTTTTAATTTTTTTCTTAATAAATTTTATGTTGATTTTTTTAAAGCAAAGTTTAAATATAAGTCACATAAAATATGGCAGATGCTTACGCGCTTTTCCGTAGGCGACAGAACATCTTTTTCAAAATATTGCAGAATAAGAGTAGTAGCTAGTTGTCTGATATCGAGTGCAGAGTCTAATACAAGTCTTAACAATACAAACAAATATTTTTTCTCTGTAAATTTCCAATTATCAGTAATTTTCAAGTTCTGCTCTGAATTTGTATGCGTGAAAGAAAGCAAAGTACGATACAAGTTCAAAGCGAGGATCTTGCGTTGATAGCACGAACCAATTTCAAAACAATCTAGAAAGTATTCGTGCAACCAGTCCATGAACTTGCAAACAGATTCCGTATGATCGCTTTCAAAGTTACTCAGTTTGAAGATTTTTGAACAGCATATTTCAAAATATTTGATCATTTCTTTTCTCACAAAATTGGATGCAGTATTAGCATTAAACCATAAAAATTGCTTTATTAAAATCAATGGATCCGCTTCGTTAATATAAAACAGATCGACGACGCGATAACACAGTACAACGAAAGCATTTAATCGTACGATTTCATCTTTGTCTTTTGCGTAGCGCTCAATTTCGTGCATCTCATACAGTATGTTCACGTAATATTTAGCAGCCATTCTTAGCACGTGCGAACGAAAGAAGTATCCTTGTGTATTTTTGCATATATCCCATAGAAACAACAAGATGTGTTTGTTCTTTTTGATGGTAGGTTCAAGCCACAACATGACCAACGATTGGAGAGCGTTACGATTTTTGCTGTAACACAAAATTTTTAATTCTATACAGAAAGTGTGGGTTACAATCGCATAAGTATTATATATATATATATAAGATATATATATATATATATATATATATGTATGTATAATATACATACTATATATAACAGTATTATATATATATAAACTTACTGGGCTTCTGACTCCCAAAGTTCAACAACTACTCTTATGGCTTCTCCGAATAAGTTGGTCCACTCCTTTTGGCTGTGATTCTTTAAAATTGCCATATAAAGTTTCGTGCCACAACTGTGCAAAGAATTTCTCGTTAAAGTGGAACAAAGGCAGAGCAAAAATGATTCTGTTATTATTTTAGAACAGCTCCACACTTGAACAAGTTCTGTCAGGATGATGTACTTTATTTTGTTTCGCCACGATATGTTAAGAAGACATTCATTAACAATAGCTGATCCCACCGATTCTAATTCCATACTGTCATACTTCTGTAACATTATCTCAAGATACATTTTGAAAATGTGCGCGTTTTGTTTACAAATATCATTGAGCGCGTTAGACCAATTGGAGAATATGACGGCTTCTAACTTTCGTTTTAAGATACAATTGTTTTTATTCCAAAAGAATATATCAGGTGTCTTCTTCAACTTTTCCACCCATACATATAACACCTTATACGCGTAGTAAGAGTATCGTGTGTACTTTATACAATTTCTATATATTACATCAAACGTAATTTGAAACAGAGTGTCAGTCATTGTGAGGTTTGTATCGTTTTGTTTCATTTTCAAACATTCATTTGCGTTCAGTAGCTTGAACAGTTCAGTATCGGCAACGGTGTACCAGTTCTTTAAAAAATATACGCTTGAAGTATTTGAGTCCAAGTTTTGGAAAGAAATTACCACATCTGTGACAAATTGCGGATCAAACTGTGTTGAGAGCAAAGCGTAGAATGCTTGACACGCTAACTGAACACGTTCGTTTCCCAATTCGGGATTGCTACTGATAATCTTCAAAATGTGTGCCAGAATCTCATGCAATTTTTTCGCACTTTCGTTATCATCAGGATTGGATAAACACTTGCACGGAGTGCTTATTAATCTCTGAAAAGAGAAGATAAATTATTACAAATAATAAAAAGAGAGAGAGAGCACAATTAACAATTTAGTATTATATATTAGAATACCAACTCGAACAACTAGTACGTCGTTTTGACAAGTTTGTAATTCCTCAAGCACTTTAGTAAAGAAATCCATATTTTTAAACAAGTGTCTATTATCAAAACAAAAATAACAGCAATAATTAATAATTAGTTTTTTTCCATGAGGCTCTTGTGGTATATATTGGAGGAATATAGTAATGTTTCTATTTATATAACTCTTTGGCTGTCACTTGTAAGTCAAGAACTGCTTGGCTCTTCAAATTGCTTCGATAACTCAGATCCTTTGGAACTTTGCATTTCGCCGTCAAGACAATGCCTAAAATTAATGGAGAACAATTATATTTTCTCTTATAAGCATTATTGAGAAAAAAACCAAAAAAAGAAAATTATATCAACTTCTAAATTTAAAAAATTCGCAAAAAGCTGTGTAAAGTTGTTTTTAAAAATCTTTATTTTCAAGAAATTATTAGTTTAAGTACAAAAGCAGGTAATCAAAGAGTAATTGTTGGATTGGCTTATTTGTATTTCAAATTCCTTAAAGGAATAAAAAACAACATGAGAAAATGAACAGTTTTAGAGCATTTCTTGAAACTACTGATTAAGACAGTACTGGAGTTGTCTACATTGTCAATCGATCGCACAATTACAAATTTTTGACGTCTTTTGAGTTTATTGGAGTATACGATTTGAAAGTTACATTTGAGAAAACATACTCTCGAAATGCCCGGTATAACCTCTTTTTACGATTGTTTTTGTTTCTCTAACCACGTTTCGATTCGGTCACTTGTGTCGCACATTTAATATAGTTTTATTCTGTTCTGTAATCACTAATGGCTTTATGCTTATCGGTTCAAATAGTCTTATGCTTTGCATGTGCAGCTAAGTCAATAGTAGTCATTATTTTTTCTTTTAAATCCCAATAATTACGGTATCCAGTACCGCCTTAAGAATGACGGGAGTACTCAACACTATCACAGTTATTCGAAATTAATTCCGATCTTTGTTGTTATTATTTCTTTTTCTTTTGAAAGAGGGAAAGAGATAGGAAAAAAAAATAAATTTTGTAATAGCTAGAACCTAGAATATAAAAATATTGTTTTGTTATTTTTAAGCATTTTGTTTATTATGATCTAACAGATGTGAAGAGACAACAATGAGAATGTAAGATCAAAACAAGAAACTTTGTTGTGAATATATATAAAATTAAATTATGTTTATGTTTAATATGTTTATTAAATTATGTTTAATAGGTAAATTAATTATTCAATTATGAATTGCTATTAATATATATGGTGTAATCGAGATATTAGTGTCTCTCATGTTTTCTTTGGCTCTTCTTCAACATACCCCCCCTTCTCTATTTGCTCTTTGAACTTCAAGTAATCTCGCTTACGATCAAAATGTTTCACCTGCATAACAGTAGTATATAAAACGTGTTAGACAATAAAAAAAACAAAATTTTATTTATTAACATCAATGTTAAACGCATGGTTTTGCTTTTCTTGGAATATTATTAAAAACATCATTCTACACAGTACTCACCCATTGAGACGGACAAAATTTTTCATATTGTTTTCTAAATTCTCTACATTCTTCTTGAGACTTGCCTTCATCTAAACATTGCCAATATTTGTCTCTGTGACTCCAACAATTCTGACGAACTTCTTTACTTGGGAAAGACATTTTCTGTAATAATAAGGCTTATAATTAATTACTTAAATCTATTATTTTGTTTGATAATATGTTTTAAAGAAATGTGTGTGTGTGAAATTATAATAAGAATTTACAATATGTATAATACATGTATTAAAATATTTACATACATACAATATTTTTACAATAAAAAGAATGCAATAAAATGTATTTTAATATATTTTAATATTTGTATATAACAAACTGTAAAATTAAATAAATAACAAAAATATAGTCTATATATCTTCTAAAATTAAAATAGTTTTGTTAAAATAGTACTATTCGCTACCTGGTAAAGTTTACTTAAAAAGTTTATTTTTAATTGTTTATTTTTAACTCTGTGTAAAAATAGATTTTCAAAAAGTAATAGTGTTATACGATTCACTCATACAATGACACACAAAATATATATAAACACACAACTTCTAAAGATAATATAAATATCAAACTTAATTGGAATATTACATAACTGTGGAAATCTTTATTATATATTATCTATATTATATTATAGTCAAGTATACAACAAATAATATTGCATTCTAAGGTAAAAAAACAAAACTAATAGTAAGTTTTTTTTTTTTTCATATATGTGCGGCACTAACTTTTATACAACTAATATAAATTTGATCAATTTAATTATCAATTTATATTTATCAAACACACACACATATATACTCTTATATAAAATTGTATAAAATAATAAACTTTTTATCACGTGAAGGTTTTTTGACTAACCTGAGTAGTTCTGAAATGATGAAAAAACAGCTAACTTGAATTGATGTTATCTTGTGCGTGAGATAATCATTTAGTTTGGTTTGTGTGACGTGTATTGAAAATAAACTGCATTAAATTATTACAGTAATTCTCAGTATTTGTCAAAACGCGAGAAAGGAGCTTTTCTTCATTTAATGACATAACCTGTTCCCCCTCCTATGCTGTTCCCAAGATCAAATCCACACTTTATAGGTAACATATCTGGAAGTAGCGATTGGGAAAGATAAAATTTTACTAGTGTGTTTAGAGCATATTGATACATATATATATATATATATACAGATTTGAGTGAATATTGGTGAAAATGTTAAAATAAAAATGAAAAAAGAGGAAAATTGTTAGATCAGAAAGGCTTCAATTTTTGTTGTACTTCTTTTAATTCGAATTGAATTTTTTGACACACCAATTCCGCTATATATTGTATTTTTTTAACATCTTGTGATTACTTCTAGAGTTTATCTTTCGCATATCTTTTTGGTTGCACTTCTGGGTGAGTTTTAAGCCAGAAATGCAAAAAAAAACTTTAAGCACTTCGATTTAAGTCCGATATTAAATTACGAATGCACATCCGACACATGCAAACGCGATTTTATTCTCTGGTTGTGTGTTCAAAAAACTCTTTCGCGCAAGAAATCTTCCAGAGTCACGTTCAGAAATCCTATCGGTATACGAAACTTTCTATACGGTCAACCTAGGGACTTGAGTGATCAAAAAATTCAAAGCGGAGTCGGACGAACTATTTATTTACTTCGAATTCGATCATTCGAAAGCGACGGTTTCGCGGTGGTCTCGTCAATAATTCGATTACAGCTGTGCAAGTAGTTCCGTCCTGAGCGGGCATCGTGTGATAAAAATATAAAATTTTTCTTCGGCTGTGCTATACATACACAATTCACACGTATTGACAAGTGCGCGATTGAAAATCTCGTTGTGCGCGATCAAATTACATTTTAAGTGTAACAAACAAATCGCGTGTTTCTTTGCGTTGCGTCAAAAGGAGCCGACGCCCCCCCCGAGGGTTATGCTCGCGTATGTCTAATGTCTAGTTCCGGTGATACCCAGATCTTACCTACAGGGCAGCTGAAGAGCACGGCTGCTGCTGCTGCTGCTGTTGCTGCTGCCGCCGCCGCCGCCGCCGCTGCTGCTGCTGCTGCTGCTGCTGCTGCCACCACTACCACCGCCACCACCGCTGTTGCTGCTGCCGCCGCCGCCGTCGCCGCCGCTGATTACAAAAGCGCTGTCAAGCGCATCAAGCTGGACACGGTTGTAGAACTGGGAACCAACGAGACCGACGTGAACGGGAGCAATATCATCATGACGGACACGGCGGCCGCCGCCGCGACCGACACTCAGAAGCGAGCTAACTTTTCGGCGTTGACAGTTGGCAATCCGAACGGTGTCAATAAGATCTCGTCGAATTTGGCAAACGCAAAACCCGGCTCCGCTAAAAAGCTCGTTATCAAGAACTTCAAAAGTAAGCGGTGCAAATGTACCGATCTGATCTAACCTCGAAGTCACCTGCTTGTCTTCTGTAAAAATAGCGTTCAAGTCATTTCGGCTTGCTTTTCATCATCTTGTTTCTCAAGATCGTGATTGCCAATCCCATTCGATACAATCAATTTTATGGATTTGCAATTGATGGATGTTTTTGCTTTATTTAGCATAATAATAAGACAATAAAATGAAACATAACCTAATGTGTGTGCGAATAATTCGAGAGAGAGAGACATTCTTCAATTAGTTGTAATTGGACGCAAGTGAGATTCTTCTCCTTATTTGCGTCGTTTATCAAGCTTTTGATCTTATATTATTCGATGTAATTCATATCAAAAATATTTTAATGTCTGATACGTGTCTATTTATAGGATATACATTGTTGCTGGGATGTTACAATGTATTGAAATCTATAAATGGATCAGTTTGACTTGACATTTTGTTTTTCTCACATTTACGCGTATATATTATTCACTATACTATCTAAATAGAATATAATAGTTTCATTTTTATAAAAAGTAAATGGATTATATGTTTTTTATTATCTGTTGTTTGATTATTATTTTTTTGAAAAGTTATGTGACATATTTTTAAGTAAAAAATTTAAACTAAATCAAGTATGTAAAGTTCAAAATTTTTAATAACTTTATTTCTCTTGTTTAAAAAATACATGTATATGTATATTGTACACATGTTGAGGCTTTTATAATTTTTAAATAACTTGTTTTTTTTTTTTTTTTAAATAACTAAACTAATCTCTTGTGTTTATGTATAATATGTAAAACCTTTTGTTACTCTGTTTTCCAATTTAACAACATTGTTCTCCATAGATAAACCCAAGTTGCCAGAAAATTATCAGGAACAAACATGGGAAAAGTTGCAGGAGGCTGTAATTGCTATACAAACCAGCAAAAGTATCCGCTATTCTCTAGAGGAGCTCTATCAGGCAGTTGAGAATATGTGTAACCATAAAATGGCCTCTACACTTTATACAAACTTGACTATTCTAACAGAATCTCATGTGAAAGCCAATATAGAGCAGTTTTTAGCAGAATCCATGGACAGACATATATTTCTGAAGAAAATGAATGAGTGTTGGTTGTCACATTGCAGACAAATGATAATGATCAGAAGTATATTTCTTTATCTTGACAGGACGTATGTTTTGCAAAATCCAAGCATCTCATCGATATGGTAGTGTATAGTATATATAAAGTATTATATATTTTAAAGTATTATTTTTAAAAATCTCGATAAATTCTTTATATTTTAACTTTTTCTAGGGATATGGGGCTGCATCTCTTCCGATTACATATTGTGCTAAATAATTTGGTACAAACACGTACAGTTGAAGGTCTTCTTATGCTTATAGAGAAGGAACGGCAGGGCGACACTGTAGATCGAACTCTTCTCAAATCATTATTGAGAATGTTGTCAGATTTACAAATCTACCAAGACGCCTTTGAAACGAAGTATATCTAAGTTTAAAACTATGTTTTTAATACATTTATTATATTTTTTTTGTTTATAATATATTTTACTAAAATATATCTTTTTAATATATCTTTTTATTTATAATATATCTCTTTTTGTTTAGGTTCCTAATAGCTACAGAGAGATTGTATGCTGCTGAGGGTCAACGATTGATGAGCGAACATGATGTTCCTGAGTATTTGGCTCACGTGGATAAACGTTTACAGGAGGAAAATGAACGATTATTACATTATCTGGATACATCAACCAAGTAAGTTTTTTTTACTGCATAAATATGTAAAAAAAGAAAAAAAAACATTTTTACGACACTAATTGTATGAATTTGTATTTATTTGTTTTAACATCTTTAGGTGGTCACTCATACACACTGTAGAAAAACAATTGTTGTCTGAACATATTACTAGTATTTTACAAAAAGGCTTAAGCGGATTGTTGGATGAAAATAGAATTGGTGACCTATCATTGCTTTACAACTTATACAGTCGGATAAAGAATGGCCTTGTAGAGCTTTGTGTAAACTTCAATTGTTATATTAAGGTACATTTTTTGTTTTATTTATAATATAAATGAATTTATGCCACGTGAAGCAAAATTATATATGATCTGTGTTTTATATGTCTAGAAAAAGGGCAAAACAATAGTGATAGATCCTGAAAAGGATAAAACAATGGTACAGGAGTTGTTAGATTTTAAGGATAAAATGGATAATATAGTTAACACATGTTTTCATAGAAACGAAAAGTTTGCCAATAGCTTAAAAGAAGCTTTTGAAGCTTTCATTAATCAAAGAGCAAATAAACCAGCAGAATTGATAGGTAATATGTGCGATATATTATTAAATCACATACTAAATATTGTGCAATATTGTACATAGTTATTTAGAAAATTGTCTTAGGTGTATATGATGTTAAGTTAAAAATATTGATTCTCAAGCACACATATAAAAACAAATGAAGAAAAATAATAATTTCAGCCAAATTCGTTGATTGTAAATTACGCGCTGGAAATAAAGAAGCAACGGAAGAGGAATTGGAAAGATTGTTAGATAAAATTATGGTGTTGTTTCGATTTATCCACGGAAAGGATGTTTTCGAAGCTTTTTACAAGAAGGATTTGGCCAAACGTTTGTTGGTGGGGAAATCAGCTTCAGTAGATGCCGAAAAATCAATGTTGTCGAAATTAAAACAGGAATGCGGAGGCGGATTCACTAGTAAACTGGAAGGAATGTTCAAAGATATGGAACTTAGCAAAGATATTAACATTGCATTCAAACAGGTAAAACAGTTTAACAATACTCAGTTTTTTTCTATACAGAGAGGGAGAGAGAGAGAGAGACTTTAAAATATTTATGCTTCTTGTAGTACGCAGGCAACTTGCAAAGCGAATTAGTGGCTAGTAATTTAGATTTAACTGTATCTATACTTACTATGGGATATTGGCCTACGTATCCTGTGATGGAAGTAACTCTACCGATGGAAATGGTGCAGTATCAAGACGTGTTCAATAAGTTTTATCTGGGGAAACATAGCGGTAGAAAATTGCAGTGGCAACCAACTTTAGGTCATTGTGTGTTGAAAGCATGGTTCAATCAGGTATCAGACGCAAAAGACGTAGAATGTACTATTTGAAAATTATACAATTCTTAACTGACAATAATAACACACGACAATCTTTCATGTGACTATAGGGTAACAAAGAACTGCAAGTGTCGTTGTTTCAAGCTTTGGTTTTAATTCTCTTTAACGATTCTGATAATCTGTCGTTGGAGGATATCAAGGCCGCGACAAATATCGAGGACGGCGAACTGAGAAGAACCCTTCAATCTCTAGCGTGCGGGAAGGCTCGTGTTCTCCAAAAGAATCCGCGTGGTCGAGATGTTGCCGATAATGACAGATTCGTATTCAACGGAGAATTTACAAATAAATTGTTCAGAATTAAAATCAATCAAATCCAAATGAAAGAAACGGTATTTGATACACAATCGATTTTGTATCTTTCTATGCGACACGCATGTCTTGTGTGCAATGTTTTTATGTGTGAGTTGGATTGAAACTTACAAATTAATACTGTCTTTTTGTGTTTTTATTCAGAATGAAGAGCAAAAAGCAACAGAAGAGAGAGTATATCAAGACAGACAATATCAAATAGACGCTGCTATAGTCAGAATAATGAAAATGAGGAAAACTCTAACTCACAATCTTCTTATCAGTGAATTATACAATCAACTAAAGTTTCCTGTGAAGGTATGTGTGCACGATTTTTTTTAAATGTAAAACAGCGTAATAATCGATTTAGCATTGTGACTATTTGACTTTCTCAATTTGAATATAAACACAATGCCTGTATTTCTATTGAGAAAAGAATATTCTGACTTTTGACACTTGTAGTTTATGTTAAGATAAGAAAGTGTGTATTAAAAAAAAATTTTAACGAGTACGTATTTAAATATCAGAATCTCATTACTATGCAGCGTGTCGTGTTTAGTGTTCATATTCAATGAACATTTTATTTTTCAGCCTGCAGATTTAAAGAAACGGATCGAGTCTCTTATAGATAGAGACTACATGGAGCGAGATAAGGATAATGCAAATCAGTACAATTACGTTGCGTAACCTAAAATGAATGCCAAAGGTACATTCGATCACCGGATTGACGCTGATTCCTTTAGTAAATTGAAATTATCGCCATCAGTGTTTGTCTATTGTGAATGTGAACAGGTTGTATTTGAAATGAGAGACTATGTAAACTAAACTGACTGTCGGCATGCCGCTTATGACGTGTGTGGTCATTTCGTACAAAAAAGGGAAAAGAAAAAGACTCGCCTCAGTGAACTTCCTCGTTTTGATTTTCGTAGTTAATATATATGTGTATGTATACACACATACATACACACATATATGTACATATGTATAAGGAGGATACTGAATAATTGCAATTACTCTTTGATCAGTGATGTGTTGTTTCTGAATTTTGAAAACAAAAAAAAAAGAAAAAAAGGACCATAAAGCGGAATATCCTTAATATAATGTCCTAGAGTGTAACAATTTTTTATGCAATGCAGTTTTTCACAGCATATTTAAGCTAAGAAGATGTAATAAAAAAATGCAGATGTAGTATACATATTGTGACACTACCATAAAAATAGAAAAGATATAAGAGTGCAAAACAAATTGCAATATAAATTAGTTAATTGGAAAAAATGAACAGTGCAGTATTTATAAAAAAAATAAAAACTCGACATTTCGTATTTATGAACAATAATGGTACTTATCTTTCAAATTTGCAAATTATTTCTGCTATAATATTGTTTTAGTTTTTTTCTTTACATATCTCTATGAAAAACAATCTTTTGTGGGAGTTTTCCCTAGAATTATGAACAAAATATAAAAACACAATGCATTTGCAAACACGAAGCATATACAGATTTGTAATTTTAATAGGTGTGACATCCAAAAAAAGTAAAAATAATAGACTCCTCTGAAAGGAAAACATATTTGGTAAAATACATAAGTATTCGTGTATTAAGTATATCTCAGTAATAATACGTTACTTTATTTGTAAGTGAGGAACAATTTACTAAAAATATATATAATGTTCAACAAATATATTTTTCACTAAATTTTAAGGACAATTTTAATAAAATAAATTTTTAATAAAAGTGGCTCACATTACATTGAAACATGACTTCATTACCAAGACAGAATTATTTTAATATTCTTGAATCAGTCGGAGATAATATAAGATTCCGATAAGCAGAACATTTGTTATTGAGATATACGCGCGAGAATTAATCTAGTATAATTACGCAAAAGTAAATGAACATTCAATGCTGGCTCGTTAAATTCTGTGTTACCCAAACTAAATTTACAAATAACACTTCTAATGCAAAGAAAGTTTAATACAAATTCTTAAAAAAAAAAAAAAAATCGTAAAAATCATGTAATATAAATGCAGTATGCACAATGAGTATGTATTAAAAGAGATACTATTCAAAGTCTGCTTTTTCAACTTAAAGGAAGTGGTGTGAGTATGGAGTGGATTATAGCTTTATGTTGCCATGTACAGATTTAGAAATTAACTTCAAGGCAAGAGTGTGAAAAGAGAGAATATATAAGTTAATATCTTACTATCATATTACAAATTGCTGTATGATGCGTTTGAATCAATTCTATATACGACACTACAAAGCTTTTTTTTTTTAAATAATTCATAAATTTATCAAACCTTGTACATAAAAAAAATGTAAAGGATTCTGTAATAAAAAAAAAAAAAAAAAATACAAGCAATTAAGAGAACAAATAATGACGATATTGTGTCACAAGCACTTGTTGTCATGCAGTGTATGAGATTGTGATTATTTATGCATAAAACTGTTGAAGAAATTTTGAGATCTTACTTCTGTATTATTTTCCAGCAAGATACTAATAACTAAATCTTTTCTGTATGTGTGTATGCGTACACATATACATATATAAAGTGAGAATAAAAATTAAGATTTTTAAATTAAAAATAAATGCACTAAAAATATATTCTTTCTTAATTAAAATTTATGTGGACTTCACACTGGAGTTCAATTTTAATTACGTTTTACATAAGACGATTGTTTACATTTTTATTTTGAAAAAGTTGTACAAAACATTTTTATATCACGAAAACCTTACACAGTTGCGTCATTTTATTGTTTGCACATGCGAATTCTTCATATCGACCTCATTAATTAACGATTTTGCAAATGTAGCGGCATTAGCTTCTTTGTTTAAGAAATCTGATACTAACTTGGACGCTGGTTTTCCGCCCCCGTGCGCTAAACATTCTCTTCGATAACGCTCGCCTGCCGATCGACAAAAGGGGTCCTCATGGAAATAGGTTTGCCAAATCCAGGCGGCGATCGCACGAGATATTAGGTAAGAGTAATATTTTGCACCGTATCCGACTAAATGGGAAAATCTCAATTGCCACGCCTGTACATATAACAGTAAAATCACTTGTTTACTGATCTATGTAATCAATCGAAAAAAATAGAACTTCAGTTTTATATCAATACTTTACATGACAGATTCTTAAACATATTAAAACTCTCGCTTGTTTTTTAAAATACAGAAAATGCTAGAAAAATGAATAAAAAGACATTACCGTATTTTTTACATATGGAAGACCGTAATATTCTTTCTGTACATCCGCTAAGATCTCAGTGGTGGATTTCGTTAATTTCCCACTGTGATACACCTGATCCAGCATACTGTAAAATACTTGATTTTGCAACTCGGAAGCGTAGAAAATGTTTTTCGAAGCGCACAGTTTGTGCAATAAATTTTTCGGAATAGGTTCTTGAGTTTGAAAATGTTTCGCAAACTTTGATACAACCTACGATTGCGTTGACAAATTAAAAAAATTACAATTAAGTATCACAGAAAAATTTATATAGTTATTTCAGACACATGAGGCTAAAAATATGTGCATTTCTTCGGAAATAGTTTTATACCCTAGGGTCACTGGCAAAATACTCCATTAGCACACTTGGCACTTCCGCAAAGTCTGTGCTGCATCTAGTACCGGTTACATGCTGATATTTCGTTCGACCGAGCATAGAATGCAATGCGTGTCCCATTTCATGAAACAAATTGTCCACCGATGATGGACTCAGCAAACACGGATTTGACCAACGTGGATGTGGCAACGATAGCATAAGTACAACTATAGGATTCTAAAATCATATAGCAATGATACCTCGATGGGATGAAAATTCCAATAACTAAAATAAAAAATTTAGCTTTCTAACATATTTATATACCTGATATGTGCTATCTGATAATTGTTTTCCACCTTGAATCGTAAAATGGCAATCTTGATTCGGTTTTCCTGCTCTTTCATAGAAATCACAGTAAATATATCCCAAAGTGCCTTCCTCCTCATCTATCACAGCTAGTTTGTGAATATTGGTCGCCCACACTTCTCCAGATAACACTGGAACGGATTCTAGTCTAACTCCATATAAAGATTGCGTGAGAATATTTATACCCTCCATGCAAGCGCCTAACGAAAAATACGGAGCAAATTCATTGACAGAAGTATTTAGCCAAGTTCTCTTTGCTTTTGCTGTGAAATAGGCAGTATCCCATGGCATCAATCCCTGTTTCATAATTTGTAAAATAGGAAAGAACAAAAACATTTTTAAATCCGTTAAATTTGTATACACACATTTAGCATATGCATTTAATCGCACACAACACATTTTTATAAATTATATATCATTATATAAAAACTATCATCAGTAATATTGAAAGATATACAAACTTGTTTTATGGACGACTCAATGTCTTTCATTTTCTGCATTTCTTGAAAGTCTTGTGCTGTTTTAGGTTGCAAACTATCATTCAGTATATTAAGAAACTCCTTCACTATAATTGGCGATTCAACTGTGCTTCCTTTCACGGCTCTACAACAATCAGTTTTTTAATACATGTGTATATTTTTATATTTCATGAGATTTTGAACTTACCTGTGTGCGTACGAAGCAAACCCGCACGATTTTGCCAGTTGATGTCTAGAACTCAAAAGTTCATTTAACAGATATTCCTGCTCCTTGTCCGGGCACAAAAATAATTTGTATGCAGCTTCGCGGACAGCAGTGTTGGAAGAATCTGTATAAAATCCTTGCACTAATATCTGTCCGTTCTCCGTCATAAAACTGCGAAATGTATCCGATATCAACGAGATGCCTTTCTAAAATTTATACCTTCGAAAAGTTTTGCATAGAACAATCGAATTCAATTAAAAAAAAAAAGATCTATATATAATCTATCAAATTAATGCACTTACTACTGTCTGACAACGTCAGGTAGTGTATTGGCATTAACCATTCTTGGAGTCACGGCACCAGCCATGAATTTTTGACCCACCTATAAATCCAAGAAAAGTATATATTGAGTAAATATATTTAACACTTCTATATATGAGAACATGCATTTAAATAAAGCTCTACAATGTTTGAGTAAAAACTAAGAATATTCACTATACATTATTGTAGCATTATAACACATTTAAATTTTACTTCTTTTAATAGTTATACCTTTTTTAATATGAATACTATGTGGCAAAGTAAAAATATATATATTTACTTGCAAAATATAATCATTTAAGTTAACCACTTCTGTCCTTTGTTTCTCTGGCAAGTGTATACCACATTGCTCAAAATCAAATAAAAATAACTTAGCCACATGATCATCTATGTCTGATGTTGCTTGAATATCACCATTATTTGTTACTTGTTTTAACGAATTATATAACTCGCGATGTGTATTTAATCTGCAAAATATCACATTTACATTGATTATTACATATGTTGATATAAAATAAATTATTTTTTAATAGAAATTTAAAGACCACTACATTATTATACTATTGACATTATTATACTATATTATTATTAATTAAAATTAGAAGTGTACATATTGTACAGGTAATATACAAAAGATAGAAAAGAGCTTGTGTTACCATTAAATGTATAATACAATTTTAAGGGAAAACTTACTTCTCAACTACACCGCTGACAGTTATGCAGGCATCTTCAGCAGCACGAACATATTCTTGATCGGGATGTGCAATTCTTATAAATTCCGCCATGTCAGCTACTTTGCATAGTGTATTAGATAATTCATCAAATATTTCTACCATTTTTCTCTTCCTGTTCTTATTTGTAGCTTCCTCGATGAGAATATCCACCTGTGCTAGAGCATGACTTTTCAGTATATCAAAACCATTCTCACTCTTTAACTCAGGAATACTGAATAAACCCTTAAAAAAATATTACGTAATAAACAATAGTGGAAATACTTAAAAAATGCAAGAATACAGTATTAAAAATCTATATTATGTATGTCAATTATTAAATTATCAAATGTCAGTATTGTCAATCAACAAAATTACTTAAATATAGATTACTTTTAGTAACAAATTACCAATAATAAATGCATATATAAACCTACTGTTTCTTTCTTCGATATGTTTACCAAGTGATTTTCCTCGTTAACGGTAGAATTAAACGCCGTGGCGAGAAGTGACCACGTATTTAATTTTCTCTTATTTATGTTTCGAAAAATTTGTCTTTCGAGTAGTCGCAACATCTTTCAGAAATATAAAATTTGTATTCTGAAAGAAGATAAATGACTCGAGAGCACCATCCACGGATGTATTTACTTCAATGTGTGTATATATATATATATATATACTTTAAGTCAGTATTTAACAAATTTGCAACAAATGACAATTTGCAATACTATCCTCTCAATCTTCTGTTCTTATTTCACAACTGCAAAATACTCACAACTACTTTAGGTCAACCACCTCCGATCAGGTCGTTCCGATGACCGCATTTGATCAAATTCCAAATTCGGTCCTGTTCAATCGATAAGCGTCAATTGCGATTGGTTACTTCGATTGATCGAACAATGCGATTGATCACTTTCACGCTATTTGTCAAAGATTATCTGTCATTTCTTCGATCAATCGGCTGATTGTTTTGTTAAAACTGACCAATCACATGTGATATTTAAAGCCTATCTACATAAGATGCAGACGCGGGTCACGGGTTTCATGAAATTGACCAATCACGTTGGTAAAATTAATCAATCAACCAACGTGATATGCAGATGAACTTTGCAGTGCTCACGTGGTTGGCTCTATAATTCTACTCTTAAAAGTACAATAGATGTCACTCCGTAGTTATTACTCCACTTTTGTGGGACGCGGTCAAAGTCATGCTACAAATATTTCGAAGCATCATTCTATCTTTATTCCTTGTTAAATGTTGAATAAAGATAGATTGACGCTTCGAAACATTTGTAGTGAGACTTTGACCGCATCCGTGCTGAAACTAGCAAAAACAGATTTGTGCTAGCGAACGATGGCCTTGTAAAAAACAATTACAATAGAATAGCTGTTCGCAGACTTTTCTCTCTGTTTTTACGTAAACATGCTGCTGCATGCTACACTCTGTGTTGCACTGACATACTGTAATGACTAGACTTGTTGTTAAATATATTAACACTATCTTAAATAAAGCCGTTTATGTGTATAATATAACAATTCTGTAATTGTCATAGTGTACAATGCTAAACATGAGTAACCAATTAAAAAGATATCTGTTTTGGTTTGCGCACGAACATGTTGATTTTCGATTGGCTGTAAGTATATTTTTTTCATGAAATGTTTGACAAATATAAAATGTAAAACAATTTATTTGTATAATTTATCTTTGTTAAGTGTAAATATTTGTAATATTTTGTTTAGAAAAACTTCATATTTTATGTCACTCTTTTTGAAACAGTACAACTGATCTTATGTGTAAATTTGTTTCTTAAATAAAACAAATTTTGTATATATATAAATTTATTATGTTTCAGGAAATGGAATCTATATTTGATATGTTTAATATTAAACCCTGTATAATAATTAGACCAAAGGAACATGTAAGGAAGTATGGCAATTATTACATTTTTATATGTGAAAAAGATATATAATATAGTCTTTCTTAAATATATAGGAAAACTGATATAATAAAATACATATAGTCTTTCTTAAATATATAGGATAACTGATGAAATATATAGGAAACTGATTACACATTGCAGTACATATAATTAAATAACATATAATAAACTATAAATATATAAAAATAAAGACTTCTCAATTTTTGTTTTAGCCTTATTGGATTGTGGATTTACTTGATGAAAAAGCAGTACATCAAATCACCAGTAGAGCAATCTCATTACGCTTCTGCTTGGAGTTGTGGGCACAAGGAAAGCAAAATGAAGACTTACATAAGTCTTTGAAAGCTTATTCAATAAAAAATGCAGAAACTTTTGCTGGGGACAAAAGATCATTCAAAATTATAGTGGAAACATTTTGTAAACATTTCTCACAATGTGAGAAAGTTGATAAAATTGAGGTGAGTTTGATATTTCAGTAGTGAAGTTTACAATTTATTGTAAAAATTAAGTCTTAGACTTGATTCTCTAAAATTATATACTTTTGTAATATAAATTAAAAATATGTATACAATTTTTAAAGTTAAGTGTCATTAAGCGTTTAAAATATTTTTTAATAATGTATAATTATACATATATCGTTAATATCTTTATACAAAATGTTTTTTAGTCTTTCAATTATCTACCACTTGAAGGACCAGTGAAGTTGAAACAACCAGACATTACTCTATATTATATAGAATACTATGGTCTTAATCCCAATAACATTCCTAAGGAACCATATGAGCATTTTTTTGGGAAATGGGTGAGTAATATAAAGTGTACATCAAATCGTTACTTAAATGCTGTTGATATCGTTTTATTATAGATTGCCGGTGGTCAGCGAGAGTTAATTCAAAAGTTGTCATTAAAAACTAGAAAATTTATAGGAAATACGTCAATGGATTCTCAGTTATCACTGATAATGGCGAATCAGGCGCAGATCAGAAACGGAGATCTAGTTTATGATCCGTTTGTGGGTACAGGTTCCTTATTAGTTGCCGCGTCTCAATTTGGAGGATATACGTTCGGAACGGATATCGATTTCTTAATGCTACACGGTCGTACAAGACCTACGCGAATCTCGCAAAAGGTATCGCTGAGAATCTAAATATATCAAATTTTTTTTCTTATATAAAAAATATTTTTTATACATTTAATATTTATGTAAAATATCATTTTAATTTTTTGCACAATACGTGAAATATATAAAGATAAGGGAGAAAGATGAAAGTGTCGCGGCAAATATGCGTCAGTACGGAATGAGTTCGTATTACCTCGATGTTGTGGTGGCGGATTTTTCGTATCCGCTGTGGCGACCCGATTTACGAATAGATGCTATTGTAACGGACCGTAAGTATATTGCACAAGATGTTTTAATACAAAGTATTAAAATCAAAACATTTAAGATTTTGAAAAACTATACAATTTTTATTGCGCCTGTATAGATTTTTTTATGATAAAAACTTTCAGCACCTTACGGTATAAGGGAAGCCACGGAACGTATAGGTACGATGAAAATAAATCCTGTGATAGAAGAACATCATGTAACTTCTCACATTCCTTCAAAAATTGATTACGGTCTGAATCAGATATACAAAGATTTATTATATTTTTCCGCGACACATCTGAGACTTAATGGCAGACTGGTGTGTTGGTATCCATTATTTAGGTGCGCATATAAATGTTTATTAGTTTTATATAAAATAATATTGTGCAGTCATATACATATATTAACTAATTGATCATTAATTAACACAATAGATAAATATATTGAAATTTATTTATCTATCGCAGAGATCAGTATGCAGAAAATCAATTACCAATGCATCCTTGCTTAGAGCTTGTAGCTAATTCCGAACAAATATTAAGCAACTATACTAGTCGGAGATTGCTGACTTACAAAAAAATTAAGGAACCGGAAGTACGTGTGTAAATAATTTTATTCTTCATGATAAAAAATGGTATAGTTTTTTGCACATTTTTGTATAAGAATTGCAAGTTATGCACTTTGCAATGTTTTAGATAACAGACGAAACTGTCACCATGAATTTAACCGACTTCCGTGAAAAATATTTTGCGTTACGTGAGGAAACGAGAAAAGAAAAACGAATGAGAAAAGCCGCAGAGAGAACGAAAAATCGAGAAGAATGGGAACGTAATAACAAGGAAATCACTGAAAGATGATTGTAGAATTTTTCACATAGAAAAAATAGGAAACATAGTATACATGTTTCTTTTAATTTTATGTTCTCAACACATTGACTGCTATGCAAAATGTCTTGCGATAGTTAATCGTGCGAGAGTAACTGTTTTTTGTTTTTTTTTTGTTTTTTTCTAGATAGAAAGTGAGAAACTATTGAGCAAGCAATAGTTCTCAATATTTGTAAAAAAAAGATTATAAAGACATAAAACATAATATGTCGGCGTAAGTCGACGTTGCAGTCAACGTTATATTTAATATTATTATACATATATTGAAAAAATATATTGACGTATTAAAAATTATTGTTTTGTAGAGAAATAGGATAGTGTGGAGAAAGAGAGAAGAATATGAAAAAGTTTCTATAATTTATCCAGACTTGTGTAAAAGTTGACATGTGGTAATACAACACACAGTGTTGATAATAAAATAAATGCTATTTTTATATATATATATATATATATTTTATCAATACGAGACTTTTAGTGCACTTGTTGTGCAAATATGACTGATACTTAATATTTTAATGGCGGAACGCACAGGTTTTCTTTTATAATAGCGGATAGCGCGTTATAAAAACAAAAATACATCGCAAAAACATTTGTAGCATTTTTATTCTTTTTATTCTCACAAAAAAGAGAATCTGTTTTAGAGACATTCTGTACATACACCAGCAAGATATACGGAAAAATGTAAGCATATTCAAAAGATAATTACATACATATATATATATATACACAATATATGTATATATATATACATAGTGCAGAAAAAATGTTTAACACTTTTTTACACTGATTAATCACATAAAGTATCTAAACAAGCATTAAAGAATTACCTTTAACACAAAGTAATCTACATAATTGAAAATAGAAAACAAAATAATACTGTTTACATATATCAATTGTGATGTTCTGTTACTGTTTTATTATGCACATAATTAACAACATTTGAAGTCTTTGTGTTTACCATCCTTCGGAAAAATTGTTTTTTAATAATATACCACTTACATATGTTACACAAGTGAAAATAAATATATAAATTGCCAACAGCGGTATAACTAACAGTTCCTAAGCATCAAGTTGCAATTGTCCTAATAAAGCTTCTATATTTTTACACTTCAAGTCCGAGACTTTATTTTTGTACTGTTCCTCGATTTGTTTACTAGCCCATTCGTTCAATTTCATTACTTCCTTCTTCTTGGACCCGAGGCATTTAGGTGACGTTGCAATATTATTTGTTGTCTGGAAAACAGCATTTTTTAGATATTTTTTCATATTTACATGTGTAATGTTTTAATGCCTCACTGAAACTTACCAACAATATTCCATATAGAGCTCTAATGTTATTTGGATTTAGTTTCACAGCTTGGCAGAAGTATGCCTTTGCTAACTCCATGTTGTCAAATCCACCCTACATACAGTATAAACTTATATTAACTTATTCTTTTTTTTGTGTTTTAATATATTTCGTATAAAAATATATGAAATTTATACTATAGCAAATTATGTCTTTGCAATTGAACAATTTGTTTGCCACCTATTACTTAAATTAGTACAACTAAATAATGAGAAAATAATAATAAATCTGAAATATCCTACTTGAGAATATTTTATTTCCGCATATCTCTGGTAAATTAAATGACTGTGTGGATTATGCAGTATAAGTTCTTCCATGCAATAGGCTGCTTTGGAATATTCTTGTTCTTGTAGATACAGATCACATAGCTCATGCCATGCTTCTTGGTCACTCATAAATCTAAATATATGAGTTTGCATTGTATAAATGTAATAAAGTCATATATTACTTGTTAAAATAAAGGATACAAGTAAGGTTTTAGAAAAGCAATGTCTGTATATATCACTCCAATAAAACATATTGAAATACTATTTATCATGTCAAAGATTTCTTTCTTACTGACCTCTTCAAATATTCTGAAAGCTCCTTGATTGCTTCTGGAATGCGGCCCTGGGCTTTCAAAATAGCTACACGACGTTTTCTTGGTGCTGCATTAGTCTCATCTCTTTTTATAATTGAATCCAATACTTCTATTGCTTCATCATACCTAAAATATATATTGATCAAGTATTAAAAAAAGTATACTATATTTCTATATATCTAACAGCAAACGTAACACATTTATAAAATTACATTTCTAGTGCCTCCAAATGCATGGCATGGTATTTGTGAACACGCAAACTGCCAGGAAATGCACGTATTAAAGCCTTAATGCAATATTCAGCTATAGGTAAACGATAACAATCCAATGCAGCTACACACACTTGTTCCAGTACCAAATATTCTAAAAAATGAAAAACAAAATGTTAACAGTACTTGTAAAAATTCAATAAAATAATGTTATTTGTGATCAAAAATGTTTTGGGGAACATATATGCAAAATTAATTGAACATACTTTCACTGCCCAAACGATCAACCTTTCCCATTAAAGTATTTTCCCAAATATTTACTACATCTTGACTTCGTCGTTCAGAATCTTCTCTCCAAGTTCTTAACAAATCTCTTGCTTCTACATAGCAATTTAATATTTAAGGTTAAACAGAATAAGTCAACATTATTCTCACTAGTGATACAAAACTTACTTACCTGTCCAAGATAATTTATCATAACTCCTTGTCATTATTCGTGCTTTATGAAACAAAAGAAGTTTATTACAAACAACCGAGAGACACAGTAAAATTTAATTGTTGCCACGCGCTGCTTTGAAAGTTATACGATTTGGCATACGGCAGCGCTTATAGCACACAATGTAAACATCCTCGAGTTAAATCACAGAAAACTTTTTTGTGGCTTTGTCACAAAAACTTGCACCAACATAAAGATGATAATTCAAAAGTATTGTTATGAGGAAAGATCTTGTGATTGTACCGCGATTATTTCCACGCACACTTGATAGGACAATAATGTAAATAATAAATGTGTGAGGTGTGAGAGAAAGAGAGAGAAAAGAGAGAGGGAGAGGCGCATATATGTGCGCTTGTGATGGTTTCACTTTGTCATGGTTATAAAATTACATATTCCGTGTTGTGTCCACAGTTATGATAAAACACATGATTCTTAAAACATTTCTCTCTTCATGTTACACAATTTGCAATGTGTATGTGCATTTAGGTTTATTCATTTTAGTTGCGCATATAAATTTTTCGTATCGTAAAATTTCTTTTTATTTTTCTTTTTCTTGTGCGAGAGAAAGAGAGAGAGCTTGATTATCTTTTTACATCAAATTACACAAAAAGGATAAATTTAGTTTTTCGCGTGCAAAGATTGTTATCTTGTACGAAAATAAATGACAAAGCATCTCTCGATAATCGTCGTAAAGGCTTATCTCCATTTTAAATGGCCTCCCGATTCCTGCAATCGCTTCTATACAAAGAAACCATAACAAATACGCTGTCTCATGCCACGCCTTCGACACGATCAACTTACCTAACCTGACAATATAATTAATTGCAATTTTTATTTTTGATTTACTCTCTCATAGTTTTTCTCTTTGATATCGTTTCTTTCTTGAAATTTAGAAGATATGTATTTATTGAAAAAATTACTAACGTATACATGCACACATGAGAAAAATCATCAAGAACAAACCTTTCATTTCGGTGTTCTAAACTCCTAACCTCAACCCTAATCTTCGACCGAACCTAACCTCTTAGCAATTTCCAAGGGTTAGTGGCACCAACCCCTCGGTGAATATCGCTATGCGCTGGCGGCATTGCGCATGCAATGTTGGCGCAGTTCATTGACATGCGTGAGATCAATCTAGAAAGCGCCTCCGTGTGTGGGATAATGTCGGTACAAATGTCAAACAGGTATTTTGTAATCGTTGGAATGTATAGAGGGCTGTGGGGTGGCGGTGCCAGCAGGAGGGCGCCACATGCGTGCCCGTTGTCCCTCGGTGGCTCTTGTTGCTCTCATTCCCAGGCGGACTTGTCGTCGCCCGTTGCTGTTTTCTGTTGTGTTTTTGGGGCCGTGACCGTGCTGTCGAAAAACATGCCGTCGCGATAATCGTCGCGGTAAGGGGGCAGCCGTATGCGCGCGCGAGTGTCGTGTGTGCCTGGAAGTGATCGCAGTCGCGCGTACCGACACACGTTATTAATCATCGTGCGTCGACTGTACCGCGTGCATGCAGGTGTAATTTAATAAGCGCAGGCAGGCAAGCAAAGCAGACAAACAGGGACGGCAGGCAGGCAGGCAGGCAAGCAACCAAGCAAGAAAGCAGGCAGGCAGGCAGGGAGTCGGGCAGGCGAGCAGTTTAGAGAGGCAGGCAGGCAGGCAAGCTGGCTAGCTGGCTGGCTGGGGTGGCTGGCTGGCGATTTAACAGGATATCGATTTGTCTAGTGGCGGCGAGCCAGTGCCGCCGCCGCGCTGTTGTGTGGCCGCCGCCGCTCTGGCACATCGCACAACACACATAGCATTGCGTACGGCCGTCAAGGCATTACGGGGACAGTCATGGACGTCGATATTTTTGGGGCACAACGTTGCGCAGCTGTGCTGTGTGCGTGCGTGAGTGCGTCGTGCCCGACGGGCGACGAGATGTGACGCGAAACGGCCGCCCCGGCGACGATTATACCGATTTTTTTCATTACATAGAGAAGATCACAACCGTAACGGGCAGAGACACGTACACACACACACATAGACACAAGCCGTACACAGAGGAAAAAAATTATACGAAAAAAGCGGCGATTTGCAGTCATTCACTACGGACGAGAAACGAATGTCTGAATACGAGAGGTCCGTCCGTGGTGTTGTCTCTCTTCGACGCGCCGCACGCTCTTCTGTGTCAGTTAATTTGTTTACGCGACGCATTTAAAAAATCGACCGATCGGCCGTAGGTAACAATGGAGCTCAGCGGTGGGGGGGCACCCACCGGGGCCGTGGCCTGTCCCGTGTGTACTCTCTACCTGCGCGAAGGCATCAGTCTGCAAAAGCATCTAGACACACATCCCAAGGAACAGGTTATAGAAGCGCTCATCAAAGCCAGCGCCTCTTCGTTGCAGACACATCAACAGCAACAACAGCTGCAATCACAAAATGTACCGGTATCAGCGACAACGGGGATATCGGCGTCGTTGCAATCGCAAGCCGTGCCTCAGGCTTCTACCTCTCTTCAAACACCCCAAGTGTCGCCTCAAGTCACACAGAATGCGCACATCTCCACTCACTCACCGTATCCGATAGGACCTATCTTTGAATGTCCGCCCGTAGGCATGATGCCACCACAGTTTACCTCGTTTAACTATCAACAGTTTGTGAACAATGGGACCATGATGATACCACAGTATGCGATGGCGCCACAAGCTAATCAGATGATGCAGATGCTGTATAATCCATACGGTTTGTATCAACAGCAGCAAATACCCACCGTCCAAATGATCTCACCAGTTGCAGCTGTTCCTGGCCAGACTAGGATCCGACCAGTGGTCACCATGGCGGCAGAGAGTAATGCCAGAACCACTCTAACTGTTCATGTAAATAGTCCTGAGCCTAAGCAGATCCTGCCTGAAATTTTGCCAGAGAATGAGCCCGAGCCTGGACCAATCATACCAGATGTGAGCCTACCAGCATCACCTGTGCTGCAGAATGAGGACACGTCTGTTAGACGGGAAGAGAACGATAACAATTCACTGGAGATTGATCGTAGAGGACAACAGACACCAAGTTCTACATCATCAGGTGAAAATGCAGTACAGCGCGAATTTAATGCTATTTCTAGATCCATCACAATTACCCGATCTATAGATAATGCCGATGAGGATAAAGTGGAAAGTGTGCTGCCAGATATAGTAGATGAGGAGCAGAGTGAAATTTTGCCTGGGGATATGCAACATAATCAGAGCAACCAGAACAATCGTATTTTTGAACAATCGGAAACACAACAGGTTTTAGACAAGGAATATGTCGGTGTGTCAGAAAAGAAGGACGAAACAGCTGATGTCGACTCCATAATTTGTGAACATGAATCGGAAATGGTGAGTAACGACAGACCTGTAAGTCGCAGCAGCAGTGTCAATAGTAATATCGCGTTATCAAGAGATCCGGTAATAGAGGCACTGAAAGACTCTGCTCAACCGGAACTTAATCCTGTAGAAAGATTGGAGAGTTTGATAACTATAATGGAGACAGAGCTTAATAATGCCTCACTTCAGAAAGAAAGCGATGATGCGCAGAACAATCAGGAGGAGAGATTAACAAGTGCAAAGGAAAAACCTTTAGTAAACAGGGAAGAGAGTGTGATCCATGATACTGTTGTCACCATTCCGGGTTCTCACGAGAAAGATCACATATTGCCTGATATACAAGAGGACAACAACACATGGTGCCCGAACGATTATGTGGATGACGAATTGAGAACGTTAGAAAAAACTTGTCGTTATTTATCATACAATGAAGATTGTTCGAAAGTAGATGATCAAGTGGATGATCAGCCAAAAACGCTAGAAAAGAATGATTTGTATAAGTATAAACATAGTTTTTCAGCGCCAGCTTCTCCTGTCGCGGGAAAGAAGAGTTGCAAGACCACACGCCGTTATAGCACCAGATCGGAATTGGGATCGTGCGAAAATCTTAGCGCATGGCATCATCCTACCGGTTTTGACGACGTAACGATCGTGCGCGAAGAGGATGAGGACGATGACGAGGACGAAGATATAACGGATGATGAAGAGCGTGAAAAAATCGACGAAGACAACTTTGATGAAGCGGACATGGAGATCGAGGAGATACCCAGTCCTCATACGCCGTTTGTGAAATATGGTGAGAATGCTGAAAGTAGCGTCAGGTCGCATACGCCGTTGTCCACGATCAGCGGTATTTCTGTATTAAGAGTCAGGAAGGATCTCAGTAAACCCTGTTCGCCTACGTCCATAAATTCGTTCCATCAAATGATGGAAGATAGTGATAGCGAAAGTCACGACGAGGACAGTAATACTGTAGATAATAATGTTGTAGATAAAGCTGTAGATAAGGCGGCGAAGGATCCGATTGACTGTTCTGCGGTCGAAGAGAAAATCAAGACTGATCATCAGCAGCAAGCATCAGCTCATACTACGGTATGTCAAAATGTTGAGAAAGTTCAGGAATCGAGTAGTAGTTACATGTACCATCATCAGTCAGTAATAACTGAGCATATTAGTTCATTCCCCACGATTCATTCGCAGCAATCCGTCTTAATGCACGAGTCATTTTCCATGACGACAAGTACGAAAACGCAAAGCCTCCTAAATCTACCAGAATCGATCAATCCCACAACCAGCACCGATCCTAAAAGCTTTCACTCCACCAAATCTCTGATACAAAAACAATCAATGGAACTGCTCAACATAAATGAAGATGCTCATGCTGGACCGATGAACGTCTTCGAATTCGACGGACTACAAATATTAGTTCCTAGTACATTTATAAGTGACTCATCTCAGAAAGCAGTGAGTGCGACTAGCCAGCAATCTATGGCGAGTAGCGAGGGTGCAATAGGTGTTGATGAGGAAGTTAAAAGTATTAATATGCGTGCCGATGAAACTATGCCACCCAGAGGCGAATTGTCAGAACAAGAGAGCAACGGATGCACAGAACAATCTACGTGGCAGGTTCGTATATCATTGTATATATTTATATTTACATTATTATATTTTATCTGTAGAGAAATTTATATGTAAATTTTTTTAATTAAAATGCATAATAGAAAAATAAGAGAAATTACATTTATTGTATAACATGTTTCTGTATATGATTTCTATTGTGTAGTTATACATGGGACAAGAATCTTCACGTATGTCTACTTCTTACGACTTACTGGCGCGCGAAAGCTGGGAAGAATCGGAAGGATCCGACAATGAGATTAGCGGACCGTTGTTGGACAGCAGATCGCTAGCAACGCACTTCACTTCGAGTCTGTTTTTGGACCGGGATCGAAAGACACCGACCAAACGGACGTTCAAGTGTTCCTATTGTAACGAGGTGTTCGATTGCCCAAAAGAGCGTAGAGTCCACAGCACGACGGTGCACAAAGAAGCGATTCCCAGTAGCAGTAGAGACCAATTGGATCAACCGGAGATGAAAGATATCAAGTTGTTAGACAATCGCGTGAACATGTTCGACGATCTGTTCGTGCCAAGTCTTCACATGCAGCAGATGTATCATCAGCAGCCACTCTTGCATCAGCTTCAGCCGCCGCCGCAGCCGAACTCAGAAGTTGGCCTGACGAAGGCTGAGAGTGAGCAAAAGATCGGTGAGAATTTGGCGTTACCGTCGAATATCGAGGTGACCTGTACAATATGCAATCAACGATTCAATAGCGAGAAGTCTCTGCAGTTACATCACAGGCGCATGCACCTCGCCGAAGTGAACAAACGTATACGCGAGAACGCAAAGTGTCAGATATGCAACGAGGAATTCCCGTCGGTGTTGCTGTTTAACGCCCATCTAAAGATACACCCGTTGGAGTGTGGACAGTGCGGCAAGTATTTTTACCGCAAACAAAACTTTAAACTTCACATGAAACGCCATTTGGGCATTAAACCGTTTCCGTGCACCGTATGTGACAAAGCGTTCCTCACCAAGCAGAAATTGGAAGAACACACCAATGGTCACACCGGCAACGCGCCGGTCAAGTGTAGTCTGTGCAACGAGACCTTCCGCAGGTATTCGAATTTAACTCAGCACAAAAACCGTCATCATCTCAACATCAAGAAGAAGCTCAAGGACTATATATGTCACTGCGGCGAAGTGTTTCACACAAAGAAGAAGCTCGCTTGGCACAAAGAGACGCACGACGAGAAGCCCAAGGCGTGCACGTACTGCAACGAACGTTTTATCCACATGTCCAGCCTGACGCGTCATATGCGTCGTGCTCACAATCGTCGATTCGTGCCCGACGCTCAGCGCGAAAGTGAGAACGTCGAGTGCCCCGTTTGTAATAGCATCTACTTGCGATCGTCACTAGCGGTGCACATGCGCGTTCACAACGGCGAACGGCCGTACGAATGTCAAGTCTGCTCGAAATCGTTCAGCACCAAGTGGAATCTGCAGTTGCACAAGTGGACTCACGCCGCTCGCAGCACCAAGCCGTTTAAGTGTAATCAATGCAGCGCGGCGTTCTATCGTCACAGCGACTACACGGCGCACATGAACTCCCACCGAAATGTACGGCCGTATACATGCAACTACTGTGGCGCACAGTTCATCCGTAAGTACAACTGCCTGCGACACGTGAAGGAGCACGAAGAGAACAAAGCGTACACGTGCGATGTGTGCAACAAGACCTTCCATCGCTCGTACTATCTGAAGGAGCACTTGAGAGTGCACTCGGGCGCGCGACCGTACACATGCCATATCTGTGGCAAGTCCAGCGGCACCAAGTCTAATCATAACAAGCACGTGCGAATTCATCACGCGCGTGAGCCTGTAAATACAGAGAACTAAATAAGGACCCATTAGATCGTCCATCATGCTCATTGGACTCTTTTGTTGCCGCGGTCGGGACTAATTGACGAATGACTCGGCGCAGTCGCCCGATCGCTGTACTTACAGCGATATTATAGTGAATGTTTAGGGACTGGAACTGTGCTTTTACGTTTTTTTTTTTTAACAAGATATTGACCGGTATTCATAGTCCGATCTGGAATATAAGATTCGACCTTGAATACCGATCATCGAGACCAATGTGTAATATTTCGATGAGCTTGGTTTTCGACTATCTTGAAAACTAAACTCGCTCTAGAAATACATCACGGGCGTCGATCCTAGTTTTTAACTTGATTCAGAATTACAAGACAAGCCTTAATGATAGGGCAGGCATAACATTGCTGTTTTTTTTTTTTTTTTTTTAATTATAGTTATAATTATGCAAAATTATGAAATTTATTAATTATTATTTAGTGTCAATTTTTTAGCTTACAGCTGTCGATGTGTTTTATTGTGCTCGATGTGCAGCACATGATGTACAATGGCGTGATAATGACGTAAGATTTAAAGTCACCGACAATGAACGCTGAATCTGAAGTCTACGTTGCGCTGGTTCTACTGTTTAGTTTTATTCAATTTCTCACATAAGTATACATACTATATATATAATACGCTGCGTACATTTTTAATAATTATTAAGAATGTGTAAATTTTTTATATATTCGAAGAAGTGTCTTACGATAGCACTTAAAACATTGCCATACGTAGATTAACTCGGAGGCGTGATTATCGTTCGTTTTAATTCAAATCTAGGTAATTTTTTTCTCATTTTATCTAAAGTTTCTTTTAAAACTTTATTACGTTATTATATTATATCATTAATTCTCTTTTAATGACTTTAATCTTTATTTCCAAAAAAAGATCTTTATTTCCGTTGTTAATGCATTTTTCATGCATGTGTTAAAAATGTGATTTAGTTTGTGACTTAATTCGATGTGAGATATTTTGACCCTTAGATACCCAAAATCGGCAGTATTTGAATGCGCGAGTAAATAAAATATTTTAAGGGTTTCTTTATTTTAAACGAAATAGAAATCCAGAATATAAAAAAAGACAAAAAAATACATATAAAAATTATGTCAAAAAAATATATATACATCAAATACATTATAATTATTTGATATTTTGTTTGTCAAGTTTAATGACTTTAATAAGAAACGAACAAACAAAAAAAGAAAAAATAATAATAAAATATAAGTATGAAAGAAAACAAAAATGTGTGTACATATTGAAACTATTTTTATTTCTTTTTATTAATTTCCATCATCCATATTCCATTTTCATCATATCATATATTATAATCCGAGTTTTTTTTACATTTTCTCTGCTTTTTCGTTTTTCTATGAGTGTGATGTTACAGAGGTATCTAAGGATTAAATAAATAAATTGTTTATGTAATATCAAGTACAATCTTGAATATAGTAGGGGTTGGGATTTTATCATGTTACGTGCTGTGTTGTGAACGTTTGTGCACGACATAGATCCAGTGACTTGAGACTTCAATTATCTAAGCTAATGAAAAGTTTTTAATAAATATTAATTGTTAACAATGTATAATGTCACAAAGACTCTTGAGTAGTTCCTGCGAAGGAAAGGCTACACAGTGAAGAAACACATTTGCCAACTAAATAGTAATTATATAATTAATCTAATCAATATTTACAACTTACACAGAGGTACGCAGCACTTTTGTGTCGATAGTTGTAAAAAAAAGTTTTTTTTACGATATCTATTTTACAAGAAAAATGCATATTGCAAGTTTTCGTGCATTATTTACTCAATATAAGTCCAATATAAAATATGAGACAGCTTGTATCGATTTTATGTTCAATTTTCTACACACACACACATACACACAAGGGGGCCTATAATAATATTATGACTAGCGATTAATAATTATGGCACACATAATAATTATGGAGTTTAGTTATTCTTCTATATTTATATATTTTTTGCAATGTGTAAGACCGTATTTTATTAATTACTATAATTCTAAGACTGATCGATGTTGGTTCGCTGTGTACATATTGCTCTCTAGTATGAAAATCAAAATAGTATCAAATTCACATCATGTGCTTCTTTTGTTTTGCGAGTGTTTTGGCAATAATATTGTTATTTGAGAAAGATATAAGTCCAAACACACATCACATTCTACTTTTTACGCTCCTAAAATAAATAAGAGATTTTAAAAATTTTTTATTGGACCGAAAGTCTGCATATGAAATAACACATTTTAATCAATATACTAATTAATTTAGTATTTTTTTAAAGACACAAAATTTAGAGTTTACTTTACAACAATTCCTCCACAAAAATGCTAGAATTTTATTTGGACTTATTTTCTTCCGATATTTATTATGATGTTACCAGATACAAAAGTATGTCTGTGCAGCAAATCACACATGCCGTTTGCAAAACTAAACGAATGTAATATATGACATATATAATATACATTGTTAAGAAAATATGTATGCTTGGGAACATCAAAATTTAAGAATGGTTTAGCGTTTGTAAATTGAAAATGTGTCTAACGAGTTCAGTTTAGAAAATTTTCAACAAGCGTCTCTGTCTGACTTTATAACATAAGGGAGCAATATTGAACAGAGGATATAAAGCTGTCTGAAATGACATATAGAATTGACATACAGAATACAGATTAACGAATGTTTAGTTGACTTTATGCAAAGTTGTTGTTAAAAAAAAAAAAAAAAAAACAAACAAACTCCAACTATTAATTTTAGTAGAGGCGATCAATGAAAGAAGTGGCTTATAAAAAATACTTACAAATTTCACGAATATTTTAACATATAGGTAATTATTAATTTCGATGACAGTTTAAATTTATAATATTGTTTTTTTTTTTAATGCTAAACTCAATATGTTACATATGCTATGATGAAATCCGCTAGAAAGATATTAACCCTTTGTACTTGAAATGTTTGTCATTTGATGACAAGTATTTCAGGTGTAGCAAAAATATGCAATTATCGTTTACTTTCTATTATATTTCTAAAAAAATTAGTGAACTTAAGGCTCCTGGATATTTCTGCAGCTATATTCACGGTATGATATTAGAAGTCTTGCAACTTTACATTGAAGTAGAATATTTTTTGCATGACACCATTAGTATTCAAAAGCTTTAATTGATAAAATTTGTCGTAAAACACTTTGCAAGACAAAAATTTATAAAATTTTTCATTTCTGACGTCATACATCAATATAATTGAAGTTATATCCCAGAGAGCTTTAAGATTTACAACCTGTTAGCAATTAATATAAAAAATTGTATAAAAAAACTGTGAATTACCATTTTTGGCAAAAGATATCTAGTTAAAAAATACATATAATATATATAAATAATATAAATTATGCACTCTATATAACAATTAATAAAAACAATATTGAAAATTATGGCAAATATGAATGTGATAAAATAGAGATCTGTGTGAGATGTGAATATGTAAATTACTAAACTAAATATTGTGATCGTTTCATTGTAACAGTGTGTGGAAATGAAAGTGAAAGTAAACGTGGTTGATAATAAATGAATTCATTTTTCGTCACAAAAAATTATATTCATAATAAAATTGTATACATTAAGATGTTATAAGATAGAACAAATTTAATATTGTGTGTACAATTTTGTATGGATAAAAATTTGTAAAATGTGATGGTTTGCAGCTCTATCCATATTAAATAGAAATAGAAGACAACTGGAATATATTTGTGAAACTATAAAGTCTGCGACGTGACACTTTTCTTCGTGTTGGATTGCATGTCAGTGCCAGAATTGATCAATCATGAAATGAAAAATGAAAGAATTGTCACACAAATCGTCGCATGCAATCCAGTACGAAAAGAAATATCGTGTGCCGCGTATAGGCATACTTAAATTTAATTCTTTTTTAAACAGTATACAATATTTTTATATTGACGGATGTCTTAGTAAATATAAATATTTTACTTCTTACGGAATAATTTGATCTTGAGTTTTCTTTAAAAAAATGTCGAATTATTAATGGTTACGGATTACATAAGATAATAAAAAAATTAATTTGTTTTTAGAGTGCATAGTTTCACAGATACAGAAATGATAACTTAATTCTTAATTTGGACTAAATATTTAAAAAATTTGTAGTTTATTCACTTGAGGGGTATAAACTACCTAAACTATCTACACAAACTACAACCTCTTGTAAAATCTGTGACGAAAAATAAATTCTCTTGAAATTTTTTCGTGAGGTAAATTTAATATCAGATTTAGCAAAGAATCCCTTTAGAGTAGTATTTTTGCGATTTTGCAACACTATATGTATTATGGTGTGATTTTTGTAATATCGCAATATCTATATGCATTCAAGATCTCCATTATATATATATATATATTATATATATATGTATATTCAAGCACAAAGGGTTATAAATTAAGTTTCATCTTATATATGCGAGATAAAAATATATTAATAGTTCTCAGGTAAATTGGATTTTTATGTGTTTATCACAAATTAAATAAATCAGATAAATTTATTTCGATCTATTTATACATAAATCTTTTGCACTCATGATATTATTAAATAGCGAGATCATAAATTATATATATATATTATTTCTATTATTTTAATAAAATTGCTCGGCGCGTCTTTTCCAGTTTTTCTTTTTTCAACATGATTTACTAGGCGATGATGAAGTTTTCAGGTAGCTTGAAAGGCCCACCTGTAACCAACATCGACGTCCAAATGTGCAATTGTTTTTAGTTAAATAATTGATAATTATATGTACGTATTCATAACGAAATGGTGTAAATACTGTAAATATGTACATGAGTTCTATTTTATAATAGAGCCAATGAATCGATTCGGCAATTGAATATCATACAAAACTCGATCTACGTTGTAAGCAGATAAAGATAAGGTAACATATATTATCATTAAAAAGAAAAAAAAACAATAAATTAACATATATGTATACCTTAATAAAATTTATGTATTGAGGTACGTTTTTAAATAAGTTTATTTTTTGATATTTTTGTTTTCATGTACCAGTTCCTTAGAAAAAAACAAGCTTTTTAACGTTAAATTTAGTTTGTGTAAATAATTAAAAATATATATACATAAAGTTTATAGTTTTTCCTAACAACTATATATACATATGTAGTTAGTTTTATTATATATAAGATAAAAAATGAATGTAACTAAAAGTAACGTAAGATATTTAGATTTTTACTGAAGTTCTTGCATTTTTTTCGTCTTTCGCTTTCTCTCTCTTTCTCTCCGATACGTATTATTAGTATGAAAAATAAGTTAAAACAAATAAAAATAATGGAAAAATATTTCTTTTGAGCGGTTAAAAACAGGTTAAAAATTTTTCTTTGATGTAGAAAATTTAATAAAAAGAGTTACATATATCTTGAACATAGATTTTTATAGAATCTGTGATTTTGAACCAAAACGCTGTAAGAGTGAGAAAGGTGGACAATTGTGCGATCTTTTTTGTATTAACTTTATCTATTATATCGACTGAACATTTTTATAAATATTTTTTATTTTCTTAGTACTTATTGTTAGAAACAATTACTTTTTTGTAGTTAAGCTGCTAATCGGTATTTTCGTGCTGTAATGGAGATTAACAGCGCCTCCGTTAACTAAGTGGCAGAACAGTAAGACAGCAGTAATATCAGATAAAAAGAGAGAGACGAAGGCTGCGTTCGGGGAGCACGCTATCAGCGCTATTGCGTCATTCTGTCTTTGTTTTACATCTAATGAGCGATAAAGATAGAATGATGCAACAGCGCTGATAGTGCGCTCCCCGAACGCAACCGAAATAAGTCATGTGTAATCGCTGTCACTTGGGCTAGATTACCAGAATATACGGCAAATCGAGAAAAAATCACTTTCTCAGGCCCTTTCCGAAACGTAAGTCTTCTTAAATAGAATGTAGGAGAGAAAAATAATAAAGTAATTCAATGTAAAAGAAATTTCAATTTTTATATAAAGATATTTCATGTGTATATACAGGGTGTCCGATAATTGACGGAACATCGCTCGTAAGCAGGTAGAAGGGGTTATTCTTGTAAGTTAAAGTCTCATATCTCTTTGTAAGATTCGCAATAATTAACGAGATGTTAATTAAAAGTCCGCGAATGAGCGTCCATCCAAGTGCAAAATGACAGCTCAATGTTTTTTTTTTTTTTATATATTAATACAAGTTTTAACTGATAAATAATTTGTCCATTGTGAGTTATAATCTTCTTCGTATTTTAATAAAATCAATGCGCTTTGAAATGCAAGTATATATACATCAGGTACAGAACTGGTTCTCATGTGATTCAGCCACTTCATAATCTAAAAAAATTATAAACGATCAAGTGACGGAAGTTTCGTAATTGTCGTAATACGAGACGTATTTTAGCAATTAAAAATAAAAAAAGACATATTTTAGCAATTAAAAATAAATTTTTTGAATTGCTAAAATATAAAATTACAAATATATCTGCTACACACATATGTAGAGGATATATTAATATCATATAAATTTACAAATACCTGACGAGTTATGGACTTCCAAATTTGTCTGTCGGCAAGTATACAGATTGCCTGTGGGAACAATCGTGTTCTAACATCTCGCGAAGTAATTACCAATTCTTTCTTCGACAACAAACAATCTATGCCGGAAAAACAAATAACTGTGAGGAATAGAATATCACAGCAAAATATTATATTTTTATCTTTTTCTTGTTCCATCATAAGCGTATCGATATATCTCATAAAATCCAGAATCCAGTCTTTTTGCGACCCAAAATCGCACGATTTACCCGACCTCATATCAATCTGAACTTTTTGTATACATTTTAGCATGTGTTTTTGCATTCTGTCAACAGAAAATGTGTGTGTGTGTGTGTGAGAAATTTTATTTAATTAACTGAAAACATTAGATCCATTGTATTCGCATCAGTAATACTCACTCAATATTAGATGCAACTACATCGATAAGTTCGTTCAACAACCAAATGAGTGACGTTCCAGCATCTATCCTAAATATTAACGAGGCTCTAATGGTGATGGCATTCTTCAATTTTTCCGGCGTCGCTTCCCACCAGATGCTAGGCGATGTCATTCTTTCAATGTCTTTAACTGACAATTCCGTCACAGCTGCCACGTATTTTTCAAAACGTTCGGACGTCAAATCAGCTGTCCCCAATATTTCTTCCAACATATTGGACAACAACGTTCGATTTCCTACTTGTATCGCATCGCTCTTCAAAGCGGCGATATACGAAGACATAATACGATTGAACAAATCGATCGATTTTTCATCTTTGAGTAAATTTTCGTTAACGACGTAATTAAGAGAGGTCTTAAGAAACGCTCTCAGATCACTCGGCCGAATGGCTTGGCACAACTCGTCCAAATTCGAATAAAGTATTAAGTGTTTTTCATTCACTAACAATTGACCGACTTCTGACGTAGATGTGTACATTGACAGAATACTTTCTGTCAATAATTTTGCCGACTGCGAGATCTGAGAGTGATGGCTCGCGATAGAAAGACTATATTCCTTAGCCTCTTTCGATATATTCATAGTCTCCTTCAAAAAATCCCAGTTTATATTTGGTAACGGTTTTTTGTATTTATAAGCCAATATACGCAGACATTCTACTAATATTCTTCGATTACTTGAATCCATTTTGTCACTTCGCCTCAAGTGCTCACCGACGGCTCTTATCACACTTTTTTCCGACAGATATTTATAATTTTGAGGCTCTCCTCTGGGCCACTTGTATATTTGTGACCTATAGTTGCTCAATTCATTCTCGATGTAAACAATCAGAAGATCTCCGGCAGCTGACAAGACGTTTTTATTCACTTTTTTCAACATCTGAATCCAACAAGCGCCCGGTATATATTGCATATCCTCTGACTTAGCATTTTCAGCTATCTTCTCCGGCACTCGAGGAATCACGACGTCCGATCGAAAAACCGACGGCAAAGCGCTTAGAGGAACTCGTTCCAAGTGGTAGGACTTCAACGCTTTAAACGCCACTTCCGCAATTTTCACGTCTTCGCAAATTGTGTAGCGCCACAAATGCGTTACGATATCAACGATGAATTGTTCATAATCATCGTTGGTACGAAAAGGATATGATGGGATCTCACCAAATAGCTCACACAGACTTTCTAAAACCACTGTGCGCTTCTCCTTGCGCATTTTCGGCGCTAACACCTTCCAGGTTGAGTAGATGCCTGCCAAGTAAAATTATAATTTATACATCAAACTAAGAATGTTTATATTGTACAGAAAATTATGTAAAAAAAAACAAATAGAAAAACAATAATAACATTGAGATACTATGTAATATTCTCAATGCTAAAAACAAAGTACAACGTACCTATTACCGTAGCCCTGCACAAAGCCGCAATGCTGTTGAGTGCGAGCGCGGTAGCTGCACCGCCATTCTGATCGGAACACCGATTGAAAATTTGCGACAGCAATGGTACAAATTCTTCACTGTGCTCGGGGCGATTCTCGCAAATATATCTAATCGCCCGAACGCACGTCACGTCTGAATGCCAGTTGCAATCATTCTCCATGATATCCATCAGGGCAGCGGACAGGAAGCGAAAGCAACGCGATTCTTTCTCCAACGCTTTTACGTAGAGTTCAATCGCAAAATATTTCAATGGCTTGCCACTATTCAACAGAGTATCCAACGTGTGAATAACAATCGGCAGATTTTCCTTAAACATAGCGAATTTTGGGACAGCCAGCAGCAAAATCTTCAACGTGGAGCTGTCGTGAGATCTCGTTAATTTGTGCAACAGCAAGGATAGCACGTGCGACGCAAAAGAATTAATTTCCATTGCTATTTGCACAAGGATGTGGCAAGTTTTCTGCACGACAATAGGCTCATCGTAGTTCAGAAAAATTCCGCACAGAATTAGTTTGCACATGTATCGCACATCGATCGGTGCAAGCGACAAGTCCTCCAACCACGACAAAATGTTCTCTTCTAGTGAGTACAGATTGCAGATAAGTTCTGTATAACACTGGATATATCTATTGCTGCAGCTGAATATACGTAGGGTTTTGTTTGAATAAATATCGTCATCCTTGTTCACTTTTTTTTCTACCATTGTCCCAAGTACCAATTCTTTTGCTAATATTAGTGCATCGGAGCATAGCAATGACGGATAAGCCAACCATTTTAACAAAGCAGCTGCCAACGCGTTCAATAATATTACGTTGCACGGCATTTTGTCCACGATAATTGTACCTGTTAATTAAAAAAAATTTATATAAAAAATTGAGACTGAAACATTACGACTTAATTTGACGTATAAACGTTAAAAAAACACTCACATATCTTAATGGCATTAAATAAGTATGCCGCCGGACATATCAAGATTATTTCCGTCATCAGCACTATCGTGATATTTCCTATATAATTATCACAGTCGCCAATCAAATCTAATATGGTGCAAAAGTTTTGCACTGGTTCGTGTCCATATTCTAAAAGCTGTATCGTCAAAGACGCAATTAGAGGTATCAATGTCGTGTAATATTTTTTGTTTCCCTTCAGCAACGACAACTTTGCGAGCTCGAGCACTCGACAATTTGCGTCGACGCAAACTTCTACACGATTTGTACACAACCAGAGTAATATCTCTGTCTGCAAATCAAATGTGCGATTAGATTTGATTATTAGTTGCCACGCCTCCTGTCTAAAACTCTCGCTCAAATCCATGGAAGGATTGCACAATATGTACAGAAATACCGGTCGTAACAGCTCAGTGCTTTGTTCCATGACACTAAAAATTCAAGAAAACAGAGTAAACTTTAATGATAGAAACTGATAAAATTCTTTTTTTTTTTTACATTTACTGCATTTCTATGAATTGCATTTTGGAAAATTTTTATGAAAACTGTTTATATGTAAAAAAATACAGATACATTGCTATAGAAGCAAATATAATAATGATCTTAAGACAACGTACTCTTTGTCATGATAATGCATAATAAGATTCATTTGATTTAACACATATTTCCAGCTGCGTGTTTCGTGACTCAGAATTGTAATAAATGGATGTTGAGTAGGCGCTTCAAGTGTATATTGAACACATTCATTTGACGCTTTCCAATCCAGTATCAATAGTCGACTTATAGCCACAGTGATTGCCTGATAATTTCTGCAATTTTAATAGTGATACAAAACTAAGAGAACAAGAATACATAAGTATGTAAATACACATGTACAATACTAGTAGCAATAGTATTGTCTTATTTAATACATACATATTTGATGTGCATGTGGAAGATAAAGATGCCATAAAGGTTGATAATGCAGACTTGATATCCCACAATCCAATTTCAACGAGAACAACCAGCGCTTGACACGCAGACGTGCTGACTATAAAATCGTTGCTGCTGCATTTTGATGAAAGTAATTTAAACTCTGGTATCTATAAAATGGATAACATTAAATATACATGTAAACTTAGATATATTAACAAATATCAAAAATAAAAATTTACTTTTGAAATATCCGTTTCTTCGCCCTCCAATTGCTTCTTGATTGTTTCAATTATCTTGGATATTACCTGTTAAATAATAATTGAACAGCGATAACAAATATTTGAATATGACAGTATAACAATAACAGCCGTGCAATGTTAAGCAAGTGTGTGCTTTACATATCGCACTACTCACGTGTGATATCAGAGCAGGATTTTCTGATTTTAATTTGTAATTAATTTCGTCCATGTTTCACTTTGTATTGAGTTATCTCGTACACCTTGTATCCGCACGTGGAAAAATTGTTGTATGAAATTGTTTGCAAAATATACTTTATGTGCGAAAAGAAATACATACAGAATATACGCGCGTGAGCTCAGAAGACGGAATCACAACGTAAACGTATGCCAAAATGTGGTAAACATCAGATCTGCTTCTCTCATGCACTCCTATGTTTGGTTTGATTTTGAATTTTTAATGACTCTCGGACTTCAATAATCCGCCCATACGCCAGTCTATCTCGCATGTTTGGAATAACCAAACATAACCTCATCTCATCGGTACGTATTATACACAGCGATAATTGTGTTTACACATGTATAATAATTCATATCCCGCATGCGCAGTTGACGGCACACAAGTATGTATGTGCATACTATACGCATATATACATAGCACATTTGCTGCTATTACTACATGATAAGTTTATACACAACGATCTGTATCTTACACGTATTTAGCGGTAAACACAGCTGCGTGAGATTCATCCCTAATAACGAGACAATTTCTAATATATTTGGCGTTGATTACATCGCTAAACGGAGGTGGGATATATATAAAACAATATTCTTTTTAAATTTTAAATTTATTCTCATGCCGATAAAACATTCTACGATACTTTACATACAGAACGCAACTTCTCAGAATTCTCATCGTAGAATTTCATTAACGCGCTTCGTGAATTTCCATAATTTTTTTTAATTACCAGTTAAGGAATGCAGAAAAAAATGATAACAAAATTATAATTTTACAAACATTTTAAATATTTGTATGGTGTCATCTGAACTATGTTATATATACATATATATGCAATATAGACCTGATAAAAAAAAAATGATAGGAACAAGAAATTAATAAAAAGTTTTTTTCAGGTAAAGGAAAAAATTTTTCGCACAAGGTATTTAAAATGAAAGCAAGCGTATATTTGAGATTTTTCAATATATTTATTTGTATGGACAAGTTGGAGCATAGTGCACAATATATTTAATATAGTAGTCTGAGGAAGGGGATCAGAGTACATTCTGGAGTTTGAACACAATATCTTACAATTTAACGACAAGATGCCAGCATGTGTTTTTTTCTTCTGTACCTGTTTTCTGTACGTTATGTTTTTTTTTTTTTTTTTTATCGTATATTCATATACTCGAGATGTATAATATATAAAGCGCAACGACTCACTATTTTTATCATTCTAAAAAAAAGGAGACGAGAATAAGGGTCCTTGTTTATTATGTTATGTCTCAGTTCTCTTTCGCATCATTTACTCATCACTCGCTCTTATCTACGTCGCTCGCTCAATTCCTCTCTCTCTCTCTTTCACACGCGCACACACGTACACACGCATATTCGCATCTATTCGTTATCTTCCTCTCTCGTGATATCTCCGTCTCATTTTCTCTTTTGTTTACAATACTCGCAATCAATTATGCAATGTCCTGGCAAATATGCGTAGTGCTCGCTACAGTGTCATACTCTGAGACACGAAAGTTGCCTCCGATTGCTAATTACATTCGCTCCCTATTACACGTAGGCGAGTTGCGCGTCTCGGGAGATTTTCTTAATTCTCCCTTGGGGGCGGACAGGAGATAGAAGGAGCGCAGGGGCGAGAGCCCGTCTTATTCGAATCACGAGAATGCGACTCGGCGTCTTCCGGTAACGTGCGACTCGAGTGTTAGGTACAATAAAGCTCTCCGATTACGAGGGCTGCGTATATTCGCTGCGAGGCGGACGACCCTATCTCTTTTTTTTTTTTTTTTTTATTCACCACTCTTCCTCCTTTTCTCAATATATATATATATCTTCTAATTAGCGATTATAACGATCTATATTAAAATTCTTTTTTTTCTTTTTTTATTAAAAGCGAATACATTTTACAGCCTATACAATCTCTTTAATCAAGAATCAAACGACGCGGCGCAGCACACTCTTTCTCGCTCGCCCTCTTATTCTTCGCTTCTCTCTCTCGTGTATCTTTCTTTTTCCTTTGCACTTCCGCTTGCGGAGGCAGACGCCGGACAGGGCAGGATCCAGGTACTCAGGGCTATCTCTCTGCATGTTTTTCTTTTTTCCCGTTTGTTTTCTTATTTTGTTGGGCTTGTGAGGATCTTTGGTGCGCTCTCTCGGTCGGTTTCACCTCGCTTTTTTATTATTTTTGCTTTTTTCTTTTTTACAAAAATCACAGCGCGGCACCAGTATTTATTTCTTGTAAAGCCCACCCTTTTGTCCGCTGAACGCCTCACTAAAACTGAGGCGGATTACTTTTATTTCTTTCAACCATTCTTTTTTCTCTCTCTCTCTCTCTCTCTCTTTCTTTCTCTCTCTCACTTGATCGCTCACTCATTCTCACAGACACACATAGAGAAGCACACGCACTTTGTCGTAAATATGTGCGCGCGTCTTCATCGTAGTTTCGTTTATGCGTTTCATACGTTCGGCAAAATGCGTGTATTCGCATTCTGCCACTCTTCTATTCCGACTCGTCAATAGTTTTTGTTCTCTATTGTATGAAAAACGCATCATCGATCGTTTGTATCTGTTTTTGATTTGGCATTTGCAAACGCTGCCCGATAAAATTTCTCATCGCATCATCTTTTTTCTTTCTTTCTTTCTCTATCTCTCTCTCTCTCTTTCTCTCTCTATTTATCTACGTCACACATCTGACAATAGTAATAAAATAATATAATTAATAATCAATAACCGCTCGCGCATAATATGTATATATATATAAAATGGATGATGATAGTCATTACTGAACAATTATTATTATGTGATTTTTATACATAGATATATATATATATATGTAGTATAGATATATATGTATAAGTAATCGTATGTGTGTGTCTCTTTTGCCTTTCTATGAGTCGCTTTGTAGATTTCTCGCCCCTGCTCTCCTCTACGCCGTCCTGTCTCTTAATGTCCCTTTTCCCCTAACTTTCGCACATCACTGACTACCATTATCGTAGTAAACAAATAGCGTTCTAGCATCAAATTTACAGTCACTTAACGTCACTTAATTATTTAGAATTATCGTGTTACGTGTCGTCTCTCTTCTTGCTCTTTTTTTTTTTTCTTCTTTTGTCGTCCTTCCGACTAACTCGTGCACAACGTCTCGTAAGGAGACGTATAATTCTTTCATCAATCGCGTTATATCGACATCAGTGACGGGAGGAGGGGGAGGAAGGGGATCGACCGATACGCAATAAACATTTTCATTTTTCCTAAGAGATAAATTATCAGCGAGTTATACAATTGTTTTTTTGTCTACAAAATTCTGCTCTCGCACAAATTCTTACACAAATGTTTACTTCTTTACAATAAAATACATCGACATCGAGTTTCTCCGTACATCGCGAAAACGCACACACGCACGCATTATGCTTGTACAAGGCAGTCGACGCACACACAAAAATTCACTATTCTCATCTCATCGTATATCGTTAAATGATCGCTAATTTCTTTCATTTTTTTTGCACGCACGCACACACACGCACACACTCATTTACATGCGCACGCACGCACGCACGCACATAGTCGCTTCTAAGCTTCTACGCTCGATAAAAACTCTACTTTTTCGACACACATGCTCGAGAGTTGGAGACAGAGCCGCGCTCGCACGTGTGGGTGCACGATTAAATCTACGATCTCTGTAAGTTTGTTGTTTGTTTTTTTTTTTTATTTGCTATGCCAGCGCGGTCCTGTGAACGCGAGGACAAAACGTCGAAAACGCCATTTTCTCGCGCGATTCAGTCTAACGAGACGCTTGCGCTCCTCGCGATCGTCATCATCGCGAGTGTTCCACCTCGTCTCGGTACGGACTGGATCCTACTTGGCCTATCTTAAAACTTCGAAAAGGATACGAATCCCTCTACTTCTCAGTCAAAAAGTTACATATCAGCAGATTCTCCGCTATTTAGTCCTGTTTGGACAAGCTTTGTCTAGGACTAGACGCTAGAATGAGTCATTCGAGAGTCAAGCGTGATTTTTTTTTTTTTTTTTTTTGAGTAGCACTGAGTGAACCCGATCCACATCGGGACGAGGCGCATCGCTCGCTCGATCCCGCTCGAGGACACTCATCTCGCAAACAATCAGAGATTTCGATCTTCGAACTAAGATCGAGTTCTCCTTCATATTATATTTAATCGCTTAATCTTAAAACTAGCCAAAGACGTCTGTACACTACGCGTTTTGTGTGTGATACGTGTGTTTTTATTTAATTATACACTATGTACACGCGAAGGATATCCAGCAATCTGGCTTCGTCTGTGGTAGGCTCGCGGACTGACAATGGGGGCGTCACGACGCTCGCCACTCTAAAGCCAAAAGAGAAAACCTCGTTCTCTTGTAAAGCGAACATCGATCCGATAGTTCGAGATAGATCTCTCACCGCAGAATAGCTTGCTAACGATCGTCTCGTTGAAAAAAAATCTACGCTCAACAGATAAATACATTATCTATACAAAGAAATAGGAGGTGAGAGGAGAAGGAGAGAACATTCCTATTTGTGCGTCAGTCAGTCTCTTATTCGTTTCCTCAAAAACTCGATAATTTGAAAAATCTTTTTTTTCTCTTATTTTAACCAAATTATTTTAGTATCGTCACAGTCTTAAAACAATTCAATGAAACTAGAATGTTTTCGATTATAGAAGTAGAGAATATACAAAATATTACAGGACAACTCATATCGTCATCTTGAGGTCTCGTTAGAAAACAAACAACGCGTGAAACAATTTCACTTCCATTCAACATGGCTACATTCTCAACGTCATCTTGTTTAAACGATTTTTAATACCATTTTCAACTCTTAAGTATTAAAAGAAAAAGGAACATCTTGAGTCACGCCAGTCGTCATCGCGTCACTGTTCTAATATCTCGATTAACTCTTCCAAGATTTCAGCTTTGATCCCAGCTTTCGACAGAGCACATGAAGAACAGCTTCAGCCACTAATGCGGCTAATACCCTGGGGTCCCTACTCCATCTGTCGTCATCCTCTTTATCGGCTACACCTTGGTCTTAATCTGGTCGACAACTCGCTTCGCCCATACGCCTCCTATGGCTGCCTGCCGCCGGCGGCGGCAGTGCCGTGCGGGTGTCCCGCACCGGACGCGCCGCTTGCCGCCGCCGGATGCGTATGGTGGGCCTGTGCGGCGGAGCTGCCCCCGGCGGTTCCGCCGGGTAGAACGGGGGCGGGGGCCGCGGGTCACTTGGGCGGGAATGGCGAGATCACCGAGGCGGCTACCGCGGCGGCCTGCTGACTCGCCAGCACTGCGGCTGCAACACACAGCAGGCCATTAATTTTTCGTCACGATCAACTTCGAGAAGAGTCTACTAAACGCGCGAGAGCGAGAACGAATGCGCGCGATTTCTGTTCGTTGCTGTTCGGAAAACGGTGGCGACCCGCGGCATCCGAGATTGAAATTTGTACGAAATCCTAAGAATCGAAAGCGAGAGACCAAGATATTTCTCGGCCGCCAAGCTGAGAAAGCAAACCTTCTTCGCATTGTCATCGTTCGCATACGCAATATATTAGGCGTTGATATCCAAAAACTGATGTGCAAAGAACTGAGAGAAGAGGTTGAGAACTCGGATAGAATATCGGAACCTGATTTACTAGACGAGAGGAAACGAGATATCCAACTATCCAAATAGGAAAGCAAAGTCACACTTTTTTATGATAAATTACACGATTTAAGATATCGAAGAATTTAGGATGTAGAAGAATACAAAGAATCTATTTGATTTTTTTTCATGAATATAAATATCGCATATTGAATATAAATGTCGCCAAGAGACGATCGTCAACAAACTTCGATATCCAGAAAACGTCCATCGTCCTTGAGCTCGATCGCGATCGAAGAAAAACCCGTATAATTTTTTTCGAGATACTTAAACACCAATCTATTTCCATCACTACGGAGGAGAAATTACGAAGGATATGTGTCTGAGAGGAGTAACGGGAAAGCACGAAATGGCGTGCATCTAAAGCGCAATTTTTTCTCTTTCTATCTCGCTTGCTGTCATCAAAATGATCTAATGTCTCCGGTCTGATTTAGATCGGCGTAACATTATTGGCAACATAAGTTGGAAGCAATTTCGTTTATCGTTGTTACTGATCACAAAAAATCACAAAAAAAAAAAAAAAAAAAATCAAATAACTTGTGTTGTCAACAATATTGCGTTCGTTGTCTGAACAGCAGCTTAAATAATGCATTTTCTAGCGTGATTTGCGGACTTCTCCCGTTCACACGAGAGTCCTGGCAGTGTTGGCTCCTGTTAAGCGTACACTTGGTCAATTAAGTTCGCTGAATAGCAGTCGTTTTTTTCATGTACGAGAGTGTCGTTGAGTTAAAACAGCAAAAATAATATTTTATTTTATGAATATATTCATATATAATAATATTATATATAAATATATTATATATGAATATAGGCGATAAAAACATATTTACTAAAATATTGCAATCCAATGTTCCCGATAACTATCGCAATTTACAATAACATTAGAAACGAAATGACTTTTATTGTAACGTAAATTGCAAAAATTTTACGCACACATATATTTTCTCGCTTCATCGCCGTATAAAATTATTGCAACGAATAGAAAGTCGGCAACCAAAGGATAATTTCGTCCTTAACAAAGGACGGAAACGGTATGGATAATATTTAACCAAAGAAATTATTGGAGAGATTGTATAATGCAATAATTTGTGTTTTTTTTCCTTCAAGATTATTCTCGGAAAAATCAATACACACACATTAAACAGTGAAATAATGTCATTACAAGTTCCGAACACTCTCGTAATAAAAAGCGCGACGTTTATCCGTGACTAAAATCAAAATTGCATTAATTGCAAACTATAAAAAATCTTGCTGCAAAAGAAGCTTTCATGGAAGACTATCGGCGTCTAACGAAGGATTTTTTTTTTTTTTATGTAGCAGAGTGCATCATATCGTGCGCGGTCAGGGGAAGTAGTTCTCCTTCGACTGTCTCTTAATATCGCGCACCGTTCCTCTTCGGTTTCCGTCAGCGACTCGATATCTATATACCAACACGGTTACCTGTAATATCGACGCTCATGTATTACCATAATATTGTCACATCGACGAAAAAACTAATCCTTTCCAAAAATTTGACAACCTCGCCAATAAAACACGTTTATTGTTTTAATGAATGATCGTGATAACATTATGATAAGTACATGACCATCGACATTATCGATAAGTAACCGTGCCAGTACATATGAGTCGAATCTCGGGCTATTTGGACGGAGACCAAAGAAGAACGGCGCGCGGTACTAGAAGACGACGACCGGAGAAGAACTACCTCTCCTGATCGCGCCTGATATAGTGAATTCCACTATATATATAATATATAAGGGATACAAATTACATATCGCAAGAATACAACATTACAAATCAAAAAAGAGTTTAATCGGCAGTACTTACAGGCATCTTATACTTGAGATTGTTTTTTCTTTTTTTTTTACAATCGCATGTGTACCATGTATATCTCAATTTTTTTCTTGTTATTTTTTCACATTAACACTTTACTAAAAATCTATTAAGAGACTTTTTGTTTTTTTTTTTTTTTTACTGGCGGCGCTTATCGATCGAACGATAAAACCGAGTACTAATAAATGTAAAATAGATATTCGCCTCATTAGCGAGCGATAAGTAAAGTGTTAATAATAATACATAATACAAAAACGGATTGTACAATATAGAATTGTGTTTATATGCGCAAGGAATGACCGTAAATACTGCCCGAGTGCCGAATTGTAAATAAGACTTGGCATTATTTAATAACAGTCGGTTAAGGGTTGCGTTTTTCCTCACGTAATGCCGCAATCAATATTACATCGGCGGTTGGCATCGGTATCAAGCTTGATGAGGTCGTTATCGTCGTCGTTACTGTACACGCGAACGCCCACCACCCGGATAAGGTCGCGCAGTCTGAATCATAAAATTCTGTTATATCTTTTTTTTTTCTTTTTTTCCCCGTCCCGGAAAGAAGCACGATAAATAATTATCACAGTCTGAACTATACGTCTAATCCCTACTTGCGCCCTACTTTTGCGGTACACAGCTTACAATTATATATAGCTAATCTACGCATTTATACTCCAAATATTTCCAAAATATTCAGTCGGTCGCTACTCGTAAATATGTATATATGTATACGTACATATTAGTCTCAGGTATCGCACGTTTTTTCTCGATTACAGTTACTAAGGATGAGGAGAAATCTATGCCGTATATCACAACACATTATATTTAACAGTGAGACGAAACAAAAACAATCTTTTTGTCTTAATTTAAAAATTTATACATTTCCAACACTTTCAAGTTTTTTTTTTCAGCTTTGTCGTGGGAGGGGGGGAGAATAATTTTCAATCTAGAAGTCTGTATTGGAGAAAACACGTGCGTACACCCGCAACATCAGGTATACACGTTAAAAAAATGCAACGTTACAGCACGAGGGAGCCGCATTCTCTCACTCGTCTCTCGCGCTTGCGAAGAATGTACAAGTCGAAGAGATACATTATTTACAGCATCCATTTCGGGTCCCGACTGGAGTCCCCCACGTAGTAATAACGATTCAATCAATTTTTTTCTCTTTAATCTTTTTTTTTTCTTTGTACAAAAAAAGAAACATCGTCTCCTATTGGTCTGGTAATAAAATAGTACCTCAATGGGGACTCGACGCGCGCGGATCGTCTCTCGAACGGAGAGGGCTTTCCGGCTATACGAGTTCCTTGTTGCAAGATCAGGATTCGCGTTTTATTTTCTCTTTTCTTTCATCTTTGATGCACCAATATGGTGTACGGTTTTAAATACACTCAGGCTCTAAATAATATCTGGCCGAGTTTACCCGTTTTTGTCGAACGACAGCGTCGTCTGAATTCGTCTCGAAATCAAAAAATACCTGTTCATCATTTACAAAATCGGTTCGTGCTATTCAATTTGACATTGAATAGAGAACACATCAGTCGAACGAACGTATATGTTTAAAAAACGCCGTTGCAAGTCGTATTGCATTGCTCACTTAAAAAAAAAAAAAAAAAAAAAAGAGGCCAGTTATTAATTTCGTTCGATTAAAAAGATCCACGCCCAATAAACGCTTACGTATATCGAACTACGGTCATAACTTGCAGCACTTAAGTCGATCCCTAACATATACATTTGAATCTTAAACGCCATTATTCTAAAACCTTCGTCGTCAGACACACAATAACTTCCATCGTTTGAGAAACGCACGATAATTTTAAAGGACAGTCGCGAAAACGATGTTTCTCTTAACACGCTCGCGTTATCGTCGTTATCATCAATTCCCAGAGTTTAAGTAATCAATGACACAACGAAAACGCATTTGTCCTAACGCGTACTCGCATGCGTTTCACTCTTCCTCACTTCAGCAGTTTCCTTTCTCACTCTCGTCTCTTACGTTTTCTTTGCAATATTTTTGCGATGTTCTTTTACAATATTCAAATGACACAACGATCTCTCTTCCACGTTCTCTCTCTCAACTCTACTCGTCTCTCTTTTCCTTTCTAGAAAAAAAAAAAAAAATTAAAAAAAAGATAAAAAGGAAACGAAGCATTTCTTTCTTTCCGGTTTTCGCTTTGCTGGATCCCGCGGGTCGCCTTACTGTCAGGGTCTGACGAGAGGCTTACCTCCGTAAGGGGCGGGGTATTGTCCCGGCAAAAGGGGATAACCCACACCTAGTCCGACACCCACGTGGGTGTGATGATGTGTATGTACATGCCGCTGCGGCGGTGGCGATCTGTTGTCCTTGCCGAGGTTACCACCGCTGGCGTCCACTGCAGTTTGCTGCTGCTGCTGTTGCTGACTACCCGGCTGACCTTGTTGTTTACTAGACTGTTGTTGGGCCTGACCCGGTGGCGGACCCGGTCCTGCAACTGATGTAGGTGGACCGCTCGGAGGTCGGGCGGGAGTCGGACCTGCCGAGGACGGGCTTGCAGACGCCGCTGATGTTTTAGGTGTCGGCGACTTAAGCGCGCGTTCCTGCAACTCGTGGATCTTGTGCGCCGAATAATACTGATTAGCGTGATGCTGGAGCAGGTCCAACGCTTTGCCAGGCGGTCGACTGAGATCTTCCGGTGCGTGATACCTGGGCAATTGATGGAGATAGGGGTTACTCGAGTATGGTCCTACCAACATAGGACTGAGACCGCGATACATTGGATGACCCGGGTCGAACGGCAGCGCGCTATAGTGCTGCGGCTGCATGTAACTGGGGTGTATGTAAGCGTATTGCGAGGTAGGCGGCGGTGGCGGTCCCTGGGTCTCCATCGTCGGTTTCACGCCCTCTTGTTTGCTCTTGGAATCCTCACTCTTGCCAAGATCCTGTGGTTTTTCCTGTTTCGGCTGGTGCTTCGGACTCGGCGGTGGCGCCTTCGCCTGCTGGCTCTGCTTACTCGACTCTTCTTTTCTTCTTTGCTCGCCCGGATACAGGTAATACCTCCTGTCGTCTTGAACGGGTCCAGGCGGTGGTGGTGGCGGTGCCGCGCGCTGACTCTGCGAGCTGTGGTAAACATGGTATGGACTCATCTGACTCTTCATCTCAATACTTTCTTTGAGTATCTGATGGTTCTCATGCTGTTTATCCTTCAAACTCGGCTGTGGCTGCGGCTCCTGCTTGATCTTGGACTTTTGCTCATGCGGCTCTTGCTCCTGCGATTGCTGACTTTGTTGTTGTTGCTGCTGTTGTTGCGTTACCGGCTGCGGAGGCTGGTAGGGATAGCCCGGCGGCATGTAACCGCCATAACCGCCATAATAATGTGGCTGTTGCTGTGGCTGAGGCACTGGCTGACTCAGCTCTTTTTTTTCCTTCTCTGACACGACACTCTGCAAACTCGCCATCGAAGGCATCTGCGGTATGTTGAGCGGTTTGATGTCTTGCTTGGGCGTGAGGTCGCTCGGCTTTGATTCCACCACCGGTTTGCTCTCTGGTACGCTGGGCACAAGATAAGGCGGTGTGCCATAATACGAATACATACCGAAGTGCGTGGGCAGATGCGCGGGCGCGGTGGTCTTGTTGTCTTTGTTGTCTTGACTTTGCTTGATCTTGTCCGCCGGTTCGGCCTCGAGCACCGGTGCCGTGTCATCCGATATATCGGAGTAGGCCGGACTTTGCACGTCGTCACGCGCCGAGTCGACGATCGGCGCTTCCATTGGAGACGGATGCGGACTGCCGCCAGGTGACTTCCGCGATTTCTTCTTGTATCCCTGCGGTTTTGGAGTGCGCGTATCCGCGCTTGTTTTGTTTTTGTCCTGCTCCGGCATGAGCGCCGCCGTAGGCTTGACCTTGAACTGCGGCATCTTTGCAGCAGCGGCGTGCAAAGACACGGCGCTCGGATATTGTTGTAAATGCGACTGCACGCCCTGACCCGGATGACCCGGTGGCGGAGGTGCCGTTTGCAGAGCCGCTGCCGCTTGTTGCGACACCTGACTGGTGAGACTTTGCAGACCTGGATGCTGGCTGGTTAGGCTCTGCAAACTGGTCTGTTGCTGCTGCTGCAAACTGGACGGCTGCACATGAGCCTGCGCAGGCTGACCCAGTTGAGCCGACAAGGGATGCTGTACCGACTGCAGCTGATGTGCCGGCGGTAATTGTTGTTGAACAGATGACTGCAACTGCTGCTGTTGCTGCTGACTACCGACACTAGACTGTAGTTGTGATTGCGTCGGCTGGCCAACTTGTTGCAACGATTGTTGCGCCTGTTGCAAAAGCGGATTTTGCGTTTGATGCGACTGCTGCACCTGTGACGGCTGCGGCGGTTGTGGTATGTTGAGGGGTTGGGGAATATTCGTGCTCGGATGAGGCGAAGGCACGGGTCTTGGTGATTGACTCGGATGGGGACTTGGACTCTGGGGAGGATTCGATTGACCTAACGATGATTGATTCTGTTGTTGTGACTGCGGTTGCTGCTGTTGCTGCTGCTGTATAGACTGCGGCTGCCTAGACGAAGGCGCTGCAGAAGCAGGTGGTGCCGGCAGGTCATCTTGACCAAACCTCAACACACCCGGTTTCACGATACTCTTGTCCACGTGAACAGGCGTGGGTGGTTCTATACTAGGTGATGGTACACGTGGTGGAGGCGGTGGGGGTGGCGTTTCTGGTGGCAATCCCGCCGCTGGTGGACTCGCCGCTCTTACCGGTGTGCCCTCCGGTTTGTCTGCAGGCGATTTTACCGGCGTGGCCGGACTCGGCGCTTCGATGTTGCTTTCGTCGTTCTCCGACATGCTGGTGATACCCTCCTTTGTGTCCTCGTCATCGGCAGATCCGTGCGCGTGACTCTGATGATACTTGAGCCCGTTGATGTGTTTGTACTTCTTGCTACAATTCGGTTCGGGGCACTCAAGCAAAACAGGACTGGCAGGAGGCGAACCACTGGGAGGCGTGGGCGGTGGCGCTCGTTGTCGCTTGTTCTTCTCTTGCTCCTCTTCCGGACCGCGCGACTTCCGTTTGCCCGCCGGGTCTGGCCGAGGTGGCACAAATGCTGCCGAACTCGGACTGGCTGCAGGCGAACCTTGCGCACCCCGACGACCCTTGCCACCGTTACGCAGTTTGCTGTGCACGGAACTTCTCGTCTCCGTAAAGTTGCTCAGATCGCTGCCGGGCGTAGAACTCGCTGCTGCACGACCTCGCTTCCCACGGCCCTTTGGTGTTCGCGCGTCAAGATCACTGGTAGGAGAATCGCAAAAGCGAGGTGGAGCCCAATCGTGTAACGTGCAATCCAACAAGGTACCAACGTATGTCTTGCCTCTCCAAGTAATATTTACGACTAAGACACCTGTAATGGAAATAAGAAATATATTAGTGAAAGTCAGTAATGGAAAATACTTGTCGAGTTTTGTCAATGTTTCTTATATCGTTCACTTTTTGGAACTATCTTCGAGTTTTTGTATAAAATTGATTGAACAACACGAATTAAACCTATCAATTAAACATTTTAACTCGTACTCGTTGCGTGACAACGTGATGTTATGTTCACTGATGGAGATAATTGCTGTGCAATTTTTACCGATGATTACCACACGCGGAGTGATTTGAAGAAATATATAAACAAGAAAACAGAGAAACCAACGAAATCTCATAGCGGAACAAAGAAACGCATCTGTGCATCGTTTCGCTGACGAGACAGTAACGCGTAAAGCCGCGCGGTGAAAGAAAAACCGGTCCTAAAATATAGCGGTTCTAACCCTCGGGGAACCCCTCGAGCAGTTTCATCACGTAATAAGTCTCGTGGCAAACCTGACGAGCCAAATCGCGTTTCTTTTTCTCTATCTCTCTCACGTTTCTCCTCGGTTCTTGCGCGATCAGCGCTGCTAATTGAAAATATCTCGGTCCGCGCGTACGCCGCAAGAAAACGCGGCGTTTCGCAGGTGATCTCGACGATGATGCTGCAGGTGCTTCTCTCTTGGTCGCGTTGCTGAACTCCCGTGTTCTCGGCGTCGAGTGCGCGGTTAAATTGCTTTCGCGTTCGCGTAATGGCGAGAGTCGACTCGACATAAATCGAATCGTCTCTGCGGGATACCGGACTGGATTTAAATGTCAAAACATCCGCGGCAAAATGCAGGTTGCACGTGAAGTAAGTAGTAGTGTTGTGCGAAAAAGAAGAAATTCCGCGCAAATATATTTCTTGGAACGAACTTTAAAACGTTTTTCGTGTTCGATATAATTAAGAAGCATTTATCTAATATAAGAAAGAAGAATTTAAAAAGAGCAATTATTATTTTCTTTTACAAATGAATGGTAAACTAAAATAGTCTCTAAAATAGTCAACAAGCTGAAAACATATAATTTAAAATAAAGTCTCGTTCGAAAATAAAAACTGTTTTTACCGTCAACGATTTGAGAGATTTTCCGGTGTTTTGTCACTTAAATTACCTCTTGTCTCAAAAAGTATATATTGTCTTTCACAGGGAGTACGTTTATAAAAATAGAGATAGTCCCATTTCTCGAATGAAAATGTTGAAGATTGTCATTCGAAACGAGCTCGTCGTTTACATCTCTGAGTTATCATCGAGTGGACGAGATGTGAATCGGGGATTCGAAATAAAGGAGCGGTCCGATTCAAGAAGAGAATAAAAGCGGACACACAAAAAAGACAATAAAAACAGCGGAAGTTCCAAGGCGACCAAGTTCCTAAAAGCCACATGACATCATGTTTCTCTCTATCTGTCAGACGCATCTCTCTCTTTCTCTCTCTTTCCTCGTCTCGAGAAGTGAAACGAGATATCTCGTTGTTCCTTTTTTCACCCCGCGGCGCGATTCTCTCATCCTCTCAATCCCTTTTTCTCACTCTCTCTTTCTCACCACGCGGTGGAAACCTCGAGGCATCTCGGTTGATTGAGTCGTCCCCTCGCGCGCGTCGACGTCATTCCCATTTACCGCGAAAGATAAACGTATGGGCGAGCACCGAGGGATGATGATAAATCCACGCATCTCACCCTCGTCGTGCGCCTTTTCATACCGTTCGTTTCCGAGTCTCGTTTCCTCTCTCGTTCCTGCGCTACTTCTTTTTTTTTTTTTTTTTTTTTTACATGAACCCCGACCAACGAACGAGTACAGAGTAAGTGACTAATTAGTCGCTAATAACTCAGAGAGACGTTGGACACACGGCTTCACGTCGATAAACGTTTCCCTTTGAACGAGAAGAAACTAAAAAGCTAAAAGAGCGAGAGAGAAAGAGAGAGAGAAAGAGCAAAGCAATTTTTACTCGCGCGCGAATATTGCATACAATTCATTTTACTGAAAAGTATAAGAGGATACAACGTTCTTGCAGCAAAGGACAATATTTTTACGAAGTATTTTCTCTTGAATTTGCAAAACATCACATTTTATATTCGTTGTTGCGTTCTTTTGAAATTAAATAAAAACACAAATAATCTGACAATCTCGCGGTTGCCGTGGCAGCTGGCCGCGAAGTCAAATCCAGTATTATTCGTCGTTCGCATTATAAGAAATATAGAGAACTGTGTGGCGGGGCTGCTCCGCCTCGGGTTTCCTCTTCGTGAGGCGGACGGACGATAAAAGAGCCGTTTTCCGAAGAGCGGGAGATTTGCGGTCACGGTCGAAAGAAACCAAGGGCCTTGCCGGACGAGGAAGAAAAGCTTCGTCGTAAAGTTACGAGCTGATAGTTCTTGGCGGATACTCTCGTGCAATGTCTCTCTTGGCTCTACGTCGTCATAACAGCTGTCGCGCGAAATCATCGTTCGTTGCCACACTCACCCTTCGTGCGACAACACGATCGCGATCGAGAACACCACTTCTTCTATACCGAGGGATGGCTTTCGGGACGAGTTTCTCCTCGGACTAAAAGCTCGTCACGGAAATCTCTCGTGAGACTCAAAGATGTTTTGTTGTTTATTTGACATGTCGAAGAAAACATCATGTTTCAAAAGTGTATATACTACGTTCAGTGTCTATCATGACTTTATGATAAGAAAGAAGCAATTCTGTAACGATATACACCTCCTGATCTACGAGATAATGTTCTGTGAAATATGTCACTTTTTTAACAAATATAAATTTTCATCAACATGAACGATTATCTTAATTTAACAAAAACATTTTTTTGCAAAAAAAAAAGAATAATTATATTTAAATTTTTATTTCTGTGTTAGAATTTTTTTCAAATGATATTAGAAATAATTCCGACTTGTGCGGTTAATAATTCTTGCGGGATGCGGTCGGAGAGAGATGATATTCCCGACGATATCGCGCTCGATAAATTCCACAGAGCGGAGCGATGCAGCTGCCAGGCGAAACGTGAAATCACAGAGCAGCGTTATTTGTCCTCCACCGAATGGCGGTCGCCCGTGGCGTCCAGAGACAACATCGACCAAGATCAGTCTGGAAATAAGTGGATTTCCTTTCGACTTGAGAGCTCGCAGTCGCGACGAAGAAGGTCTTTCAGAAACGAGCTGTATTCAAGAGTCTAGAAACCATATTTTTTTTTTCTCCCCGGTGCGTTATTTCACGTTCAGTTTGTTAAGAAAATTCCATGCAATTTACTGATTCTACCGCGATATCAAAAAAAAATAAAAATAAAAATAAAATCTAATAAATCATTATGCTTCAATTTTGTTTGTTTTATGTTTCGACACGCCCATCTTTTCTTTGCTATTTATTTCGTCGCATTTTAATGGACTGTTTTAAGAGATTTAAAAAATGTAAAAAATTAATTTTTTGTACAGAAAAAGTAAACTAAGAATTCAGTTGCAAATCCATTTCTAGTAATGCTTTCCAATCGAATTTCTCGGTAAAACCGGTAGGAAGCGACACTCACTGGAGACAAGAAGAGCAGGCTAGAAAGAGAACGAGGAGAAGGAGGCACAAGAAGGAGCATGAGCAGGATTCCATCGAGGTGGAGCGAGAGATGTTTCGAAGATCGATAACAAGCTGTAGAGAGAGAGAGAGAGAGATTCCTCTCTGCCTGTTTGCCTCTCGTTCTTCCTTTCCCGTCTCTTCCTCCTTTGCCCCGTCACGTCTCCGATAAGCATCCTTTCATCAACGTCTCTGTGATCCGACTAAACTACTCTGACATCGACAAAACCAGGTCCGATGGGAGATAGACGCCTTTACGATACACACCTCGCTCACGGGAATACGCGCGCGATTGTGTTGGTGGCCGTTCGTGTAGCTTTCACAATCTCGCGTAATGCTCCTTGGTACAAGATGTTTCAGATCGTGTTCATGATACCATAAAGATCAGAGTCTTAAACACACGGTTTCAAATTTCTCGACAAAGTGACTTTTCTGCTCTTTACCTCTCTCTCTCTCTCTCTCTCCGTCTGATCAAGCGAATGAAAATAAAATACAAATTTAATTTCGCAAAAATTATGTAATTTTTTTATGCATCTTTGTGCGCGCGCGCGCGCGCGCACATTAATTATACATGATATTAATTATAAGCACATTAGTTTAAGAGGATAACGTACTTTACTTCCATCGCACATTTTATTTTATATTTTACAAACAGATAAAATTTTGACATCGACACCTCGAGAAGCAGAAGCTTGAATATTTGACTTGCGATACGTGGCGAACGGGGTACGTATCTGTATAATCCGAGCGCGCCATATGTAACCGAGGCGCGTGTTATTGCGATACGGGTTATCGGCGGTTTAAGTACTTCTGTCGGCCGATTCAGCCGGTCATTAGTTACACGCGCACGCACGCATAATTACACACTCGCGCGTATGACATTTATTGCCGGAGATTAACCTGTTAGCTTCGTGGAATTATTAATGCGCCGCGTTTATAAAGCGAAGAGATGCAAATCGGGACCGATTGCGAGCGACGCGAGAAGTTGTCGTCACCACCGCCGCCGCCGCCGCCGCCGCCAACATCGCCGCGCGCGTGCAAGATACCACTCGTTCTCTCCGTCGTCGTTCGAAACCGCGTTTGCTTATCCACGCGTATCGAATACCTTACGTAATTGACGTTGCTCGCGTGCAAGCTAAAGAAATTGCTCTTCCCCTCCCTCTTCTACCTTGTCTCTTAATCGCCCGCTTCCCGGGAAAATTTCTCCTCGGGCGGAGGTAGTAGCTTAACGTGTCTATTATAAGAAGCAGATTGACGACGTGTCTCGTTAAGCGGAGTAATGCAGGTTCAAGATAACGACTCTCCTCCCGGCTGAAGAGAAAAAGATACTAATCGCAAAGAGACAAAATGTTAATTCTTCGGTAATTCCGAATGCGTGCTCAATTGCAAGTAGAACTTTGAGCTTTTCAATTTTTACCACATCTCGTCATTCAAAGATTGTTTTTTTTCTCAGGAAATCGTATTTTTGTGTTATTCGCATTATGTTGTCTTTTACGAAGATTTTCTTGTTGCGATATAATTAAAAACGTTACTAAAAAATGTAATGATAAGATCGCGACGACGCGGACGCGCGAGAAGTCGCGGAAGAAGCGGAAGCGGGAGAGCAGATGAATTTTTGCTATAAAGTAAGGCGGCGCGAAGAGGCAGCAGCCGCGAAACCAGAACAGACGTGCCCGAGATTCCGCCGCAGTTTTATTTCTCTCGTCGACATAACACAGTACTACTCTCTCTTTCTTGTCTTTTTCTTACGTCTCTCGCCGGGAAGAGAAGAATCAAAGAGATCGGTGAGGAAAGGAGTAACGAGGAGATGAAAATGAAGTGAAAGAGGACGAAGCTAGCCGAGCAGAACGAAAAAGACAGAGAACGCGAGTGTTGAAAGAGAGAAAGAGGAAGTGCGAAGGGCGAGGGAAGAGTTATTGGGAATGAGAGAAGAAGAAGAAGAAGAAGAAGAAGAGACGCGCGAAGAAGGAGCAACATAGCAGCAGGATATCAGAGGCAAACGCGACGAAAGTAATAAAACTCGTACGGATGGCAACCTCGGACAGATTGGTCGGCCATTTAATTGGGAATTCGACGAATTTATAGACTTCTTAATCTGCTATTATAGACGGCCATTAGGAACTCCCTTCTGTGCGTTTAGCTTCGTCTCTCGTATCGAGTTTGTTCTCCCCATATAGAACAAAGCATGAAAAACAGTATCACAGACGCGTTTAAAATATCGATAACGTGTTGAATGAAGCAATTTTGATTTTATTGATTTTATTATTTAATTTTGTTTTGTAAAAATATAACTTTTCTTTATTGTTAGGAAAATCTTTACACAACAACACAGACAAATAGAGAAAGAGCGAGAGAGAGAGAGAGAGAGAGAGAGAGAGTGTGTGTGTGTGTGTGTGTGTGTGTGTGTGAGAACACGTGTTTCTGTTTGCGGAAAACTTTGGCAACTCATTTCTCAGTTTTGACATGGAAGCTTTTGGTTCCTTTCAAGTGATGGTCGTTCATTTATCCTTGCTTCGCGAGGGAATCCAGCGGTGAAGAAACAGCTACTCGCTTCGTCTTGCGAGGGAACGACGGTAAAGTAGACCTTTGGTTGCAATGAAGGAGAGAAGAGAACCGCAGAGAGTAATGGACAGAGGAAAAACGACTCCGAACAGAGAGAGAGAGAGAGAAAGAGAGACGGAAAAAGGTGAGTGGAAGAGAGCAGCCGGGGAGTCACGATGTAGTTTTAACCCGACGACAACCACGACTGCGGCATTACATATAATACCTGTCTGACAAGCTACCTTACTCGTGTTGTGTCAGGCTGTGAGCCAGGTGTAAGTGCAAGTGTGTATATACACGTATGTATGAACGAAAAGCTCGCTTTAGTGTGCGTGCGCCAAGCTCGCCGCTCGACATGCACGAGGTATACAGCGCGATTGTGTGCGCGTCGTATGTGAATTCGCTCTGCTACAGAATTCAAAGTATAATGAATGTAATTTTTCCTATTTATAAACCTTACAACGTATCATTTATGTTTCATTTCATTTGATTCTATTTCTCTCTCGCTCTCTCTATCTATCTATCTCTTTTGCAATATTTGACGCACATGCTTTGAAAAAAGAAAAAATAAATTCGAAGGTAACTTCAGAAAAATGCGAATGTTCGTCATGTGAAGTAGGAGTGATAATTTCGAAGCTGTCCTGTACGTTCAAACATGAACTGTGTAGAATTCACATTTGTATTCATGAGCACGTATTATGCGCGGCCGTCACGTTTTGTCACGAATGTCAACGAAGCATCGAGCGAGCGAGCGAGCGAGCGAGCGCGAATAGGTATATACGTCGCGTGTGTTCGTGCTGACGTGCGGCTTTCTTTGTAATTTCCGCAGATCGCCGTATTACAACGGAATCGTTGTCGAAGCATGCGACGATAAGAGTTCGGGGAGTTTCCCCTCGAGGGAGAGACTGTCTATTAGCAAAATTGGAATTAATTATGCTCGTCCGCGGTGGAATTAATTATTTGCCGCGGCGTACCCCCGGCAAGGTTTGTTATTTTAATTTCGCTCCGCATCGATTTTATCTCGCGTGCGAGTCAAGAGCGCGCATTATATTTATTATATTGTATCGCGTATTAAAGACGTACGGAGTGAGAAACAAAAAAGCAGTTGAGAATTTTCAGACGATATAACAGTCGTTGAGCGATAAAAATACAAGGAAAAAGGAAATTGCGAGCAACGCAACACGACCGCGAAATCTCTTATGTATGCGGCAAAAAAAAAAAGAAAAAAAAAAAAACAATGGAAAATTAAAACAATTGCTAAGTCATAACTATTCGATGTCATGACGTGTGATTATTTTTACTTCGCACCTTCGTCGTTAACTTGCTCAGAATTGATTAAAAGCGTTTTTCCTTATTCTTCAAAAAAAGAGTCAAATCAAAGAATAAAGTGAATAAGCTTGCAGAAATTGCATCGATTAAAGCTGTTCGCAACGCGCACTGAAGACTCTTAAATATTTAAATAGTTTCTTTAGTATCTCTGTTCTCTACGCGCAGAGCAACTAGTTACGCGTCTCGCTTAAGTTGTTCGAAATCAGCTATTCAGCATATATAGAGACGCGTACAAGTCGTGAAACAACGTCGCGTAACAACTGGTATAAGCTTTACGGAACATATGCCACGAGCAAACACATACAAGAGAGCTTAAGCCCGTATAAATTAATCTGCATTACACATAGAGCAAACGCGATCGTTATCGAGTTACCGCTATTTTAACCGTCAAAATGGTCTTAAGCTCACAAATAATTCAATTACGTAGCTGATCGCGCTTATTCTAATTACACTGATAACCGCGGCTAACATACATCGATAATGAGAACAATCGACGGCGCAACGACGATGCGATAAACTAAATCCAGCAGTTCTGCGACGACCAGTCTCTCGTAAAAGTGTATTCTCTTTCTCTTTCTCTCTCTCTCTCTCTCTCTCTCTCTCTCTCTCTCTCTCTCTCTCTCTCTCTTTAAATATACTTATTCTTTTGCAAAAAAAAGCGGAATAAAGTGTGCAACAATAATAAATAAAAATAAATAAAAGCTACTACATTATATCATTACGATTGTGCAGCCGACTAAAAAGCGATTCCGTAACGTAATAATAAAGTCGCGCTTTTATTTATCTGACTTTTCCACTCGGCGGAGTATCGGGCGGATATTTATAACCCCGAATCGCTTGAGCAGCAGCAAGATCGATCGAGTGCTATTCCTATTACACTCGTGCTCACCGAATGTTTACTCGGGACAAACGATTGATTGATCATCGCGGTGCTAGTTATTTTCAGTAGACGATGCGACTTTTTTACTCGACCGATGTTGCAACGTGACAACCGCAATTATTTATTTTTCAGTGCGGTTAACCAATAATTAAAACAACACGCTTAATACAGAATTGAGAGAGAGAAAGAGAGAGAGAGAGAGAAAAAAACATGTTTGGTAAAATCCGTCGCACAATTTAACTATCACAAAAACTTGAAGCAATAAATCTACGATTTCAAAAAGAAAAATATGTATTGATTAAAGTTCGCTTGAGAAGTTGGTTGACGAAAAAAAATTTGTACTTTTATTCCCGATCGTGTCAAAAAAAAAAAAAAAGTTGTTCCATTAGTAATCTGTCCATCTTGTGAGTCTTCGTCGCGAAAATGTCGACTCGTCTGGAATTCATTAATTATTATACATCACGTTATTTGTGTTATTTACATTAAACAATTTATTATACATTATTTATACTTCGTTACGGAGTTCTTCGTTTAGCCGTTTGTCATGCTTTTCTACGACAGATGTCACACGCATGTACATTTGTATCTCACTGTGATTCAGGACGTATGAAAATCACACAGGAACAGCTAATGTAAGTAGAAAGTATTGACAAAGAAAAAAAAACATGTATTTCACACGTATATAATCGAGGAAAAATAATACTTCTTTTCTCTTCTAAAAAGCTGTGCAAATTGTATCGTTTATCGTTTGTCGTTTTATCGCAACATCACGGAAATAATCGCAATGCAAGCAAAACTCGCTTTTCCGTAGTGTTTTTTCGTTTAAACGCGCATTAAAGGTAAACATTAGCCTATAGCGACACTTAGCATTATCTACTATCTCGGAAAAAAAAAAAAAAATACATTGCACACAAAGTGGCCAGCGAAAGCGGTTGCATCAATCGATAAAAAATGCGCTTATACAGTGTATCTCTCTGCAATTTTGTCGCAATAACAACGCCGGCTCTATGTGTGCGTTGTCATTAGTTGTATTACTGTTATTCAGCGGATTGCAAAAATTCAATAAATCAATAAAGCGCGGCGCGCGACCTTGTATACTCTCGAAAAAAGAACTTGCTGCTAAACAAAAACGAACAGAAAAGCAAAGAACTTGGCTGAATCATTAACAGCTTTTAAAATTCGCATTTTCCTTCGCATTCATTTCACTGACATTTAACAGGTCCTTCACTTTTTAAGCCTGTTAAAAACGGACGTATCGTTAATTCAATATCCATGAGAGAGTTTGAGGATGTATATCTCAAGTATACATTTCCTTATCGGTCAAATGGTAAAAAATAGGTTTGAACTACCGCTCGATAATTGGCACATCAAGAGAGTCACAAGAAATCTTTCATAATAAATAATATAAGTGACCAATTTAATGAAAAACAAATATCCTCCGATTCAGATCGCGCATTGTCTGCGTTAATAATCGACTAATTCGGGTACGAATATGCAATTACCACCGTATAGTTCAATAAGTTTTGCTAAGACATTTAATGAGCTTTCGATTGACAAGCGCTCTTTAGCGAGCCGTTTGTTTTTAAGACAGCCGATCGATTGAGAGGATAGTTGCAAACTTTACACGTCATCATAGTCCTTATATTACCTCCTTCCGTCTCGTGCCACACAATGCCTTCGAGAGTGACGGAGGTGCCGGGCTCGCAGGGTCCCAAACATTCTGGCTCCGTAATAGTCCCTACGCTGGTCCCAGTACACGCGTCTGCCAAATCCTATAACACAAAGTTCATCGATGAGCGAAGACCGAGACGCGATCGATACGCGATGCTCGAAAATGGGGTACAAAATGAGCGATATTAAATTACACACACACACACGCGCGCACGCACACGCACATACACATCGAGCACGACTATATGTAAAATACCGGTGAATATACGCCGCATTGAAGAGCAGCTGTAAGTCGATTAGATTTCAAAGTAATTAGCGAGAGATGTTTGCCAAAATGTTAATGTGCTCCGTCGGTTGTGGTAATTTTCGCGGCTCGATGCAAGCGAATTTTCATTCTGGCAAACAAATTTTCATTTTGGAAAACAACATTGGCGCGCGGCTGGCGCTTTGAGGGCAATTAGCGGTACGCCCCGCATAATTAACGCGCTAATTAGCGAAGCAATTTCACGTAATACACGCGTAACTTTTTCGCGTGTCGAAACATCAACGGCCGCACACAGCCGTTTCCGCCGGATTTTTCATTTATTCGCGAGATGTAAATGTCACCGACGTCACAATCTGTTGTTTCACAGTATTAATACAAAACGTCTTTCACACAAAGCGTATTTATTATTTATGCAAACCCGCGTGCAGTTGCTGCTCTTTTGAGATCGTTTCTCAATGACAAAAAAATCTCTTCGCAAACACGAAAATGAGAGAACAAAACCCTCGCGTGTTTTATTGACATTCGAATCAACACATCAAAGCTGTTCTCTTCTTATTATGTTAGATAAATTTTATTTGCATTTATATGCCATATGTCATAAATAATGCAAGTTAACGTTTAGAGAACGCCGAAACGTGAATTTATTGGTGTGTTATCGCTTGACCGGCATTTTGTCACGGGGGGGTTAAAATTTGTGTCGGAAACGCATTCACGCGCGGATCGAATGCATTGAATTGTGAATAATAATCGGAGGAAAAATAAGAGCAACAACGCGCGCGCGCTTGTGTGTAAAATAATAAATTCTCAATAAGCTCACGAGATTTTGTCGCGCTTATTTTCTTCTTTTTGACAAACGTATATAAAAATGTCACACGTTGACATCCCATTAATTTGAGATTAATTTGATTTTTCTTTATGTCGTATATATCAATATATATATATATATATATATATCGTTTTTATATGTGTACTTTATTTTATATAAATGTTTTTTTTTACTATCACAAATTTGAAAGAAATCAACTTCGGTAAAGAACATCTTATTATTAAATCTGTGTCTCGAGAACTGAAACTCGCGAGAATTTCGCTCTCGCGTGTCTCTACAGTTTTGTTTTGAAAGAACCGACTTCAACTTTTGTGGCCGAGAAGGCCGTAGCTCATGAAAGCAAGGACGGCAATTTCGGGATGTGCCGTGTAAAAGGATAAGAACGCTGGATGCAAAAACGCGAAGAGAAACGCGCACGACCGACTGTCGGGTCCCGAGATTACAATGGTAGTTTGAAATGCAAATCGCGGAGTTTATGCTCGGTTTCCATAATTACAGAAGCGGCGCGCGCGCGCGTTAGCTCTCTCATAACGTACAATGCACGCGGACCGACGTAATCGTAGTATTGTTCTGGCGCGAAACTATTTCGTCGTGTTACGACGACGAAGACCAGGACGACGACGACGACGACGACGACGACGAGTCAGCGATGCGAAAGGACAGTCGTGAAACGCGAGATGTGACAGCTCGCGAGAGGAAGAAAATACACTGGAGCGTTGCCAACAAGTTTCGCGCAGCTTGCTCGCGCTTGTCGCGCGGAGACGATAAAAACAAAAAATGAAGAACGAAACGACATCATGTCGCTACTTAACGTGTATCAGCGCGCGTAAACGCAGAAAACAACGCTTACCGAAGCATCGATACCGACAAGTACTTCTCGCACGTATGAGAGATATTGCACAGAACGTCAAATAAACATAAACAAAAATATTTTCACATTGGATCTATAATTTAAAAATATTAAATTTTATATTGTAATTATTGTTTTTAACGTTTCTCGGATCTTCCTATTAGTTTATTAAAGTTTATTTAATCGCATTCAGCGCATAGATATATCACAACGGTGATTCATTCAAGCAATTTACCAGTTTAACTCTTGTTTCGCGATCTAACAAATTTCCTACTTTACATACTCGTCAATTATTCGGCGCTTTAATTTTGCAACGTCATAGCGAGACGAATAAAGTCATTTTGCTTCGAATATGGAATTCTTTTGAGGAACAGTTTGCGAGGAGGAGGAGGAGGAGGAGATCGTTGCGATGCACAGAGGACGCGCAAAGAAGTGGAAGGAAGAGGAAGCACCGTGTCACGCGCGGTGACACTCATAAAGACACACGCGAAAATCGTCGTGTAAAAAAGTATGCAAAACGATTGCGCGCACGGCAAAATGGGAATAAAACTGGGCCGAGGGACGGACAGCTGGGTGTGATGTACATTTGAAGAGCTCTCGTCAGCGCGATGTATAGAGATCGAGCGCGCGAGGTACGATCAGCGTACACGTGCACCGGCGCGATTGAACAATTCTTTTTAACGTTTTCGAGAGTTGAATTTCAACTCTCGTTCTCCCTTGACGCGAGCGCGTTAAAAAAAAAAAAAAAAAAAAAAAAAGTGCACAACCGGAAATTTCCGGCGCGCATTCGAAGCGTTGCGACGATGTGTATCGTATAGTATCGACCAACCGGGCGTTCTATACCTACCTACCTACCTCGGCCCCGGCGCCATTATATCGCGGCGAAATTGACGGCTGGATGGATAGTATAATAAATTGCACAGCGGCGAGTAAAGTATCGCATCGGCGAACGCCACCCATTATCGCGGTTATTTCGATGAAATTGGCGGATGGAGATCGGGAATAAATTATCACGATGGAAAATATTGAATAAAGAAACACACGACTGAGCGCGAAAGAGAAGTTACTCGCGGAAATATTGTTCGCACGATCTGTCCACGATAACAAAATTGAAAAACAAGCTGCTGCTGCTGCAGCTACTGCTGCCGCGCTACAAACTTTTCGCCGGGTCACCTTGCGCTATTATTATTGCACATTTCCCGCTAAAATGGTTTCTTCATTAAATTCCTTTAGAGTGATCAATCATTCACGATGCAATTCGCGTTGGTGGTTACTGCACTAGGCAAGAGTATCGAGGCCTGGGTGTATCGAGTACCGGCAATCAAGAAAATTGATGCGAAACTTCTCAAGTGTGCCTCGACGGTTGAAGATATAACGTGCGCGCATTCGCGGCGAAGTGTTGCACGAACGTGTGTGTCTATATAATATATATATATATATATACATACATATATATACGCGAGCATTTATGGATTGTGTTGTCATTTACTCGAGATAAGAATATATATGTGTACTATAATCTTAAATGTAATCTAAAAGTACAAAGCGACGTTGTTCTCGCTCGATCAATTTGCTTCTCCACGAACGCGCGTGCGTTCGTATACACACAAGCTGAAATGTTGTGGCAATCTCATCTTTTAAGCCTCGCTTGTATATTTAATCCCTCGCGTTTCACGGAAAAACGAATCGATCGGGGAGAAAGATTACAAAAAAAAATACGGAGAATTAACTGACTGTCGGATCAAAGTACTGCTGCCCCCTCTCTAGAATCTTTATCGATCCGGCAAGAGATTGATTGTCGCTGACGATATAACGCACAGATCTTCTCCTAATGCTTGCGCGTAAATATATCTAAGCTGCAATTTGCGAAGGAACAATCGCCGAGATGGTATCTCGAAATGATAAAGTGAGACGCGCGCACGTGCGTCGCCTCGTGCGTTTGCATCTTATCGTGTGGGTGGCTATATTGGATTAGAATTGGTATGTGTGTACGCGTGTGTGCGAGCGAGCTGTAACTATTTTATGATCGGCTATAGAGGATCGCGAGTTTACTGCCGTTTCGAGCCCGCAGCATCGAAAGGGGAAAAGAGAAGAAGAGAGAGAGGGAGAGAGAAAAGACCGGATATATAAGCGATGGCAACGAAGGAGACGCGAAAACGGCGACCGCAAAGGGTTTGCGCAGGACGAGGTATACTCTCGCGGTGAATCGCACTCGAACACGAAACACGATGTAATATCGGCGTTTTACATTCTCCTTACGTTTTATTTACGAGCAACGAGCGCGGGCGCAATCGTCGCTGTTATCGATCGACACGTATGACAACACAACGGCGACGACGATGACGACGGCTGCAGCGACGACGTTCATTCGTGTGTATATAAACACGAACTGTCGAAAATCGACGTTATACGTACAAGTCCATTAGAAACAGCTTATCAATCGGCGCCCGTGTATCGACAAAACGGACGAGTCATTAAGCGAATATTACACGCGCAGTAGTAACGAGATTGTCATCAATATAACAAGGATATATTACAAATGGATGAGAGAGGATATCGTGTATTTATGCGACATCGGAAAACATTCGTTTATTTAATTTAAATTTTTTAATTGCTAATATGCTAATACATTCGCGTTCGCATAATAAAATTTATAATCATTTATTAACGCATCTGCGTTGTGATTTTTAAAAAGTTTTATTCGGAGTGTCGAAGATATTCCGGGACTCGTGATAAAAAATGTCATAAATATTTTCAAGAGCTTATAGCCAAAAACACACAGAATGACACACGAATTTGGAATTTTTATTATTATTATTATTATTATTATTATTAAGCCACTTAGACGATCGATTCAGACAAGATTATCGTCTTTCTACTGTTTTTTTACGATTATCAGGAATATATGGCAAATTAATGATCATCATATATGTTATTAGCCGGTCTTTTAGATTCCCACCTCTCTTTCTCTCTTGTAATATGACGCGATTTATTTTTGTCATTTATGTTCAAATCTACTTTTCTAGTTTTTTTCAAGTATAGTATGATTTGCTATAAAAAAGAAATATAGTGACACATACGAACGCTCACTTATATGTGTAGAGCGCGCTCACTTATCTCATAAACTCCTCTACGTAATCTGTTGTCGTTTTTACGATAT